AGATTCCCGCACATGCCCAGTGAAACACTTGGACATGCGAATGGGAATTTCATCTATTCATTCATCAGAAAGACGAATGAATAGAAATGTCAGATGAACAAACAAACACTGAACGGTGGGTGGGGGCCCTATATAAAAATGGTGGGGGGGGACCTACTGTCCTCCCCCTCAGCCCCCACCACTGAGTGGTGGGTGGGAGCCCTAAAAACCAATAAGGGGGAGGACCTACTGTCCTCCTCCCTTGCCCCCACCCCTGAGCGGCGGGTGGGGGACCTAAATAAAAATTCACACACCCCCAATCACACACCCCCACCCAAATAAAACTATCCCCTACCTACCACCCTCACCCTAAAAATAGTGAGGGGGGAATAAAATAACTAACCTGTAAACAAAAATGTAACTTTTCATTTTCAACTTTTCAATTTTTCAAAACCATTTCTTCTAAAATCTTCATTTTTCAGCCCCAAAAAAGGGTAAATAAAAAGCCATCATACCCGTCGAACTTAAAATAAAATAGAACAAACCAATCAGAGTGTTATTAGCCTAATTGCAGGGCGGGGCAAGGCTTTGTAAGCCTTGCCCCACCCTGCAGAACTCAGTCTGCGCGGAGCCCTCCATGGGTGAAGATGGATTAATTTTTTTAGCATTTGGTTTTTTCTTTTTCGTCTGGATTTTTTTTTGGCGCTCGGGTTTTTTATTTTATTTTACGTTCGACGGGTATGATGGCTTTTTATTTGGCCTTTTTTGGGGTTGAAGAATGAAGAGTTTAGAAAAAAGAAGACGTCAAATGGTAATTTTAATTTTTGTTTACAGCTTAGTTATTTTATTCCCCCCTTACTATTTTTAGGGCTAGGGGGGTAGGTAGGGGATAGTTTTATTTGGGTGGTAGCGGGGGGGAGGACAGTAGGTCCCCCCTTATTGTTTTTTAGGGCCCCCACCCACCACTCAGGGGTGGGGGCCAGGAGGGGTGGACAGTAGGTCTCCCCCTTATTGTTTTTAGGGCCCCCACCCACCGCTCAGGGTTGGGGGCAAGGTGGGGCGGTCAGTAGGTCCCCCCTTATTGTTTTTTAGGGCCCCCACCCACCGCTCAGGGGTGGGGGCCAGGGGGGAGGACAGTAGGTCCCCCCCCAACATTCTTATATACGGCCCCCACCCACCGCTCAGGGTTGGGGGCCAGGTGGGGCGGTCAGTAGGTCCCCCCCTTATTGTTTTTTAGGGCCCCCCACCGCTCAGGGGTGGGGGCCAGGGGGGGAGGACAGTAGGCCCCCCCCTCATTGTCATTTAGGGCCCCCACCCGTCGCCCATGGGTGGGGGCCGGGGAGAGGACAATAGGACTCCCCCCTAATTGTTATTTAGGGGGCCCCCACCCACCACAGGCGAAATTGCGATCCAAACAAAGTCCCGAATTGCATCCTAACACAAATGGAGAAACTGTTCTCATTCTGTTAGGATGCAATTAGGCAGTTTTGTCGGCATTCTAAGTGACAGGACGTTCAGTAATACTGACAGGAAACATCGTGGGAACAGGGAGGAAAGCTAAGGATCATGGGGAAATTGCTCTGACCAGCGGAAATGAAGCACACTTTGCTCCTCTGCTGGTCAAAGTTGGTCAAGCGGAGGAAACCTTCATAAGGCAAAGAGTCCCTACTTTGTCTTAAGATTTTAAAGAAGACAGGAAGAAAAGAACAGATCCTGAGACAGGGGGAGAAGTGGAAGAGATTGAGGAAAGGTAAGTTCGGCATGACAGTGCCGCTTTAATCTAATTCAGTTTATGCAACTGGTGCCTATGCCTCAAACTCTAGCATGTTAACCTTCTATGATCCAGCACTGTGTCTCTCTAGCATGAGTAATTAATATAAAATGTGCAGAATAAGCTCTACTGTTTTGTTTTCCCACTACACCATGTTCCAAATTATTATGCAAATCATATTTTTCTCATTTAGCTAAATAATTGATGCAAATAACAGTCAGCATAATTCTAATATTACTATTAAGAGTACAATTCAAATTTTATTGAACAAACCTCCTAATGATAACTATTTTTTTTAATATAAAAAACTTACAATGCACTGTTCCAAATTATTATGCACAGTAAGTTTCAAAACACTTTATAAGTTGTAAAGAACTGAAAATCGTCATTTGTTCTGTTTGCAGCATTTTTACTGAAATCAAAAGCTATCAAACTTATAACAACATTTTAACTTTTTAAACATTTTAACAGATCACGTTACATTTTAACATAGGACCCCTTATTTGATAGCGGCTTCACAAGTCTTGCATACATTGAACTTGTGAGTTTTTGGACAGTTTCTGCTTGAATTTGTTTGCAAGATGTCAGAACAGCCTGCCAGAGCTGCTGTTTGGGTGTAGACTGCCTCCTACCCTCATAGATCTTTTGCTTGAGGATGCTCCAAAGGTTCTCAATAGGATTGAGGTCAGGGGAGGATGGAGGCCACACCATGACTTTCTCTCCTTTTATTCCCATAGCAGCCATTGATGCAGAGGTATTCTTTGCAGCATGAGATGGTGCATTGTCATGCATGAAGATGATTTTATTACGGAAAGCATAGTTCTTCCTTCTGTACCAGGGAAGAAAATGGTCAGTCAGAAACTCCACATACTTTGCAGAGGTCATCTTTACACCTTCAGGGACCCTAAGGGGGCCGACCAGCTCTCTTCCCATAATTCTGGCCCAAAACATGACTCCAACACTGCCTTGCTGACGTCGCAGCCTTGTTGGAACAGGGTGGCCGTCCACCAACCATCCACTACTCCATCCATTTGGACCATCCAGGGTTGCACAGCACTCATCAGTGAACAGGACTGTTTGAAAATGAGTCTTCATGTATTTTTCTGCCCAATGCAGCCGTTTCTGCTTGTGAGCATTGGTTAGTGGTGGCCGAATAGAAGATTTATGCACAGTTGCAAGACTCTGGAGGACTCTACACCTTGATGTCCGTGGGACTCCAGAGGCACCAGCAGCTTCAAATATCTGTTTGCTGCTATGTAATGGTATTTTAGCAGCTGCTCTCTTGATCCAATGCATGGATCTGGCAGAAATCTTCCTCAATGTACCTTTATCTGCACGAACCCGTCTGTGCTCTGAATCAGCCACAAATCTCTTAATAGTGCGATGATCACGCTTAAGTTTTCGTGAAATATCTAATGTTTTCACACCTCGTCCAAGGCATTGAACTATTTCACTCTTTTCGGCAGCAGAGAGATCCCTTTTCTTCCCCATATTGCATGAAAATGGTGCTCTGCCTAATAATGTGGAACACCCTCCTTTAGTAGTTTTTCCTTAAATTGGGCTCACCTGGCAATCTAATTATCACAGGTGACCGAGATTGTTTTCAGTGATCAAAAGAGCCCTGAGACACAATGCCATCCATGAGTTAAACTGAAAAACAAAATATTTAATCTTTGTGACACAAATAGAATTTGCATTAATAATTTGGAACACAGTGTATTTTGTCTTATGTATTCCTGACCCTATCGTGTTAAAAACGCATTAGGCCCCAGGCCCCCCTTAGTCCCCTTAAAAATGGTTAAAACTCACCTTTATTCAAGTGCCGTGCAGGTCTACCATGCTGGCTCCGCCCAAGCTCTGCCCCCATGGCTGAGATCATCAGAATTGACAATCTCAGCCAATTCAATGCTTTCCTGCAGGAAAGCATTGGGGGGCTAATGCACATGCGCACCATCAATCAGCATCTCCTTGTAGAGATGCATTGAATTAATGCATCTCTATGAGGAACTTTCAGTGACTCCATGCAGTGCAGCACTGACTCAGGAAGCACCTCTAGTGGCCGTCTGAGTGACTGCCACTGGAGGTACCCTTGGCACTAATGGAAACACTGTTTTTTTCTGCAGGGACAAGCCATACTCACCAGTAAAAATAAATTGAGCTGTAGTTGCCCTGTTGACTATAGTGTCCCTTTAATTTTGGTCTTTTAGCTGTTTAGTAAATAACTCCTTCATTTGATATCCTTATGTGTGATTGCTGAATTTATGAATGCCAAAAAAAAGTTATCCACTAAACAGCCCCCTAATTTTGTATCCATAAACTTGGCAATCCCCTGTAAGGATAACACATTTGGTAGTTATCTGCTAAACAGCTAAAATATCAAAATTAAAATAAGGAATTTTCTTAAATCTTTTTTTAGCTGTTTATTAGTTAACTTCCACATTTGCTATCCTTATGTGGGATTGCTATATTTAAAGGGTTACTCAGACCACCATGACCACTTCAGTGACTTAGTAGTAGGAGTCTAGATGTGCAGTGTTTTAGCATAACATTATCAAAGTTCAGCTTGTGTTTTTTTTGTTTTTTTATTGAATGTAGTTCATTTCTTTCTATATTTATATGATCTTTAAAAATATGTTAAATAAATGAACTGTTTTTTTTTTTTTATGCCAAATAGAGAGTACATTGATGATTATGTGAAGTAGAATAACAGCAACAATGCTGTGTGGTGGCTTTCAATTGATGTTCATTTGGCATTAAATGGCTCTATGTGTGGCAATAATAGTTCCTCTAATAACCAGAATACCACCACCACCACCACCACCACCACCACCATTCTATTCTGTTGGCACAACTTAGCATGAGTCAATGTATTCATGGAATCTCTTCACTGATTGAATGTGGCCATTCACTGCTACGCTATACGTATAATCTCAAGTAATAAGATGTAGTATTTTGAGTCGCAGGTCTAAGCATTGTGTATCGGATGTGATCGCATTTGTAAATCGCTCTATAAGCTCCATAATTGGTTTAGTAAGGAACATCATTATATGCGTATGAATATAAACATACATACAGTGGTAAATTACAAAACTTTGTATTTTGGGATGTCCAGTTTTCTAAATGTGGATTTGGTATCAGCATCATGTGATTTACTAATAGAAGAGGAAGGGCACATTTCAGTTAATGGACTGTCTCCTGGCATTCCTTTTTCATAGTTCCCTTTTGGATAAGGCACAGTCATTTTCAGGATCTCAACACGTTAAAAACAATGGGAGGATGAGACATTGGGATCAATCCGTAAAAAAATATCCTTGTTTACAATGTCGATATCTGTTGGAAGGGTCAGAGGTTTGGACCATTTCATCCTCTTCCTTCTGATAGTGTGTTCACTGGATATGATAAAGAACAGGACCTCAGTGATAAACTGCAACAATACTAGACTATACACGCACAAGAAAGCCTATTATGTGTGAAGAGAGACAAGGGTAACAAGCAGCGAGGCTTTGGATTTTGGAGACCATCCTCTCCCATTTTGTTCTTCACTCTTGGACTGTTAAGATGCTGCAGCTTCTCTTAACTTTTTTCTTCTATTTTAGATTCCAGATGGTGGATTCACTGGGTAAGTAAGACTTGATATTTCAAGTGCTTCAAAAGGATTTGTACGGTGTCCAGAAGAATTGTAATGGAATTCTTAGCAAACCTCGTAATATTAATCATTAAAAAATGACTAATAAGACAATACGGAGAAAAAAGTTGATATAAGACCTGACAATCATATCAGGTAGTATTATTAAAAATTCACCGAGCATTAAAATACCCCTCTCATTCGAACAAGTTCAAACTAAGGGATCATTTTTGTGGGACTGTAATTGGTCACCGTTCATATTAATGGGGATATATAGTATTTTTCATTAATTTGAAATGTGTGTCTGTATATGAATGTGTATCTCATGCAAGAATTATCAGTGAATTGTGTATTATGGAAAAATGCCACTGCAATGTTCGAAACAATGACACTGTTTATTACGATGTGAGCAAGTGGTTTATAAATGTCTCTAACACTCCGAGATGGCATAACTTTTCCATTGTGTATCTTTTATATTACATGGTACTTTTGGGTTAGTGCATGTGTTAAGGTAGTGAAGGGGTTTATTTTTACTGTAAGGGTTAATGATTATTGTTAGTGTTGGGGCTATTATGCTATGATATGGTAGTTTGAGGGTTAATGTTTAATGTTAAGGTGAATAGAGGTTAAGAGGAATACTATACGAGTAGCACAACGACGTACATGATCCAATGCTGCCTGAGATTAGTGGGAGTTGTAGTCTGGCCAACAGCTATTTCAGCTCCTGTCAATAAAATACTGGCAAGTGCCTCTGAACTTCCACTAACATACTGGAACATTAATGACCTGGCCCTGTCATAGATTATATTATGAGATATTGACACATAATCCTCTGGTAATTGAATAGCAGTTGTCCCATAGATGTCAATGAGAAAGCCTCTAATCCGTTACTAAAATGGCACTTTTTAATAGAATGCAGCCATAAGTAACCTTATTGTATTAATCGTTTGCATGTGGTTAGGGAAATGATATACCACTTTTTCTGTCATTATGAGAGTTGTATTTTTCTTGTAATTTGATTTTTATATGTTGATTTAAATGGGCCAATATATATTGCTTCTTAAGGAAGCGGAAAAATCTATGTAAATTTCAGATCAATAATATTTTAAAGCTCAGATGGTAGGTATTTGCATAACACAAAACTAGATGATAGTGCTGTAATATTGATAGCCGTATTATATATATTAGAATGCATGTTATAATGTCTTGAGTTTCTTTAAATCAATGGGGAACATGGTTAGTTTCTGTTTAATGTCAACTAAACCAATTGCAGATCAGTGGATCTCTAGATATCAAATCAAACTCCTTAACTAAATATTAATCAAATCCTTTAGCTATCCATATTCAGTTTTCATCTTTCTTTACAGTGAAATTATGTCTATTTAATATTTAATTTCTGTCCCATAATCCATTGGTCCAGATTATGTATAGCCGCTCGCCCACTCCATTTTTTTTCAGTCACTGTTTGTAGACCATTTGTATAACTGGACACATTGTAATCTTATGGTACAGACTAAGGAACATGTAGTCAGGGCCATCTTTAATATCACTAGGATCGTGGGCAAAGCATTTTCTTGGGCCCTCTGTGCACCCTCCAGTCCCTGGCATGCAATCGCACCTTTTACATACATACTTACACAGACATATACACGGACATACTGACACATACACACAGACAGGCATACTGACACACACACATACACTGACACACACACATATATACTGACAGACATGCTGACACAGAAAGACATACTGACACTCCCAGACACAAAAACACTGACACACACACAGACATATACCCTGACAGACATACTGACACACAGACATATACCCTGACAGACATACTGACACACAGACACACACTTACAGACACATACCCTGACAGGCATACTGACACACAGACACATACTGACAGACATACTGACACATAGACACACACTGACATACCCATTGACAGGCATACTGACACACACACAGACACATACACTGACACACACATATACTGACAGACAACCTACTGACACACACATACACTGTCAGACATACTGAGACACACAGACATACACAGACAGACACACAGACATACTGACACATTCACCCTTTTTAAATCTACTCCCCGTTTCCTACCTTCAAAGATTGCTTCCCTGTTGTCCAGAGTGGTGGCTGAGGCTGTTGGGGGTTGCCAAATGGCAATCTGGACCAGTCCCCCTCCTCTCTGCTTCCCTGGTGTGGTCTCTCCCGCGTGGCTCTTTCGGGGTGGAAGTGACTCATGGCAGTCACTTCCTCCCTTGCTGCCAAAAAGTAAACGGGCCCCTGCTTACAAACCCCCACCAGGTGGCCCAGTGGGCCTCCTTAGTGTGCGTTCCCAGGATGCACCGGATGCCTATGGGTGGGGGAGAAAGTTGTTGAGGGCAGCGGGGCCCACGGGGCAGCTGCCTTGGGCCCCCTAGAAGTAAAAGGGCCCGAGGCAACTGCCCATTTGCCCCGCATTAAAGATGGCCCTGCATGTAGTACAGTGACTGTAAATTTTGGTAAATCTGGTGTAAAGATATATTTGAACATCTGGTGTCCGTATGTCCATTAGTTTGTTGGGAAAGTTGCAGGAAGAAATATTTAGTGGCAAATTAACGAAGCAGTGTGCTCGTCCTCTTTTTCCATCTATCTCTCTATCCTCCTATTTGCATATTTGTATTAGCAAGATGTGAAGGAATATCGAGTATTGCTTTGAGGAGTAATGTATGTCATAAGCTTCTTATATGATGGATCTTCCATTGTTCCACTTTGCATGGTTTGTGGTGAATCTCATTCAGTAAGGTATGATAACGTGTTTTAGATTTATAAGATGCAGAAAAAGCAAGATACTTTTTGTTGTGTCCTAAATTACCAACAAAAGGGATTCGGGTGGCATAGAATTTTTATAGGTTATGTAAACAAACCTGGTTTCTGCTGCATCAATAATAATAGCAAGAACAGACAATATGGGATCTCTCTGAGACTGGAAGAAAAACATTGTAGCTTGCCCTTTGGTTAGTCCGTGCTCAGGTCTCAAATAGCTTTATGCTCACTTCTGCCATTACAGAGAGAACTTACCCTAGAAGACAGACCCCCCAGACCTCCATAAGGGCAGTCCTGATCCTAAATGCTGGCATGTTCCCTCTGCGCAAGAGAGAGCGACCTCAGACAATTGTTTCGGCCTTCGTAGCACTGGGCTAATCATGCCAGTTACAGCAAAAAAAAACCCCAACAACAACAAATGTTGTAGTCTACCAAGAGAGAAATAAATGTGGAAAAACAAGGGGGCGGGGCCTGACATCCATGCTGACCGGTCGCATGCTGTAGAGGCTCCTGTTGAATTTGGTATTTTCAGCAGAAATCCTAGACTCACTGCTAACAATCAAGCTGTGTAGTGTACCCAAGTGTGCAAACAACTGTTGGTGACACTGTGGACTCCAAGATCAGGAGTTTTGGGGGCCCTACGGGTGGTACAAAGCTTTGGAGAATGCGGCCCACTCAGGAGAGGAGCAGGGCAGACGGCCACTGCCCTGTTCACATGCCTGGCAATCACCGTGTGATCTTCCTCACAGGCCCTGGTCCCCCCCATGGACCGTCAGGGGGTTATACCGTTCCCCACTGGAGGAAGCTGACGCTATGTGGACCATCTGTGCAGAGTTTCTCAGCCAACGGACCTCAGCGCCTGGTCAACAAGATGGCAGCCACATGGCATACACCGTATGACCGTGTTACCAGCACTCAAGCACTTCTGGGCTATACCATCGCAACTCCTAACCTTGGACTATTGGTGCTGCACCAATCTACTAAACAGCAGAGCTGCCTCGGTTGACCCAGCCTCCGCACATGGAACCTAAGTCCGGTCCCTGTGGCTGCCGTTCTGGGCCTTGAACGCCTCGAGGACACCCTCAAACCACAGCCCCACTCCTGGGCATCTTATCATCTTATGCAGGAATCCTGTTATCGGCCATTTGTGGCACCGGACCTGGAGGCACAGGTGGTGTGCTCATCAGGAGCCCGGGGCTGGCGAAGTTGCACCCAGCGAACTTCTCACAAGGCTTGCAGGTTGGAGGCGGAAGCGGGCTGTGTCCAGAAGATCCAGCAAGGCTGTCTGTATGCCATTTTTGGCACTCATGGAGAGTTGAGCCCGGGGGACTGCGTGGCCTGCCTTGAGAGACTCTAGTGGCATATTTTAGTTTTAATTATACTTGTTGATATTATGCTTTCCTTTATTTTGCTTGTCTTTATTTTTATTTGATGTGTTCTCTCTAACGGGCACTGTATAGCACAAGGCTGGGCAACTTTATAAGATTTGGAAATTGATATGGCTAGAACATGCAAGTGACTTCTATTTAGGCTACATAATCAGCCGTGCCTCCATAGTATATTTCTAAGCAAGGAAATGTAAGGGGAGACAGAGAAGGGGGAGGAGGAAGGGAGTACTAGAAAAAAATGTTTTGGTTTTCTTTTGTCTTATACATTGGTCTCTAGGCGTATACGAATATGCCTACACGCTGATACCTATGAGTGTGTTAGCCTTTCGGCTTTGGTTCTTGATAATGTACCCCAACGCATATCCATTTTGTAAAAACTTTAATTTGGTTTTGTTTGGATTTTGGCTTATACAGTGTTTTCTAGGCATACATGTATATGCCTTTTTTGCTAATATTTTTTAATGTGATGGCCTTTTAGCTTCTGCTCTTGAAAATGTATTCCAACGTATATGTATTTTGTAAAACTTTAATAAAGAAATATTAAATAAATAACTAAATGATTATACACAAGTTACTGCTCAGACGTAGCCTGTTATAGTTCATTCTGCAAAAGCCATGACTGAACCATGGTAATGTCTGTTGAACTGTGCCTCACTCAGTCATTGTGTTTACTCTCTTTTTTATTGAAACCAAAATATGGTTGTTGTGGCGCTGCATTCAGTGCTGTGTTTGCTGCGAGGCAAACAAGGCATTTGCCTTGTGCGGCACTTTCCAGGGGGTGGCAAAATACGCCGCCTCCAAATGCCCAGGCAAATGCCTTGTTAGCCTCGGGGCAGGCGACTAGCTGAGCTCCAGATGGGCGTCGAGGGAGCACTGATTTCTGAACTCTCCCTGCCCAGTGCTGCAGAGTGATGCCGGGAGCCGGAATATGACGCCACTCAGAAATCAGCACTCCCTCGCCGCCCGCCTGGACCTCAACTGGCCGTCCACGTGTCTGCACGCCTGCCCAAATAGGTATCTGTCAGGGATCCTGTGTGTCTGAGTGAATGTGTGTGTGTATGTGTGTGTCTGAGTGATTGTGTATGCCTGTCAGTGTGTGTGTGTGTCTGTGAGTGGGGGTGTGTGTGCCTGTCAGTGAGTGTGTGTGTGTGTGTCTGCATCATTGTGTGTGTATTTCAGTGAGTGTGTGTTTGTCTGTCAGTGATTCTGTGTGTCTGTCAGTGTGTGTCTGTCAGATTGTCTAATCAGTGAGTGTGTGTGTATGTCAATGTATCTGAGAGGGGGTTTCTGTCAATCAAAGTATGTGTTAGTCTTTAACAGGAAGAGATGTGGCCTTGACAGGAAGTGGTGGGGAAAATGTAAATTAGGGGGTGCCCGAGTTTCGTCATGCCTAGGGCAGCACAGATCCAAAATATAACACTGTCTGCATACAATCTTCTTGTTATACCATATCATGTACATACATGAAACATAAAGCAAAATTTCCAAATTAACAGAAAAATAAAGAAACTGTGCATTACAAAAGGGGGAAGGAGAAAGACGTATCACACGCCTGAACGCGTTTCGCGTCTGCACCAGACGCATTGTCAACTTTAATCATGTCAGTAACTGTAATGTTAAGTTTCAGTGTGGCGAGAACACCACCATGCAGTTGGTTGACAACAAAGAAACAATTTAAACTGCCTACACTGTCTAAACTATATGAGTTCTACTGCCAAAGCTACCAAACATTAATATTTAAATGTAGCAACTATGTGTAGCAATGTATTTTCTATTAAAACATGGATTAAATGGATTCTGCTTAATGATTACATATATTGTCAGATCAATTTATACAAGCAGCACAAATGTCACAAGTCCTAATTTATTACAATAATAATTGTTACCAGAGAGATATAATTTAACATTATTTTGACACTTTGTAATTATAATTTAAATGTAATTTAATATAAAGTTTTCTCTGCTTATTATAAATTATGTCATTTATTACTCCTATTAAAAGAGCTTCCTGTTTTATAATGCTCAATGGAACGCAGTTGCTAGAAATAGTGTATAGTAATTAATCACTTTTGTCAATTAGGTTTAAAAAATAATTAAATTAATATAATTCAATAATGATTCCTGTTCTGGACGTAAAGTTTAGGAGCATGTCTATAATCTCTTCTTCAAACTAATGGAATATCACTCTATTTTCCCCCAAAGCAGAACATTTTAAATGGCTCATTTTAATTTTTTATATTTTGTATTTTATGCTCTTATATTAACAGTAAAAAATATTCATTTTAAAAACTCATCACTCTAATATATTGATGGATACGTTTATATTTTATTCTTCCCTTTTATTTATGATATATTTTTCATTCTCCACATATTTTTCTGTTTTATAACTTAGAAAAACTTTCCTCTTGTTCTCATACCTTAATGTGATTATATAAATTTGTAATATTTGTATGGTACTCTATTACCATAAATGATTTACCTTATAAAAAACTATTCATTCCTCTCTCAATGTTTCATAAATCTACATCCATCCCAAATTAATTTCTTATTATGGTTACACAGGTCACTATTTAAAGAAACACCAAGGCTTTAGTGTATGCTTAGATAACTGCAAAACAAATGTTAAAATGGTGTTTGCATTGGTTTTACTTACAGGGTTCCTCCAACCATCATAACCACTACAGCCAGCTGTGGCGACGATGATGCTAGGAATAACCTGCCCGGTTCCCTGGTAATGGGCAAACCATTTGCCCCCTTAATTGGGTAACTGTTGGCCTCTTAGGCTCCATGCTGGTCTGGTGATGTGAATCCTGCAGAGCTGCAGAAGCTGGAAGCCATTGCTGTCACCATTCATTGACTGGGAGCATCTTCTGACTCCTCTCAGCTAATGAATGACACTCTGTGCATTGAAATTTGGGACCACTTTGTCTCCGTATTCTTTCCTATGCCTGGCAAAGCTTGACACTAAGCGGAGCTATTGCCGTCAAGCCTTGTCCTTTCCCCCGGCGGCTGTAGGGAAATTTAACTCATTCTATGGGGCCACGAGCTGAAGAGCAGCAGAGTATGGCAGCACCCACGAGGGAACGATTCAGGTCTGTTAATCTCACCTTTGCCTGCCTGCCCCCGAACCCTGAGTGGTGATATCACTGTCGAGGGTCTTTACAAATTATGCAAATTAGCGAATGATGCGAAGATACCAGTCGGTGACAGATCCGCTTTAAAGCTACAGAAATTTTGCAACAAACAAACTTACTCCCAGGGGTACCAATACCAGCACATGTATGACATCTATGCTCTATTCATCTCCACATTAATGCATATGAGATGTTTAGTAATTTTCTATGAGAGAATCAAATTTAGTGCCTGCCCCCTAGCCATCAATACCCTTTTTCCCCATCAAGAATCTTTTTTTTTTTGTCACCATCAGTGGAATACTGAGTCACACATCAACACGAACATGCTCAGCCAATGCGCATTTTGGTTGATTTATAATTCAGCTATATTTCAACTCAAGAATTAGACCAATCACTGATTTGTGGAATCTCCAAGTCTATTGGACTATGTATGGTGGCATCTTATAGGAATTTGATACTAAGAAGTTTTTTTATTTTTTATTATTATTTGTATATCTGGGTACAGTCATCATCAGCTTTATATTTAATGCAATAGGATGCTTTGTCCACAAGGTAGTTAGTAGGGCAGTTAACAATCTATTCATTTTATCCCTTTTGTAGAGCTTGAATAGCTTAGTTATAGAAGTAATAAAGCTAAAAAAACATGTATAATAAAGAATGATGATAGGTCTGATGTTAATTGGTAGGAAAGATTCCAGTATTCTAGGAGATGGTCACGCTAGCAGTGTCTTGAAGGTTCCAACAGCCTCTAGACTAAATTGCGTAGCTCATTAGAGTAATTTTAATTTGAATTCTTAATCTCACGCAATGTGGGTTCACTTGGAGAACTTCACCACCAATTATGTCCCACTGTGTTCTGCACTATGGACTAGTTGTAGTCTCCCAGTAAGTACTGTGTACAGGTATTTCCTTAAGTCTAGGTGCATAGAGTCGAATGCCTGGACCAGTGATTCAAGGGCCAGTGCCTGTAGTCATTAATTTATGCCTCTGAGTATCTTTAAATGGCAATATCATTAAAGGAACACTATAGGGTCAGGAACACAAACATATATTCCTGACCCTATAGTTTTAAAACTATCATCTAGCCCCCCTTGCCTCCCTAAATATAGTAAAATTTTACTTGTATTCAAGTGTGCAGCTGCTGTCTCTGTCCCTGATCTGCCTGCATGCCTTACATCATCAGAAATGATCATGTGAGCCAATCACAATGCTTTCCCATTGGATTGGTTTAGCTTGTCAAGGCAGCAGATCAGGGACAGAGCCAACACACAGCCCTGGCAAATCAGCATTCTCTCTTAGGGATGAATTGAATCAATGCATTTCTATGAGGAAAGTTTGGTGTCTTCATGCAGATGATGGAGACACTGAATGGCAGTGCTGCTCACTGTGCAGCACTGCCAAGGAAACACCTCTAGTAGCCATCTGAAGAGTGGCCAGTGGAGTTATCACTATCGTGTAATGTAAACACTGCATTTTCTCAGAAAAGTCAGTGTTTACCGCAAAATGTCTGAAGGGAATGATTCTGCTCACCAGAACAAATTCAATAAGCTGTAGTTGTTCTAGTGACTATAGTAGTGTCCCTTTAAGTAATATTTACACCTGCATACCCAGGTTTACACTATGAACAAAGATGAAGCTGAAATTTCACCTTTTCTAGAGGTTAGCACTCAGATGCAGCCGGGTCTGCAGGTCTAGACCACTCTATCTTGCCCAAGTAAAATTTTAGTTAGATTTTGTAAACTGATCTCATTTCTAAATACAATATGAATGTGATGAAGAATTATTATTATTATTATTTATTTATTTATTTTGCTTCTACATCAAATCTGCATTTTAAGGCAAAAAAAGCCTATCCTAATGTGTGCATTTTTTGGTCACTGACCTGGAGTTGCTATCTTAGTTCCATTATGATTTTCCTGATTGCAGCATTGGTCTCAAACGGGGCAAAACAGACAACACCTACATGTTTTATATACATGTTTGAACCCGTCTTATATCCATGCCATTATATTTTTCTGTTAGGAGTATATTGAAACTATAAAACAAATAGGTAAAAATTAACATATCCACACATTTTTAAGACAGCACTAGTTTCTCTTATTGATGATGACATTGTATCATGAAGACATGTGTCACACACCACTGCCCAGTGCCCATTAAACAAACCATAGAAAAGTAGAATGTGACGGCAGATAAGAACGGTTTTGGTCCATCTAGTCTGCCCAATTTTCTAAATACTTTCATTTAGACGTGCAATTCTTTTGGTCCAAATTTAAATTCGGACAAATTTAGACAATTTAGACATTCGGATGCTTCCGAATGTCCGAATTTCTGAAGTGCCGAATTTCGGAAGTGCCAAGCCAAACCGAATTGCTGAAGACCCGAATTGACGAAGTGCTTCGGATTTCTGAAAAATGGCAAAACAGGAGAAGGAGGGAAAATTAAGGGAATGATGACAGGAATCTAACCCTAACCCTTGCCCTAACCCTACCCGTAACCCTATTCAATTACACCACAATAAAAGTGTGAGTTTGAACAAAAACAGAGGTGGAGCAGTTTGTTTTCTTTTCGGCTAGAGTGGAAATTTGAGTAAGCGTGGAATTGTAGTCTCTGCAAATCAGTTCTTTAAGCCTGCAGATTCTGTGTGTATTTTGGAATTCAACTGCCTGATTTATAATTTTTCCCCATTCTTTCTAGCTCTCGACCCTTGTTCTGCCTACATAAGCTTGAACGAACCATGGAGAAATACAGACCACCTATTTAATGAATCCCAAGACAAACCCATGTGTGACAACCATCTGGAGGGAGAATGGTATCGTTTCACTGGGATGGCTGGGGATGCTATGCCCACTTTCTGTATCCCAGAAAATCACTGTGGCACTCATTCTCCAATCTGGCTCAACGGGAGTCACCCAAGCGAATCAGAAGGCATTGTGCAAAGGCAAGCTTGTGCCAGCTTCAACGATAACTGCTGTCAGTGGAATACTACTGTGGATATCAAAGCCTGCCCTGGAGGGTACTATGTCTATCGTCTCACCAAACCCAACGTCTGCTTTCATGTCTACTGTGGCCGTACGTATTCCAATTGCCCTATATATTAATGAAATGTGTAAAAAATATGTAAATATTATGGTAGATTGGAATATGTCTTTTTATGTATTTATTTTCTTCTTTAAGTAACTCGCCATAATATTCTTCTATATCACCCAAAAATATTAATAGGCAATCTGATGTTCTTTAGAAAAATGTACATGTATTCTACTCCCATTACAAACAGCAGTACATATGTGGAAAAACATTTTTTTCACAGATTGGACAGCTTAACAATGTTACAGAGGGAGAGATACAGGAGGCCTTTTTCCAGAAAATCAGAGAACATTGAGCGCAGTGTTATGTCCACTGTTCTACATAGTTATGACTACAATGACGTCAGAATGTTTAGCTAAAACTTTCACTATATAAATACACATAAGAAAACTCTTTTTCCTTTTGGTATACACTCACAAATTATCATCTGTTCCTTTACCCCAAAGACATAGAAACCTAAAATGAATTTATAGGAACATAGAATATGTATTATTCTACTAATGCTTTGTCCTAAACAAATATTTTCTTTGCAGTTTAGGACACGTAAGGCCCTTATGCTACTTCCCCATCTGTTTTGCCCGTTTAAGTATCATTATTTTATTATAATATATTGTGGGCATGATTGACGGAGCTATTTAAATAGTTTGCTGATAATTCTTTACTTTAATAACTAATTTCACCATATAGAAACATAGAATGTGACGGCAGATAAGAACCATTCGGCCCATCTAGTCTGCCCAATTTTCTAAAATACTTTCATTAATCTCTTATATCTAAGATAGCCTTATGTCTATCCCACGCATGCTTAAACTCCTTCACTGTATTAACCTCTACCACTTCAGCTGGAAGGCTATTCCATGCATCCACTACCCTCTCAGTAAAGTAATACTTCCTGATATTATTTTTAAACCTTTGCCCCTCTAATTTAAGACTATGTGCTCTTGTTGTGGTAGTTTGTCTTCTTTTAAATATGGTCTCCTCCTTTACTGTGTTGACTCCCTTTATGTATTTAAATGTTTCTATCATATCCCCCCTGTCTCGTCTTTCCTCCAAGCTATACATGTTAAGATCCTTTAACCTTTCCTGGTAAGTTTTATCCCGCAATCCATGAACCAGTTTAGTAGCCCTTCTCTGAACCCTCTCTAAGGTATCAATATCCTTCTGAAGATACGGTCTCCAGTACTGTGTACAATACTCCAAGTGAGGTCTCACCAGTGTTCTGTACAATGGCATGAGCACTTCCCTCTTTCTACTGCTAATACCTCTCCCTATACAACCAAGCATTCTGCTAGCATTTCCTGCTGCTCTATTACATTGTCTGCCTACCTTTAAGTCATCAGAAATAATCACCCCTAAATCCCTTTCCTCAGATGTTGAGGTTAGAACTCTATCAAATATTCTGTACTCTGCCCTTGGGTTTTTATGTCCAAGATGAATTATCTTGCACTTATCCACATTAAATGTCAGTTGCCACAACTCTGACCATTTTTCTAGTTTATCTAAATCATTTTCCATTTGGCTTATCCCTCCTGGGACATCAACCCTGTTACATATCCTAGTATCATCAGCAAAAGACATACCTTACCATCAATACCTTCTGCAATATCACTAATAAAAATATTAAAGAGAATGGATCCAAGTACAGATCCCTGAGGTACCCCACTGGTGACAAGCCCAAGCTTCGAATATACTCCATTGACTACAACCCTCTGTTGCCTGTCACTCAGCCACTGCCTTACCCATTTAACAATATTGGAATACAAACTTAAAGATTGCAATTTATTGATGAGCCTTCTATGTGCAACAGTGTCAAGCCTTACTGAAATCTAGGTAAGCAATGTCTACTGCACCACCCTGATCTATTATTTTAGTTACCCAATCAAAAAAATCAATAAGATTAGTTTGGCATGATCTCCCTGAAGTAAACCCATGTTGTCTCTGATCTTGAAATCCATGTATTTTTAGATGTTCATCAATCCTATCCTTTAACATGGTTTCCATTACTTTCCCCACTACTGAGGTGGGGCCTATAGTTGCCCGACTCCTCCCTACTACCTTTCTTGTGAATGGGCACAACATTCGCTAACTTCCAAACTTCTGGGACTACTTCAGTTAACAATGATTGGTTAAATAAATCTGTTAATGGTTTTGCTAGTACACCACTAAGCTCTTTTAATAACTTTGGGTGTATTCCATCAGGTCCCATTGACTTATTTGTCTTTACTTTTGACAGTTGAAATAAAACCTCTTCCTCTGTAAACTCACGTGTAATAAATGACTCACTTATCCTTTTTCCTAACTGAGGTCCCTTTCCTTCATTTTCCTCTGTAAATACTGAACAAAAATATTAATTGAGGCAGTCAGCTAGACCTTTATACTCATCTACATACCTCCCTTCTTTTGTTTTTAATCTAACTAATCCTTGTTTTACTTTTTTGTCTTCTCATTTATGTATCTAAAAATGTTTTGTCCCCTTTTTTTACTGACTGTGCTATTTTCTCTTCTGTGTGAGATTTGGAAGCTCTTATAACTTGCTTAGCCTCTTTCTGCCTAATCTTATAGAGCATTCTGTCTTCCTCACTCTGTTTTTTTTTTTTATAATTACTAAATGTTAACTTTTAGTTTTTTACTATTTTGGCCACATCTGCGGAGTACCACAGTGGTTTCTTGAATTTTTTGCTTTTACTGAGAAGCCTAATGCAATTTTCTGTTGCCTTCAGCAGTGCAATTTTTAAATAATCCCATTTATCTTGGACTCCATTTAAATTGCTCTAATCTGATAATGACTCCTTTACACATATTCTAATTTTAGAAAAGTCTGTTTTTTTGTTTTTTTTTAAAGTCTAAAACTTTTGTTTTTGTGTGGTGTAACTTAGTCACTGTTCTTGTTTTAAACCACACTGACTGATGATCACTGCATCCTAAACTTTCACCACCAGTAATATCTGATACCAAATCTCCATTTGTTAACACTAAATCTAGAATGGCCTCTTTACGAGTTGGCTCCTCAACGACTTGTTTTAGAGACAATCCCAGTAGGGAGTTTAGAATATGTGTGCTCCTGGCACAAGCAGCTAATTTTGTTTTCCAATTCACATCAGGAAGATTAAAGTCGCCCATGATGATAACTTCCCCCTTCATTGTCATTTTAGCTATTTCCTCAACTAGTAGATTATCTAACTCTTTAATTTGTCCTGGGGGCCTATAAATCACACCTACACGAGTTACTGTGTGATTACCAAATTCTAACGTAACCCAAACGGACTCTATGTTCGCCTCACTAACTTTTATAATGCTATCCTTCACATACAGGGCCACCCCTCCCCCTTTCTTGCCTTCCCTGTCTTTTATATATAAAGAGTACCCTGGTATTGCAACGTCCCTTTGCTATGTACCCTGGTATTTTTCTCATTATACCATGTCTCAGTAACAGCGACTAAATCTACATTATCAGTTGCCATTATTGCCACAAGTTCATGGGTCTTATTCCCTAAACTGCGAGCATTTGTAGACATGACTCTAAGCTTGTCATTTTTTAAAACACTTGCTAAAGGCACATTCCGTCCTTGTTTTGGACGGCAATTGGATTGATGTTTTATCACCCTTTTGCCCCCCCTCCTAGTTTAAATACATCCTAGCAAAACCTCTGAACTGCTCCCTGAGAAAATTTGTTCCCTTTTGTGAAAGATGCAAACCATCTTTTTTGTACAGTTTATTTCCATTTCAAACAGAGCTACCATGAGAAATAAAGCCAAATCCTTGCTCCCGACACCATTCGCCAAGCCACAAGTTAAAGTTCCTAATACGCATCCGCCTGTCGGTCTGAGTGTTATGCACAGGTAGAACTTCAGAGAATGAGAGTGTGGAAGCGACCTGCCGTATATGTTTGGCAAAAACACTAAAAACTTCCTTAACCTCTGAAACCGCATTGCAAGCCAAGTCATTTGTCCCTAGATGGACAAGTACATCCAATTCTCCTTCCTGCTTTGCTCGCTTAACAATATATCATTACCGCTCCTGCATCAGTCGTGTTGTATACTTTTTAATTAAATAATATAACTTGATAACATGTCTTTATTAGTATAGTTAAGCTTTTTTGCAGCTTAATCCCAAAACATGGTTTTCTTGAAAAGTGAATAGTGCACCTAACGGGAAATGTCAATTCTAATGGCTAGTGTGGAAAATATATCAAGCATATTTTCAATGTGTTTATTTGCGGCATATACATGAACACCATTTCCCCTGAATTTACTTCTTTTATTTTTGCTAGATTTTTATGACATCTGTGATCTGATGGATTGCCGAGGAACGTGCTTGGATACCGGTGATTGTGTGTGTGGTCCTGGAACTGTTCTTGGTCCTGATGGTCAAACTTGTCTTGGTAAGTCTTGACCGTTCACCCACTATTTTTTCCTTTCTCCCACATATTCTGCAGACTTGATATTTAGTTACTGTGGGCTTGTCCAGACTCCCAATTATGACATTGCGTTTGATGTATTGTTTAAAACTGGAGAAACCATCAGCATGAGTCACCATGAATGGAGTTTGATGCTTCTGAATTCACTGAATGAAGTTTGACACTTCTGATCAAAAGTTTTTCATTCTGTGTGAATCTCCTATGTATTGTTCCACACATCTTTCTGTTTCTTCGTTTCTTCGTATTTCTTAGTTTGTCAACGATGGTTTGATTCCTCATGTGAAATGATTCCAGCAATATCCCAAGCTTTCCTACAGAATTAATAAGAAATTCTCTGTATTCATTTACATCTATGTAAGAGATAATGCAGTTCACATACTCACATGCTTGTTATTGCCGATGGACTGCAATGTTAAATTTAAAATGATAAGGCTAAGTACAGTCAGGGAGTCTTGAACTGTCACATAGGGTAGCAGGAGCCCTCTAGAATGGAAGAGGCGAGGCAAGCAGGGGCATCTGGTGGTTCCCAGGTAAGAAGGCAAATTATTCTAAAACGGTTCGATTACTCATTGGGCGGGGGGATGTCATGGCACTCCTGGCACCATAACCACTACAATATACTGTAGTGGTTATAGTGCTTGTACTATTTCTTTAAGAATTTAGAAATCATGCAAGTACAATTGTATTTTGTTATATACAGCAATTCTAAAGTTCTAAAAATCTTAATATTCACCAGAGTAATTGGAACAGAACGACCATAGGATATAAACTAGCAGTTTCGAAACCAAAAAAATATATCATCCAGTATTTTGGGTGCTGGACATGATACATTTTCAACAGAGCATGCCTTATTTAATAATTGTCTGGGGCTTAGGTCCTGTGGATTTTCCTAGCATTGCCTACTGTAACAAGAGTCATTAAACTTCAATCTAATGTTGATATGATATATAGGCTGAGGATCTAATCATCTTAATGGATAATCAGTATCACATTCCTAGGAGCTAAATAATAGTCAGGCTTTAACAATGCATGCATCCTAGTAAGAATATTTTTAGTTTCCATCTGCCAAAAGAACAGACGCAGAACACCGTCTGATTTATAGCTTCTCTGACTCGATGTAGGATAAAAAAAAATCATCTGTCAGCTGCTATTTCTGATCCATTCATTTGGAGAGGCTAAATCATGTTAGAGAGATGGCAGCTTCAAAAGAGATAGGACGGCAGAGGGTTGTTAAGGAGGTCTGGAACGGGGACAGAAATAAGTGAGGAAATGACTGAAGACTGAAAGGGAATAAATGAATTGTGAGAAATATTAAATAAAACTGTTCTCTTCAATGAGCTACAAATCATTGTAGATCAATTTGGCAAACATTGAGATTTAAATAGTCTATAAATGTTGTAATGGTTTGTTCCTTGCGGGAACTATTTCCCAGGTCTATTAACCACAAGTATAATCTCCCATTGTATATTCCCTGTTCTATTCTTGCGCCTGTTAAAGGGACACTATAGGCACCCAGACCACTTCAGCTCATTGAATGGTCTGGGTGCGGTGGGCCAGGTCCCTTAACCTGGCAAAGGTTCAGGGACCTGCAAAGGTTTAAGAACATGCAATAATTACCTGTGAGGGTTAACGCCACCTCTAGTTGCTGTCTACTAGGCAGCCACTAGAGAGACTTCAGGGTTATTAGGTGACTTTTGGTCGCCTACCTGATGCTGTTCGTCCTCACGCTTTGCATGGGGACATCCAGCGTCACCCGAAACCCCATAGGAAAGCATTGTACAATGCTTTTCTGTGGCTGTGCTAATGCGAGCACAGCCATTGCCAAATGTTTCCAGTTCACATATTTTGGGCTGAAATTTTAAATTCACTTTGCATTCTCACTTTAGTGTGGCCTTATATTGAACTTCACACCAGGGGGATAATTTATGGAGATGGGAAAATAACAAATAGTGGATTTTAGTGGATTTATCAAAGGCCAAGAGAAGTATATACAATCAGTCTATTCTATAGATTGAAGATGGCCCAAGACAATATTCTGCCTGAGTCCACGAACAGTAGCATGCTGAATAAAACACCTGCTGAAGCCACACTCACACAAGGCACACTCATTAAACATAATTATTATTATTTATAAAGAGCCAACACATTCTGCAGCGCAGTACAATATGTGGACTAACAAACAAGTAGTTGCTTGGAGAGTTTACAATGACGGCTTAGTTTTTTAGAGGACAGTGTTACAGGAGAGAAGGTTGATTAGTGAGGTGTGTGGTGTGATAGATGCTAACAGTTTGATAGGCATTCTTGAAGAAGTGAATTTCCTTGATCTTTTTTAAGCAATGGAGACGGGGTGAGAGTCTACTGGTGCAGGGAAGGGAGATCCATAGGAACTTTGCAGCCCTAGTGAAGTCATTTAGGTGAAAGTCAGACGGAGGTTTTCAACAGTGACCTGGATGGACATGCTTGTGTATTAGTGAAGATAGCTAGAGAAAAGCAGTATTATGAAGAGATTTGTGAGGACCAGAATTTTAAATTGAACGCCATTGGAGGAGGACAGGAAGATGAGCCTTGTCAACAATTATTATAGACTGTAGCATAAAATTAAACCTTCCTAGAATTTATTTTTCACTTTCTCTCCCCATCAGTTGATATGCCATTTCACTGCCTCCCATTTTCATTTCCTGTCTCTGCAATTAATGTCCCATGCCACTGACCCACAGCCTATATACAGAATTCAGCTCTGCAAATTCATATCCTTTTCAATTTCACAATATCTTTCTCCCTAGTTTATATTAGCACAGCTTATTTATGATTCTCAACCATAGTATGCCAATTAATCTTCAACTTCCATATGCCATAGTCTTGAATTCATCTCATCCAGACATACTCCTCTGACCCTTTTCTCTTAGCTGTGTTCGACCAATTTGTCACACCAGTCTCTCTCTCTCTCTCTCTCTCTCTCTCTCTCTCAAACTTTAAGCATCTCCCACACAATGCTCACATACTTCTATACAACACCTCAAGCAGCCTACACACAGCCTCCCCATTCTCAACTCACACAAATCCAACAACTATAATCTCTTGTCATTTGCAGAAAATGTTCCTTAAGTGCTATTTCATGTGGTTTATGTACATGTATTTTGTTGTTTTTTTTGTAATCTCAAAAATACAATTTCAAACCGTTTGACTGAAAAATACATAGTTATGTAACATTCTAAATATTGCATGTCACACTCCCACAGGTCACTCTTTTACATCCTCTGAGAGGACCATAGAGCAATCTGGAACATAGGTTGTTAATAAAATAGCTTCACCTATATCATACAAGCAGGATTGTGTCATCCAGATAGAACCATTTTCACAATTTGCATTAAAAACACAGTGACATATGGTAGTGACGTAAGGGTTACATTTAAAGAATATCTTCTGGGAAAAGAATTCCAGTTTGGTAATCATTGCAACATGTACTTTAGCTGATGTGAATTCTACTAGGTTTCCATCATACTCAGCCATGTGCCAGTACAATTTAATGTGTTCTAGCTAATTATAATGTTTGAAGGACATATTATCTGGTCACAGTTGCAGTTTTTTGCAGTTTTAGTTTTTCTGTTTACAACCTAATATTTTTTCCATCATCTCGCTACTAGTGCGCTATAAGAGCAGTATTTCTCTGTACGGGCTGGTTGCTGAGTAATTGCTACTGAGATATATCAGGTTGCATTAAGGCACAGAGTTACTTTGTGCTATTCTTTTGAAATGTTGTCATCCGTATGGCATCAGTCATAATGGCATATATTCAAAATGACAACGCTGAAAAGACACAACATTCGTTTCTATACTTCAACATCATGTCCTCAGGAGATTCATCCCTGCCTTCTGGGGTCAAACAACCACCTGAATACTTTAAAAATAGATTTCCTTGGTAAAAGAAATCAGATGTATCACATACTAATAACAAAAATATACCACCACTTGTCATCTGTGGACCTAACAATCACTGTTTATCCAAAGACTAGACCTTGAACCTTCATTTTTTCTTTGCTCTTCTTCTATTTCTTTCTCTCGTGTCTCTCTGTCAAGTTCAGGCTTTGCTTACTATTCTCTGCTTTATCTCCTCCCTCTCCATCTCCTTACATGTTTTAACTTGTCCAGTCTGCCCTAGTCTATCCTACTTTCTAAACTGGGCATCCTACCCTCTCATATTTGTAATGGTCTGCTGTTAACCTTAACACCTTATCTGTGACACTAACCCTCACCTTTCATTAAACAGAGGCTTGGTGTTTTATTTTTATTATATGCTACTTACATTGCTTACCACTCTTGTTCCTGTATACATCTTGTAACAGAGCTCCCTGTACCCCTGGCTGGGTACCTCCGCCAAGGACCGCTTCCGAGCTGGAACAGGGGACAAACCGCAGCACTTCTACCCACAGTTGACATGGCTTGACTGGGGTCCTGGATCCACTCCCTCCTGGAGCCGAATGCGGAATTCGCTCTAGACACCCCCAGGCACTCGACGACACTCAGTCCTGGGAGCTCTAGTCCTTACAAGGACTTTCCTCGTTAAATCCTCCACACTGGAACAGTGATAAAAGAGTAGCCCTTTCCCCTCCCAGTAACCAGACGACACATAGTTCTGGGAGTACAAGCTGGAATACCTTTTATTGGCAGCCACAACTGGCCTTAAATGCAGGTTCCTATGCAAGGGGCACTCCCCCCTGGACCTAAGAGAAAAACTACAGTAGAAACAAATACACAATTACATTGGCTCTCAGATCCAGGACACTCCCATACATAATAATATAATCCCTCCCCTGTGCCTTGGAGATAATTGAGTCAAGTACTGTATTAAACTCAATTATCTCCAGGTACACAAAACACAAATTTCCCAGACACCCGAAAAGTACCTTAAAAATACATAAAACCCTACAAAAGTTACATCCTGATAGCCCTGATCTGGGTGACCAACATATCCAAAAATCACCCAGATTGGTTCAGGGGTTCAGAAATTTCCTGGAAGTCATAATTTGACCAACCGCAGGCATGGTCCCATGCCCAAAACAGTTCCAGAGAATCAGGAATTGCGGTCAAGTCAGTTCAGTAGTTTAAAAATCACACAAACTACCAAACATAGTCAATGTTCTTACCCTGGAGCTTGTTCCCCTTGTTTGTGGGAACGGTTTCACCGAACAGTGTCGAGCAGTGTCTTTCTAAGTGTTGTAGAACCGAATCGCAGGTGATCATGGAGGTCCAGCGGTGTTCGGGAGTTTGAACTCGACGACCAAACACCGCTGCCTGTGTTCATGCGAACGAGATGGCCGCCACCTTGTGGTCGTCCATAGGAAACGCGGCCACCCAGATGAACACTTAGAACACTGCAGTGGAAATTGCTACAAAGTATCAATTAGGCTTAACAAGCTCCAGGGTGGTCTCTGGTTCATGCAGCTGTTCGGTTCCCGAACCATATAGTCCAAATACACGAATGGAGACTTTTACATTACATTTTACAGGGTTCATAGTCTGTGGGCAGAAGGCTGGCAAGCAGGCTCCCCCAGGAACTCGAGGCAAACTCACTTGGAAAGGGGATTTTGTCACACATCTGTACTTTGTTAAAATCTTTTTAATACAATTCATGGTAGTTGCCTAATTTGGGGATCAGGAGAGCCTTCAGGTAGATCTGGATATACCTGGCATATTCTTTGTACATGATTGTTACCAGGCATGTTAAATCTGCATTGCCTTTTGGGTCTAATATATTAATTTAATGTTTACCTGTGATGGAAGTAAGTAAAAAAACTCTTATGAGATGTACCTTTTAATTAGAACACACTATAAACTATAACGTTTATCCAGCCTGTAAGTTTTTTTGTTTGTTTTTTGGACAATAAAATGTATTTCTACACTTTTCAGATGAAAATGAATGTGAGCAAAGTAATGGTGGCTGCAGTGAGATTTGTATAAACCTGAAGAATTCTCACCGATGTGAATGTGGAAAAGGAAGGATCCTAGGGAGAGATGAAAAATCTTGTGAAGGTAAGAAAGATCTAGTGTGAGTACCGTCTCTAGAGTAAAAGATTAGTTGCATTTCCAAACTTGCATCTACTGCATAGTGTTTCATATAGAGAAGAAGTAAAGAGGACTCATTTATGCCCCATCTATAGCAGAGAAGTAAAGAGGACTCATTTATGTTCCACAGTGATTTGTAAGAATTTGTAACAATATAGAAAATATATAATTATGGCCTCTCTCGGTATACGTAAATGTCATTCACTCTGCATTGAATATGTAGCCTTATTGCAAACATTAGATTAATCAAAGTGTGTAAAATATCTGACAATATGTAGTTTAGTCAAATAATAATCTAATTTTAAGTCCTGCTTCTTATGAGCCAAATATGGTACTTTCATTAAATATTTATATATGATAATGCAGAGAAAACCCAGTAGCGATATAACAAGGTCTGACAACTTGCTTGTTTCTGTTCTATATAGGATAAAGTGAAAAGTACATTGTCTTAATTAAAGTATTACTACAATCTTTATTTTATTTTAAAATGCCTTACTGGGCGCTTGTAGCATGTCCATTTAATAATGATATTTATATAGAAATAGACATAGTGAGGTGGGGAGGGAAAGCACTGAGGTAGGTGAGATCTAGGTTTCCCCTTGTAGGCTAGTAGTTTGCCCTGACAATAGATATAATTTTTGCATTGAATTGACATCAAGCAGAAAGTCTTCACATACAGAGTTCTATCTCCACTGATCTCTATTTGAATACAGTAAGTTGGTGGAGTTTTAATGGGTTGGGTCCAAGTTCTGTACGTGGGTCAACAGGATTAATCTATGATGTATGTTCATTGTTAGTAGATGGAACTATGTATCGTATGGTCTGCTGGTCAGGGAGCTGGAAACAAAGTGCTCTGTAAGCCAAGCTAATTGAGTATATAGAACTCCCTGCACAGTGGTGCCTGTTACTGCAGGTTTCTCGTGTAACTAACTGAACAGACATTCTACAGAGAGATAAGGGATTGACTGCAAATGTGTCACGTATTCATCCGCTTATAGAAATGTGGTTAATGACATTTACTGTCCACACAGGAAAAGTTGTGCCGAGCAGCAACCTAATCCACAGAAGGTTTAATGCTGAGCAGTAATTGTGCAAATGAAACCTGGTGTCATGTATTCATCCGCTTATAGAAAAGTGGTTAATGACATTTACTGTCCACACAGGAAAAGTTGTGCCGAGCAGCAACCTAATCCACAGAAGGGTTAATGCTGAGCAGCAATTATGCAAATGAAACCTGGTAACTGACTTTGGGGTCAAAGGCCGGTTACAGCCTATCAGAACTAAAGGAGGGGTATTTAGGCCCAGTTCTCAGCCTGCTCAGTGCCCTGTCGTGGTTTCCCTTGTGGTTGTCTGAGAGCGCGTTCCTGTTTATAGTTTTCTACCTGGTTTTGACTTTGGCTTTGTTTATTGACTTCTCTATATTCTGGTATCCTGACTCCTGGCTTTCCTCATCGCTGTGTCCCTTTCTGTGTTCCCTGACCTCGGCTAGTATTTTTGACTATTCTTTGTACGTTAAATCCGGCCATTCTAAGGACCGGTAATACGTTACTTATTTGTCATCCGTGCTGTACAGTTCTACGTGCTGGATCAAACAGTAATCTTGACAAAATGTGGGCAACTAGAGCATACTGTTAGATTTAGTCCAGAGATAGAGAACTTAACTAAGATATGATTAGTATACGACCCTTATACTCTCATGCTGTGGGCAAATCAGCTGCCATGAGCAGTCTTTACCTGGAGAGAGTACCTGTGTTGAAACACAAAAGCACATTTAAGTATCCTGAACATTTAGGTAGGAGGTACACAGTGAATCACAGGAAAGGACACTACAGACATCTGTAATTGGTCTGAATATTACAAAAGAGTTGTAATAAAAGGGCTTATTTGAGCAGGGCCTACTTCACGCTATGGTTCATTATTTTATTTTTCAACTACCTGCTGTTTTATATACCCATTATAGATCTATATATAGCTGTGTGTGGATATTGCACAAAAGACCGTGTCAAACATCCTACGGTGTAAGCAGTACCACTTAATATCTACTGATATGTATGCTTTAGCTGTAACAATAATATCTCAAAATGGAAGTATATCTGACAAATAAAGAATATATGTTGCTTAACGGAAGAATTGATTCAATCAACAACATAATTAGACTTTCCCAGGCAAATATTTTTTGATAATTTCCACTAATGGTTGCTTATTAATTATCCAAGCGGTGAGGCTCCTGGAACTCACAGCCCTGTTAAATGTATGTAAATTGTAATTCTTTTATTTATAAGGCTAGTAAGCCCTTTGTTCTTTTGTAACCTTCCCTATACGGATCCTGGTTTTCCGATATACCCTTGTTTCATCCATTTCAGTTATATCTGGTAACATGCTACATGCTGCTGTATCACACGTGAAGCCTCCATCTTGCCACTGACTGCTATGTCTGATGTAACCCTGTGTGTTAGCCTTCCATACATTAATATACAATAATAAATACTTTAATTATACTAATAAAAAGTGTTTCTTTATTATATAAAGAACTTGGAAAGTTCAAATCAACCCCTGAACAGATAGTATGTGTAACGGATCACCTGGCACCCCGACTGGGTACCTCCGTTGAAAGATGCTCCTAGCGCTTCCTGAGGACTCCAAGCACTGCAGCAGACACCACAACCACCGAACCGGAGAAGCATGTGAATCCTCTCAAGCATATGAATGCTGTAGACAGTTGAATAGGAACCATACGAATAGGTTTACTCTCCTAGCAGTCAAACTGGAACAGCATACAATAAATCCTTCCCCCAATAATGAGACGACACTTCACTTTGAGGGTTAAAGCAGGAACTCCCTGTACTGTCACATACAGTCTCTTTTATTCCCAATCCACAAACATAGTACAGCCCACAGGGCGTTACAAAACAGCCAATCAATTCATACAATACACACAAACACTCCCACACAAAATCCTCCCCTCTGGCTGTGATATGATTACTGAACACAATGGGTAATCTAATTATCACAGCCAGAGAAATACAGTTTCATAAACACATCACAGGGACCCCAAAACATGCAATAACCCCATAAAAAAAATAATCTTGGAACTGGGGGATCTGGGTGAACCACATAGCCAAAATTCACCCAGATCTGTTCAGTACTTTGGAAAATACAGTTTAATGCAGATTCTGCAGAACATATACAGGCTAAATAAAAACAATCACTGTATAATGTGTCCCCTGCTGTATAGTCCAAAACCACCGCACGATGTCTCTGTCAACAAATACTGGCGAGATGGCACCGTGTTGAAAAGTCCAAACAGTGTCTGGGAGTTAAAATGGCCGCCATCCATTGTTCTCACCATGTGCTTCTGATACAGGAAATGGTGGCCACCCAGTAACTCCACAGTATGTCCCCAGATGGTTCTTAAAAGGGCCAGCAGCAGCACAACACAAATCCATTATGCCCAAATCATGTCTTTAAAGGGCAATACATCCCAGGGGCCATAGTCACATGGCAGGAGGCTGGCAACCAGGCTTCTCCAGTGCATAGTGGCGAGGTTGGTTCCGCCACAGTATGTGTTGAATTGGCACCTGGAAAACCTTTATATTACTACCCATAATAACCCTGTGGTGGACTGCCTAGCACCCTGACTGGGTGCCTCCACTAATCGCTGCTTCCTTGCTACACTGAGTACTCCTAAGCACTCCACCGAACACCATAACCACCGTAAACCCCACAGCCAGCTTACAGCTTGGTTGGGGTCTTGCTGTCCTCCACCCACCATGGACCCAAGACCAGGATCCAGCTTCCAGTGGGTAGACCTCTCCTACTCCAGAGAGTAAAGCAGGATGCTCTCACAAGAGAATATGTTGTAATCCAAGGGAGTATAGTGATTATAGCAATTCCCGGAGTGAATATAGCTGTCCCCTCCACACATGAAATGAGGCTCTATGTTGAGGGTGAAGAGGAACTGTTAAATTGCAGCCTCAAATGGCCTTATATGCAGGTTCTCATGCAAGGGGTTTACTATAACATATTCCAGGGGCATTACCCACTGGACCTGAGAGGGGACTCTGACAAGGTACACACTTTAATCATATTGGCTCTAAGGTCCAGGACACTCCCACACAAACAGGGTAACCCCTCCCCTGTGCTTGAGAGATAATTGAGTCATGAACTGTGCTAAACTCAATTATCTCCAGGCACAGAAAACATACATTCTAACAATATCATGCAAGTACCCCCAAAACACATGGAAATCCCACAAAAATCACATCCCCTGATAGCCCCGATCCGGGGGACCAACATATCCAAAAATCACCCAGATCGGTTCAGGGCAGGGCCGCCATCAGGGCATGACAACCGCAACGGTTGTCATGGGCCCGGCGGTCCTGGGGGCCTAGACTGCTAAGGTCGTTCGGGCCCCACATTCAGTGGGTACATACCGGGTCGCAGGGGGCCCTGCGACCCCGGTATGTACCCACTGGGCCAGCCTCTTCTCCTGGGGGGCCCAGCAGCCGGTCACCTCAGGGCCCCCCAGAGGCTGGCCCTAACAGCCGGCCGGCACGCGAGGGAGCACTCTACTCTGAGTGCTTCCTCTTCAGCTCCCTCGCGCACCGTACTGATGCCGGCGCCGGAAGATGACGTCATCTTCCGCCGCCGGCATTAGTACGCGGCGCGCGAGGGAGCTGAAGAGGAAGCACTCAGAGGAGAGTGCTCCCTCGCGTGCCGGCCTACCGGCCAGCTGTCTGAGGGAGGTGGGGGGGAAATTTGAGGGAGGTTGAGGAAAGAAATTTAAGGGAGGGGGGAGGAAATTTGAGGGAGGGGGGGAAATAAATCTAAGGAAGGAGGGGAGGAGGAAATTTGAGGGAGGGGGTAAATAAATTTAAGGAAGGGAGGGAGGGGAAAGAAATTAAGGAAGGAGGGGAGGAAAGAAATTTAAGGAAGGAATTTGAGGGAGAGGGGGAAAGAAATTTAAGGGAGGGGTGAGAGGAATGAAATTTGATGGGGAGGGGCAGGAAGGAAATTTGAGGGAGGGGAGAGGAAGGAAATTTGAGGGGGGAGTAAGAAAATTTAAGGGGAGAGGAAGGAAATCTGAGGAGAGGAAGGAAATTTGAGGTGGGGAGAGAGGAAGGAAATTTGAGGGAGGGTGGAGGAAGGAAATTTTGAGGAGGGGGGAGAGGAAGGAAATTTGAGGGGGAGAGGGAAGGAAATTTTGGAGGGGGAGAAAATGAGAGGGAAGGGGAGAAGGAAATTGGAGAGGAGGCAAGTTGGGGAGAAGAAGGAAATTTGAGGGAGGGGGGGAAGGAAATTTGAGGGGAGGAAGGAAATTTGAGGGGGAAGGACATTGGAGAGGAGGGGTGAAGAAGGAAATTGGAGAAGAAGAAGGAAGTTGTTGGGGGGGAGGAAGAAGGAAATTGAGGGGGAGAAGAAGGAAATTTGGGGGGAGAAGAAGGAAATTGGAGAGGGGGGGAGAAGAAGGAAATTGGAGGGTGTGGGAGAAGAAGGAAATTGGAGGGGGAGGGGGAGAAGAAGGAAATTGGAGAGGGAGGGGGAGAAGAAGGAAATTGGAGAGGGAGGGGGAGAAGAAGGAAATTGGGGGGGAAGAAGGAGAGGAGGGGAGAAGAAGGAAATTGGAGAGAGGGAGGGAGGGGAAGAAGAAGGAAATTGGAGGGGGGGAGAAGGAAATTGACGGGGGAGAGATTGACATACATCACACACACACACAATGCACCCCTTGCACACAGAAAAATAAACAATGCATTACACACAGACACACATACACAAGCAATGCATCCCTTACACACAGCAACACACAATGCACCCCTTACACACACTCCATGCATCCCTTACAGACGCACACACTGCATCCCATACATACACAAACTCACCTTGCAGCCCTTACACATACAAACACAGATTCACACAATGCATTCCTTACACACATCAGGACATCCCCCACACACACACTCCACCCCCTGTGAACAAACTCATTGGTGGAACATGAAGGTGGATCCTGGGACCCAGACATTGAGCTGTGTAAAGGGCCCTCAAAAAAATGGAGCTGCTTCCCGTTGATCCCAGAACATTTATTTTTGTGACCACAGTTACAAACCGCCTTCAGAGAGCCTGTTCTACACCAGACCAGTGGAGCCAGACGGGAGCTAGAGCCCATCATCATCCTCATCTGGTTGTAAGTAATTATATTATTTGTGGCACTAATCTCTAATTTACCTCACATTAAAGGGACACTATAGTCCCCAGAACCACTACAGCTTAATGTAGTGGTTCTGGTGTCTAGCCTGTACCTGCAGGCCTTTTAATGTAAACAGGACGGCACTGCAGCACTGGTGTTAGTTAACATGGCAGATCATATGGGTGGGGCATTGTGATGTCACATGGGGGGGCGGCAAACTTTACTTTTGCCTTGGGCGGCAAAAATCCTTGCACCGGCCCTGCAGACACTGCATTCCTGTGGGCGGACTCGGGGGGAGGGAGGTGTGGGGGCTGCAGCACTTTGGGCGGACTCGGGTGCAGGCACTGGGGGGCCCAGACCTTGAGCTGTGTCAGGGGCCCCACAATTTCTGATGGCAGCCCTGGTTCAGGGGTTCGGGATTCCATGAAAGTCATCATTTGACCGACTGCACACGAGGCTCCTACCCAAAAGAGTTCCATGAAAACAGGCTGTGCTGTCGGTCTCTTTCGGGAGAACAAAATACAACAATATACCGAACAGAACTGTTAGTACGTGTGCTTGCCTTGTGTCCCTCGTTCGGGAGTTTGCTGTTCTTCTCCTATGAATCCAACCGAACATACGTTGAGATGGAAGTCCCAGTGGTGTTCGCGCCATACGAATGATGGCCACCTAGCTAACCACTTAGAATGTTGTGGTTAACTAGGTCAATAAGGGTAATAAGCAGCACACGTCTCCCATGGGTGGTCCAGGAGTTTGGGAGTTGGTTCGGTATTCGAACACAATACTCCTAATCCGTTCGGTAAGCCAGGGACCAAGGTCTATTGCAGGGGCCATAGTCCTGAGGTAGAAGGCTGGCCAGCAGGCTCCTCCAAGAGCCCGTGACGAGGTTACTTTCACCACAAACCAGACTGTGACACTGAGTACTATTACTATGAATAATAATGACTGTTTTAAAGACAGAAAAGGTAATAATATCAAATGTTTACATTTTGCTAAAAAGTATTACATTTAACTTTGAAGGCCTCTCACAGGTTGTTATTTGTATGTGGGTTTGATATGAGAGCTTTGTTGTTGTTTTTTTTTTTTGTTTTTTTAACAATACTGAAGCTAAAAATTGCACTATATTAATTAAGGGGAAAAAATCCTTTTCCATTTGCTTGTATGGAAACAAAGACAATCTGCACAGTTCAAATGGTTAATATTGTATACCAGCATTAATTAGTTGCATATTTTGGGTTTTACAGAACTCCTGTAATCCAGTGGTTACTGTTTAGGCTGCACTCACTGCATTATAGTCATTCGAACCAACCCACTGGTTTCCGATTAATTAACCCTATCATTGTGGGCCAAGTGCTTATATAATCCCATTCGCTTTACGGAAAACATGGTATAGAATTGATAAAAAAGTACTACTTGAAAATAAGGCATTTGTTGCAGAACAAGCTATTTCCGTGATGATAAAGGTAACTGACCACTAGTTATCGCAAAGCCACATGTAAACTATTTCCTCTTCGAAACCAGTAAAGTTAAAGATAATGACTTAAAATAAAAAAGGGTCATGGACAGTTTAAATGCTGTACACTTTTTTTACACAAGTTATTTCTATAATCTAAATGTCCTCAGAATAATTTGTTAAATGTCTGATGAATGGAGAAATTTGGGATGACACAATAATCTCAGAGACTCTTCATTCTGACTTTGGATGTATATATAAATCACAAGACCAGTAGAAGCACCTATGAGATTATTTCATATGATAAATGTAATTTTATTGTGATATTTAACTTGCATATCTGTTATGGCTGTGGACTGATTCACATTCAACAGGGTTATTTACTAATGTGAGAATTCAAGGTGATCTCAAAGTGAATTTCACACTTACAGCCAAAGTAGCTGAATATAAAGCATAGTTGACTTCGAGAATTTTTCTAGTTTGACCTTAACTTTAAAATTCACTTTGAATTCGCATTCAACTCTCACTTTAGTGAATAACCTTGACGGTATAAATGTCCTCCTTCCTCTACAGATTTTAGAACATATGAATAAAGTACAACTTATAGTCATAATGAAGCCATATAAATTATATATGTGTGCATATGCTTTTTTTTTTTTTTATAAATTCTTTATTTGTTTGGAAGATTTGTATTTTTACAGAAAAAGGAAGTCTTACATCACACGACAGTTTACAAGCTTTAGTGGTTTATAGTTGCTTTGCCACTAAAGGGCTGTCATTGTTTTGTGCAGCACCCTAAGAGGCCCCTCTCCCGCCCTTGGAACAGTGGTGTGTGGGTATGGTACCGCGCAGGAATTGTGGGTGCTCGGTTATCTCCTGGGTGCCATGCTTCGTCCCACAGGGAATCCGTTCGAGCCGTGCATGGCTTGTCGGACTGGCCCTGCGGTGTGTTAGGCCCATGGCCTTCGGGGTAGTGTATTAGGTTGTGTCCCCAGTGGCCTTGTTATGGCGTGTACTGCCGTGTGTGCAGGCTTCCTTATGAAGGGGAAGGGGGGTCGTAGAGTTGGGTCTGTTGGGCCCACTACGGTTCACAACGGTGTGCCTTGGTTTTCGAGTTTGCCTTCTGGGGAGGGTAAGGTGTGCTGAGGATATCATACAGGGTCTAGTGCAGGTGTTTTGCTTGGGGTCCCAATGTGGACGTTCCCCAACCTGGTTGTGAGGAGTGTCAGGCCCGTTGGGCTTTGACGTTGTTCCCTCTGGGTTTGATTTCTCCCTGCCCTCCTGTTGGTAGTGTGTTGTTTACCTACCGACGTCCCCGGTGGGGTCCTAGAGGGGAGTGTGGTGTGGGATCAGTTGCTGTCCCCGCACAACCAGGTCCAGCCTCCCCCATCGTGGAGGGGGTAGGAAGGGAAGAAGGGCATGACAGATTTTCTACTGGGAAAGAAGGGGGAATTAAAGGTGGAGAAAGAGTGAGAGAGAAGAACAGGGAAGGAACTGGAAAGGGGGACAAGAGGAAGAAGAGAAGAAAAAAAAAAATAATTAAAAGGGGAGAAGAATGGGTGTGAGTGGAGAGCGCCTTGTGAAGCCTTATTCGAGCTGCCACGTGGCCCAGTTGTTGGGCTCGGTTGTCATTGTTTTAGTTCGATTCTTGCCTTGTGGATACTAATTTGTCAGTCTTCTAAGTTGAAGGCTCGCAATGGTGTATGGGTATTTGGTTTTTAGTGTTGCGGTGCGTTCTGGTCTGGTCCTATCTAGTTGGTGTCCCATAGGTCCCATGTCTTGTGGAAGGATTTGAACAAGAGGGCTTGAGTGTGGGGCATGGCCACCAGCAGTGGAGGTAGGAGCCTATTTCCCTGCATGGCTTCCAACATAAACCATTGGGTAGTCTGCCCATCTTGCGGAGTCGATATGGTGTCATATACCAACGGTATAATGTTTTATAAGCCTGCTCCTTATGAGTGACGCACACTGTGAGGGAGCCTATTGCTGCCGAAATCTCCGACCAGTCGCTTGGTTCCTCCGGTGGTCTGATGTCTCTTTCCCATGCTGCGACCTAGGTGAGGTTGATTTGGGATGTGTGTGTTGTTAAAGTATTGTAGATGTTGGATATCTGCCCTACGTGGATGGGTGCATTGAAGCATTGCTTTTTGAATGGATTTGGAGGTGCTGTTCCAGCTTGTTTGATCATGAGCATCTGTGCTAGGTCTCTTAATTGTATGTAGCGGAAGTAATCAGAAGTGCAAGTGATTCCAGGTTGGGGAGGGCGTTGTATTCGAATATCTCACCTTGGCGGTATAGGTGGAGCAGTCTGGAGATGTCCCTCTAAACTAAATTGATTAAGTGTTTCTGGGTCATTCCCGGTAAGAAAAGTTTACTGCGGTAGGTTGGTGTGACTGGCGTGAGAAATTATGAGAGGTTTGTCCCACAGAGCCAGGGTATGCGTCACTGCAGGAGAAGTGGGTGGTGGTAGCCGTCTGTGTGCTGGGGGTACCCACATATACGATGACGGTTGGTCCCAGCCTAGCATGTTGTGCTCCAGGTCTACCCACCTTTTGGTCCCAGGTGGTGAATGCTATTGTTGGAGATGCACCAGCTGTGCCGTGTGGTAGTAGCGGAGAAAGCTGGGCAACCCGAGTCCGCCCTGAAGTTTCGGCACGTACATTATAGTTCTACAAATTCTCATTTTTTTTACATTTCCATATAAACTTGTCTATGGCTGATTGTAAGGTTTTGAGGTCTGTTCTCAGTACTGGGATCGGCAGGGTCTGAAAGAGGTAGATGAATCGGGGGAGTAGGTTCATCTTTATACTACTTATGCTACTTTGCGCAGCCATGAAACTCCCAATTTGTCCCACCTTTGTAGATCTGTTAGAGCCGTCATAAGGAGTGGTTTGTAGTTGAGGTCGTAGATGTCTTAAAGGTTTGGTGAGAGACACTTTAGGGAGGTTGATGTTGTTTTGAAGGAGGATAGGGTGCGAAGAGTGTGGAACTGATGTGTCTCCATCGCCAGCGGCATAAGTGTGGATTTTGTCAGATTGATTTTGTAACCAGAGAGGGCCGCGTATTCCGCAATTAGTGCTAGTGTTGCGTGTAGTGATTGTATGGGGTCTGCTAGTGTCAGGTGGATGTTGTCTGCATACGCTGCCACTTTGTATGTGTCTTGCCCGATCCTGATACCTTGTATGTCGGGATGATTGTGTATGGCCTGCATGAGGGGTTCCAAAGAGATCGCTAATAATAGTGGAGATAGAGGGCAGCCCTGCCTGGTGCCGTTGGAGATCGTAAATGCCTGGACTTTTATGTTGGGTAGCAGGAGTCGGCCCTTGGGATGGTCATATAGCGAGGCAAGGTGTCCAACGATAGCGCCACTGATGGAATTTGTCGGTGGTGAGCATGCCATATCGTGTCGAAGACTCTTCTTGTGTTGTCCACTGCTTGTCTTCGAGGGATGAAGCCGACCTGGTCCGGGTGGATTAATTTCAGTTGGAATGGGTTGATGTGGATGGCGAGTGCCTTGGTGATTATGTTTAGGTCAGTGTTGAGGAGGGAAATTGGCCTATAGTGGCCTGAATCCAAGCATTCTTTGTCTGGTTTTGGGATAAGGCAGATGTTGGCTGTGGGCATCTACCATTGTAACGGATCACCTGGCACCCGACTGGGTACCTCCGTTAAAGGATGCTCCTAGCACTTGCTGATGACTCCAAGCACTGCAACAGACACCAAAACCACCAAACCGTAGGTGCATATGAATGCTCTCAAGCATTTGAATGTTGTATACTGCCGAATAGGAAAAACCATGCGAATAGGTTTACACTCCTAGCAGTCAAACTGGAACAGCATACAATAAATCCTCCCCCAATAATGAGACGACACTTCACTTTGAGGGTTAAGCAGGAACTCCAGATTTACTCACACAACCACCTTTTAAGACATTCTCCCATGCAAGGGAGGGATCCACAACAATTAGTACCCCAGCCAATAATGTACCAGTTACCTCCCACACATATCCTCCCCTTAGTGCGACACATAATCCCATTAGTACAGACACAAATTCCCTGGGTTACTGGATGTATCCCTAAACATAGGGTTACACCTTTAAATGCTACATCCCCTTGTAGCCCTGATCTGAGTGAGACACATATCCAAAAATCACCCAGATCGGACCAGGGGTTCGGGAATTATGGAGGGTTAAAGTTTTGACCGACTGCATGGCAAAAGTATCCGAAAATAGTTCCATGTATTTTGGCCCTGCAGTCGGTCACAGAAAAGGGAATGAAAACACACGAATTGCCTGGGTTATAGAGCCTGGCCACCCAGAGGACAAAACCACACATTACACTGATTGCCAATTACCCGTTTGCAACATTGTTGCACACTTCTTCCTGGGTGGTCTGGTTGTTCGGTAGTTTCACTCAATATAATGAATGGAGTGATTCTACTGAACAATCGGGGGAATGCTGCATACACATATACAATTTAGCCGAACACACAGAAACATACATAATATAAAAGACATCCTTACTGTAATCTGCTACCAAGTCTTAAAGGGGTATTGTTCCTAAAAGTCATAATATGTCCCCGGATGGCCCTTAAAGGGCCAGTAGCAGCAATATAAAATATCACATGCCCAAATATTGCATTAAAAGTACAAATTTACAAGGGGCCATAGTCAGCAGGTAGGAGGCGGGCAGCCAGGCCTCTCCAATGTCCAGTGGCAAGGCGGGTTCCGCCACAACCATGGCAGGGGGTGTCCTTGTAGGAGTGTGTTAAAGACCTTACATAGGTGTGGGTCTTGGGAGTTTTTATAGTATAGGGCTGTGAAGCCATCCAGGCCAGGGCTTTTTTATGGGTTTCAGTGTTTTAAATACCAGTGCGATCTCTTCTGCTTCCATGAGGGAGGCGAGGTGGTCCTTGGCCTTAGTGGGGAGAGAGGGTAGGTTAAGGGGTGCGAGAAAGGCAGATATTTTTGTCAGGTGCTCCAGTTCTTGGGTGTATGGCATAGAGAAGTGGTATTATAACTTGGTATAGTACTGTAGGAAGGTACTTGCTATTTTCTCTGGTTGGTTCATGAGCTCTCCTTCTTGTTTGCGGATTTTAGAGATTGGCTTCTTTCCCTGCTTTTTTTTGTGTGCTAGGAGGGTGTCGGCCTTGTTACTCTTTTCATAGAACTTCTGTTTGGTCCACATGATGTTTCGTGCCACATCCATCGCCATTAGAGACTTTATTCTGTACTCTCAGTTGGTCCAGGATTGGTTCTGTCGGTTGTTTGTGGATCGTTTCAAGACTCCTGAGGTCTGCTAGGCCATCTGCTAGGTTTTGTAAGCATTGCCTTTTGAGGGCGGTGACCATAGAAATTAAGTGGCCTCTGATCGCTTTGTGAGTGGCCCATACCATCGCTGGGGAGATGTTGTCCATTGTGTTTTTAGCGAAGTAGTCTCGAATGTTGGTGGTCAAAGTGTAGATGGTTGCTTTGTGCCAGAGTATCATGGGGTTGAGACGCCAGATCCAGGGGCGGACTAGGTTGGGTATTTTGATTGTCATGGTGACCTCCACGTGGTCTGACCAGGCTATGGTGTCTATGCTCGTTTGGACAGTCCAAGATTGGATCGCGGGCGATGTTAGAAATCCATCTATTCTGGAGTATGAGTGGTGTGTGTGCGAATAGAAGGTGTAATCTAGAGTGGAGGGTTGCTGGAGTCACCAGACGTTGATTAACCCCTTAAGGACCAAACTTCTGGAATAAAAGGGAATCATGGCATGTCACACATGTCATGTGTCCTTAAGGGGTTAAGGACGATGTGGCCAGAAATTTGGCATAGAGTTTGTTGTTCCTGGTCATCGTTGGCACCCTGCGTCAGTCAATGGTGGGCGTATGGGTCGCGTTGTAGTCTCCCCCAATGTTCATGTGTTTAGTTCGTACTCTAAGGAGGTGGGTCTGAAGAGCTCCCAGAATGTAGCGTCTGGGATGGTTGCGGTGTAAAGGGAGCACATGGCCAGCTTTGTGGTGCCCACTTGTCCAGTGAGGAAGAGGAATCTGCCCGATGGATTTTTGATGACCTGAATGTCTTCAAGAGGGCATGAGTTGCGGAGCAGAATCACAACTCCTTTCGTCTTGGGTTCCGGGGAGTTAGCCAGGTAGCTTATTTTGAAGTGTCTATTGATGAGGTGGAAGTGTTTTTCCGGTCAGTGAAATGCATTTCTTGGAGCATGATGACGTCTGCTCCCGTGCGGTTTGCCCAGCGTAGAATTCCATGGCGTTTGCCAGGGGTATTGAGGCCTTTCACGTTAATGGAAGTGAACTAAAGTTTAAGGGCCGGTGGTGCCATTTCTCAGTTACCATCAGCATGGGCCATTTTGAGTAGGGTAGGGTCAAATGGAGTGGGGAGGGGGGCAGGGAGGCAAGAAAAAGTCCTGAGGAGTGGGAGAGGGGGTAGCGGCAAAGTAGGTGAAGAGGTAAGAGGTATGGAGTTGAGAGAGAGAAGGGCAGGAATCTAATAGGAGAGGGATTGGGAGGGGAAGAGGGTTGGTGTTGGCACTCAAGGGGTGGGTCCAGTGCGCAGGGCAGCCCACACCAGAAATGTACTGGTAAGCTTAGGGCTGGGCTTATCAATCTGACATTGGTGTCTCCTCTGGCTGTTTAGGCTGTGGAGTGTGAAGGTTGCGATGGGAAGCGGGATGGAAGACGGTCGATGTCTCTTGCAGGCCTTCGTTGGCTTGATGTCGGTGGTTGCTGCGGCACAGTGCGGTGATGCACCTGAGATGGGAGTTGTGGTAAGTCCAGGCTACTGAGGAGTGTGGCTACCTCCATCGGTTGCGTGATAGTGTAGAATTTATTGTCCTTGTGGACAACGAACTTGAAGAGGTGACCCCAAGTGTATCTAAGGGCATGGTGGCTGAGGTGCTGTGTAAGTGGGTGTAGGTCTTTTCTCCTCTTCAGCGTGCTGGGCGCCAAGTCCCGGTACAGTCGGATTTGCACGCCGTCCACCTCCACAGGGTTGTCTCTGGCAGATTGCATCAGTCTCTCCTTGATATGATAGTAGTGCATACGCACTATAACACCTCGTGGGATAGCAGAGTTGGCGCGCTGAGCGCAGTGAGTGCAGTCCATCAGAAGGTCCGCTGCGGAGGCCTCGGGCAGGAGGTTTGGGAAAACCGAGGTGAGAAAGTCTGGGAGCAACTCAATGGAGACTGTTTCTGGCAATCCCCTTACCCGGAAATTGTTCCCGATGTGTCCTGTTATTGAGGTCTTTATTGGATTCTTCCACGGTGCATATCTGCTCTCCAGTTCTTGGATATCTGTGTCGTGGTTATGTACAGTCTCCACCACCTCTTCCATCTTGGTTAGATGGCCCGTTAGAATAGGGCACAGCCTCTTGTCCAGCTCCTCAGCGACGTATTTTCTAAAGTCTGCCAGGAAGCCCTTCATGTCTTTTCTGGTTAGCGGGGTCTCTGGCCCATCTGAGGCCACAATGCTGCTCATTTTTGAGTCTGACTCAGATTGGGAATGTTCCAAAGATGGCGCTAGCACGGACAATCAGGGCCACCGATGAGTTGCGGGATTTTCTTTCACCCCCCCATTTGGTAAAGGTGTGACAGCATATGGGTCCAAGTTTGGAGGGAATTTGGGGGCTCAGTTGCTATTGATGGCTATTGATGGCTTTGTATTCGGCAAAGTTCAGGAATTATGCCATTCACTCGCAAGGTCAGGCACCGCCTCATATGTGTGCATATGTTGCTGCTTAACAAATACTAAATAATAATAACAAAGTATTTAACCAGGAAAGGTACATTTGGATTACTCTGGTTTTCAAGTATGTCCTGGGGATGTTAGCCGAACATCCAAGGGTTGTTACTATTGCCCAATTTAATGGTACTCATTTTATCTACCTTGGAAAGGGCTGAGTTAACCCTGCCAGGATTTGAACCTAAGGGTTGAACAGATTCTACTGATGATGCATTAGCCCACTGAGCTATCTCACCGGCACTATGGTTTATTGAATTTGGCAATATATAGGCCGGGAGTGGTTTAATTGGTAAAGGGGATGTGAGAAAACTATAGTCATTACTCAGTTAAGGGGAAGGTGTTTTGTAGGCTTATCATTTTTATCTTACTTTTTGAACTTAATCTAATCTTGTACAAACTTGAGAGATGAACTGTTTTCCCTATGATTCTCACAAGACCAGTGATCTTGAAAGGGTTAGCAGCACACCGCCACTATATATAGCTGTCCATTATCTATAAATGGCTAAAATAACTTGTCAATAATTAATTATGAATATATTTTATTCTTGACAAGTTGTTTATTTATTTCAATCTACTAAAAGTTCCATAGATTAGACAAAGAAAAGTTTTCTGGACATTTTTCAGATAGAAATGACTGATCTGACAGTTAAGTTTATTGCTTTGGGATCCTTGGGATTGCTTTAGAATCATAATGTTATCGTTTTTTTCTTTTTACTGCAAGCTATTGCTTGATGGACTCCATCTGAATGTCTGTTTTGTTTTCCCCTTTACCTCAATTCACCTGCAAATTAACTTGTTTTTCTTCAGCTCAAAACTTGTTGAAGTACACAAAGAAAAACACAATTCAGTTCTTCTTAGATTTATTGTTCCTGTTTGATTGTACATAAAAATAAAGTCTAATAAAAAGTTTTAATCTAACTATATATGAACTTTGCAATAACATTTTACACTTCCTGGCCCCATCTTTTTTTAAATTCTTATTAGCCGAAGAGGTATAGTTGCTTTACCATGCCAAATGTAGGACCAGTTGATATCTCAGGATTGTAGTTTTGTGTCAAATCACCCTCTCATTTCCAAGCTCGGAAAAATGAATACTAATGAATTGAATGAGAATAACTTCTAAGAAATATTTGGACATGATAAAAAGCTCAATGTGTTCATCTTAATGAAACATGTGTATTATTGTTAGCATCATTAGACAATGGTAGTTCGATCCAGTCTATCCTTAATCATCAAAGGTCATGGACTCCTGGAATTCAAACATGGAACAAGGAAGGATAAAAGTAACTAGCTGGGATCTAATGGATTCATTGGAAAACTGTGGTTGCACGTACCAAAATAGTTAGTACTGCACTAAACCCAACTCTAGAGTTTATTGCCATCCAAGGTTGGACAGATTTGGTTGGACACTATAGAAGGGTTTCCGTACTGTATGCAACTTTTTTGATTTAGGAGTTCTCTCAATAACTGCATATGACACATCTGTTTAACCGGTTAAATTGTTATTATCCTTTAGTAATTATGCCCTCAGAAGTTCCTGCTTGCACTCGTAATTACCTTCGTTTGATGTCTATTCCGTTGCGTGAACTATTCTATCTTTTTAGATGTAAACATTGAGATCAACATCAGCAAAACAAAGACTGGTAATTCAGAGTAGTTTTAAAAGAAGTGACCCTAATATATGTAGCGGATGGCACTGGGCTGTCCTGCAAAATGTCTTGTGAATAACTGCATTCGTGTGATCTGCTAGTTTTATATGTGTTTTAAAAGAATTGTATTCCTCTGATTGTTCGGTAGAATCATTCGAATAAACTAAGGGAATGAAACTACCGAACAATCAGACCTCCCTTGTGTGAAGTGTGTCCTCAATTACCCGTTGCAACATTGTTGCGAACGGGTAATTGACAAGTTAAGTAGCCGTCCTTTGTTCTCGGGGGTGGCCGCCATTCGACAAACGAACACGTGGCAGCGGCCATTTTAAAACTCCCGAACAGCGGTGTTTTGCCGTCGAGTGTCTGGAACTCAAATCGGACACTCGACTAGGCGAACACCGCTGAAACCTCCACAAGCCCGGTCCGTTCGGTTCCAAACGAGGGGCCGTTCGGTAGATAGAAAGAACCGAACGAGGGGATTCAGGCGAACCCTCCCTAGCCTCTATAGCTAGAGGCTTTCGTGCAGTTTGTTCCCTTATTCCAGGACCGACTGCAGGGCCCATTCACATGGAACCGCATTCGGTTATTTCAGTCAGTGCGGTCGGTCGTTTTATTCCCTCCATAAATTTCCCGAACCTCTGGTCTGATCTGGGTGATTTTTGGATATGTTGTTCACCCAGATCATGGCTATCAGTGGATGTAGGATTTAAAGGGGTACCCCTACGTTTAGGGGTACATCCAGAAACAGGGGGAATTGCTAGCCTGGATAAGGGGATTATGATGCAAGCTGAGGGGAGGAGATGGGTGGGAGGTTACCAGGACAGGATTGGCTACTGTACTAATGAATGTAAATCCCTCCCTTGCATGGGAGCATGCTTTAAAAGGACACTGTGGATTAAAAGATTTCAGTTCTGCTCCTGAAACTCTGTGTCGTCCAGTTATTGGGATTGCTGTGATTTTACCTGCTGGAAACCTTGCCTGTGGATTTACTATTTACTTGTTCCTGAGCCTCACTTGGATTATAAGCGGAGATACCCTGGGGAATATTGCATCTCCGCTACAATATAAATATACTGTAATTCAAAATGCAGAGCTTATAAGTGGTTTACATGTCTCGTTTGGTTTGTAACATTATGTTTCATCCAAAAATGTCAAAACACAGAATACATGCATTGAGTAATTCATTCAGTTGTTTTTCTCAATTAGATATTGAAAGTTGTCATAACAACAATGGAGGCTGCAGTCATTCTTGTGTACCTGTTGATGACTCATATGTGTGCCAGTGCCCCCGTGGGTTGATATTATCTGAGGATAATCACACCTGCCAAGGTATGAGATATAATTTCACATAATACATTTCCATATTTTTTACCTGATTCATAGAAACATTTATACTTTGGGGGAAAAAATATCCACACTAAATTTCACAGGACCGTAACATAAATGGATATACATATATTTATTTAATAATTGAATGAGACACTTTTTTCTAAACTGAGAATAGTGGGAGTGGCATTGCATTACTGTTGTTTTGTAAAACCAACCGTTTCAGTGCTGTGTAATTAATTTGCAAATGCTGCTTGGACATGACAGGTAGTTAGGTAAGTGGAAATGCGACTCATGGAAAAATGCATGAGAATTAAAAGGAGGGTAATGCATGAGAATTAAAGGGGGTGCACTTGTTGCAGTGCACCCATTAGCCTCACCTTTGGAGGAACATTTACTCTCTCTGAAAACCACCCACCTAGCTTGTTAACAACATGTGTAGCTGTTAACAACATGAACCCACACTACCTATCTCACCACCAAACCCTAAATAGTTAACATTCACCTATCGTGCATTCTGTAACACACTCACAAATTTCCAACCTATTACATACCATCACCCAATCACATTCACCTCTAGCGACACACCCTGCCACATACATCCACACACCAACACCAGCAATCAGCTGATGCACTTAGCCAATGAGCTAGCCCTGCTCCAAAGGGCTTAGCTCAAGTGAGCTAACAGAATCTCCTAAGCCGATGTGTTCAACTCTCTGTCCGAAGTTGTGGAGGTGGGTAGGAGTGCCTTGGGGACTACTTAAAGGACCACTATAGTGCCAGGAAAACATACTCGTTTTCCTGGCACTATAGTGCCCTGAGGGTGCCCCCACCCTCAGTGTCCCCCTCCCGCCCGGCTCTGGAAAGGGGAAAGGGGTAAAAACGTACCTTTTTCCAGCGCTGGGCGGGGAGCTCTCCTCCTCCAATCCTCCTCTTCTCCTCCCATGCAGCTGAATGTGCAAGCGTGGTAAGAGCTGCGCGCGCATTCAGACGGTCACAAAGGAAAGCATTATCAATGCTTTCCTATGGACGCTTGCGTGCTCTCACTGTGATTTTCACAGTGAGAAGCACGCAAGCGCCTCTAGCGGCTGTCAATGAGACAGCCGCTAGAGGAATTGGGGGAAGGCTTAACCCATTCATAAACATAGCAGTTTCTCTGAAACTGCTATGTTTATAAAAGAATGGGTTAAGCCTAGCTGGATCTGGCACCCAGACCACTTCATTAAGCTGAAGTGGTCTGGGTGCCTAGAGTGGTCCTTTAAGAAATAAAACCATTCTAAAATGGTTTGACTACTTACAATGGGATCACCAATGCACTCATGGCACTATAAACACTGTAGTGGCTATGTTGTCTGGAGTCTTTAAAACATTCAAAAATATAAAATACAGTGCATGCATTAGTAATATGTTCTTCATAATCTTTACTTTTTCCAGTTCCTGTACTTTGTAAGCCCAGCTCTATAGAAGTGTCTGTTCCCAAGGAATTAGTCGGAGGTCTGGAACTTTCTCTGTCTAATTCGTCATGTAAGGGATTGTCTAATGGGACCCATGTCAACATTAACTTTAACCTGAAGACTTGTGGAACCACCATAAATGTGAGTAAACACAAATATGTTATAGAATGTTAGCTAGTGACATGCAAGTAGTTAAATAAGGAGTCAAACTCTGGATGTTATGTACATTTTAACTATTGTATAAAAAATACAATGCACCAACATTGGCCTCATTTCTATTTATGGAATCAGCTTCAGAAATAATCAAAATCTGTTAGAAAAACTTTTCAAATGGTTTATCTAAAGAAGTTACCAGTAAAGTCTATGAAAATGTTTGTAGATAAAAAACAAAGAAAGAAAAATACAGATTGTCAAAACATTTTAACAGACACAGTAGATAAAGGGTTTTTCATAAACAGGTACTCATCAATATTTCCTATCGTAATATGCATACATTGCATAGTTTTCTGAATTCAGTTCTTAATCAATATTTTGAGCAATATATAACGAAATAAACAGTCATAGAGAAACTCTCCTCCTAAGATGTCACAACACCGGTGCTGGGATTGGTGTTCGACTCATCGAAAGACATTAATTTTAGCGCACAAAGGGCGCCCCTCTACTCACGACACCTGTGCCAATGGTCATTCCAGAGGAGTAGGAGTCGAACAAAGAGAAAGGAATAAAGAAAAAGTTACAAGTTACAAGAAATGAAGGAGGGCAAGGGTATAAAAAAGGGGGGGTAAGGTTGTTTATACGAATATTTATAGGTGCACTATCTGAGTGTAATCCACCCTTCAGTACCCCTGACTCCAGACAATCCATATTAGCAGAACCAGTTTTAGCCCCCACTCCAACATGGAGATAGCCTAGGAGACGCCCCTAAACCTATGATATATGTAAACCCTACTCCGTGAGTGAGGGTACATAAAACAACTGCTCTATAATGCAATACATCCTTGTTGTGTGCAGATACACTGGTGGAAAGATACATTTTAAATTTCAATGTATTTCTTCAATATTAAAAACTGCTATCTGTGCACCACTATGGGTAGGTACTAACCACTGCATGCCAGGAACACCCCACAAGACTTGCCATTTTAGAAATGCTCTGACCCAGACGTCTAGCCATCACTATTTGGCCCTTTTCAAAGTCATGCAGATCTTTTTGCTTGCTCAGTCTTCCTGCTTCTAACACATAAAATTCAGGAACTGGCTGTTCACTTGCTTCCTAATATTACCCACTCATTGATAGGTGCCGTTGCCAGTGGCATCTCTAGGATTCATTTTTAGGGGGGGTAGGCACATGGTGGGCCAGGGACAAAAGTAGGGGGACAGTTATAAAACATGTATGTGTGTGTGTGTGTGTGTGTATATATGCTCCCTTAATCCCTCTGCAAACTGCAGTTTCAGCCAGGTAGACAATGTGTCACACCTTAGATCTAGCCACACTGTCCGTTCAGCTCGCATCTACCCTATGGATTAAGGAATCCATGTCTCCCCTTCCCCCCACCCCCCCACCATCCATGTCACTGTTCCCCTCCCTTTCATGTATTTTCTCCCCCTTCTTCCATGTCATAGGTGTAATTTGTATTGCATGCAGTGTGTGTATTGGATACATTGTGCGTGCGTGTAGTGGAACTTGTGTTTGTGTGGTGGATGCAGTGTCTGTGTAGTGGATGTAGTGTACGTGCATGTAGTAGTATCTGTGTAGTGCACGTAGTGTTTGATAAGTGCTGGCGGCCTAACCCCCCTCCCTGCCTCTTACCTGTGGGCTGGAAGGGGAGGGACAGTGTCAGTAAAGGGGGGTAGTGTGTAGGAAAGTGACAGTATAGCAGAGCAGTGTGTAGGAAGGTGACAGTATAGCAGGGCAGTGTGTAGAAGGTGACATTATGGGGTGCAGTGTGTAGGAAGGTGACAGTGGGGGGGGGAGTGTATTGGAAGGTGACAGTGTGGGGGGCAGGGTGTTGGGATGACAGTGTGGATAGGCCGACTAACAGAAAATATGCCCTCACTAATACACATTTACTGACAGTCATTGTCTTACACACATGTTCACTAACAGACACACACTGACATGAACACACTCTCAGAGACACATGCACTCACTGACATACACACACTCACTAACAGACATACACACACTCACTGACAGACACACACCTACTGGCAGATACACACTGACAGTAACACACACATTCAATGACAAACACACAGACGTCACTGACAGACACAGACTCTCACTGATTTGACAGACACTCACAGACAGACACATACAAATTTACTGACAAACATACACACACATTCACTGGCAGAGACACACACATTCTCTCACACACTCACAAATTACTAATATTATTATTTTAATTTGTCCACCCAGCTTTCCTACCTTTAGGAGAGCTGGAGTGGAGCTGTACCTGGGGTCCAGTGGGGCTGCTGTGAGGCGGACGGCTGTGAGCACATCAGAGGCAGTGAGGGAGCTGTAATCCTCCTGCTCTGCTCCCTCGTGGGATGTCTATCAATGCAGGGAGCCAGAAGATGACTTGTCAGACCCACTGTCTGTTCGTGTGTTTCCCGCTTGTAATATGTGTGTCCTCCATGTATTTAACCTATTGTACCCTGCTCCCCATTCGGGAGCGTTCATAAGTGTGAAACCGCAAGGGAAGTAATTAAAGAGTGCTCCCCTGGGTGGCCGCGCTTTTGTATAGACATACGGCACCCTGGGGGAGCATTCGTATCCCAAAAGGAGAAACTTCCCTTGCCTGGTTTCCACACAAGGATCCCGCAAACGGAGACGGTTCACAACAGGGACCGTTGTGAGGGTTCCTGAGGTTGGTGTGTGCACTGGTTAGTTTGGCGGGCTTTTCTGTGCCTAGGAGACCAAGGGACGATCCCTTTTCCCACTTTTTGGCTGCCAGGCACAGAAATCCCTTGCATGGGGTTATGCATAAAAGCCGCATGTGGCACAATAAAATTGTGTTGTACCTCCATAACTAGGTCTTGTCCAATTACTGGGGGAGAAATGGGTCTCTTTGCATTCTAAGGGGTTCCAGAGTGGTGGAATGAAGGCCACAGCGGAGGTAACCGGTCGGGTTACCCGGAGTCTGCTACAATGATGTCATATTCTGGCTCCTGTCATCAGTAGATGGCTCGCAAGGGAGCAGAGCAGGAGGATTACCGCTCCCTCGCTGCATCTGACGTGCTTACAGATGCCAGCCTGGGGCATCCATAAACTGCTTCCTCCAAAACAGGAGGAAGCACTGGGGTCATCCATGCAGGCACTTTGGGATAGATAGAGCCAGGTTGGGCCTTGGCCCTTAGGCACCCTGTGCAAAAAAATCACACACACAGGCTTACAGTCACACACAGGCAGAGTGTGAGGAACACACAGTTATAGTGACACAGAGGCACACACATACATACAGTCACACACAGTTACAGTCACACAGAGGCACAGCATAGGCACAGCCACACACACAGTTACAGTCAGATAGGCACACAGCAAAACACACACACACATTTACAGTCGCGCACACACAGAGGCAGACAGTCACACACACACACAAAGTTACAGTCATATACAAGCAGACAGACAAACACACAGAGAAAGACAGTCTCACACAGGCAGACAGTCAAACGCAGAGAGTTACAGTCACACACAGCGGCAGACAGTTACACACATTCACACACACAGGCAGTCAAACACACACAGTGGCAGACACAGTCACACACACACACACACACACACTTACCTCTGTCCATTATGGGCCGTAGTGGAGGCAGTGATGTCACTGGCCATTGCCACAATATATTCAATGTAATTCTCTTCATCTGTCAGTGGTTTTATTGTTGTTGCCAATCAGTGTACACTGTATAAACTTATTTTTCTCTCCCATCGCTCCTCTGAAATCGTATCCTTCTGTCAATTGTTACATTGGCTTCCTGTGCCCTATAGGATTCAATTCAAAATTTTTACTCTTACCTACAAATCTTTCAACAACTCTATACTTCTCTACATTTCTTTACCAATTCATAGATACACCCCTTTTCGGCCACTCCACTCTGCCGGTGACCTTCTGCTATCCGTATCTCGTACCCATACCGCTATCTCACTCTTACAGGACTTCTCGCAAGTTAAGAGGTTTTACAAGTCCACCTCTTCAAAATAGGCTATGGACTCCCAAGGTAACTGGCATTATTCTCTAATTTGGTACATTGGTAGTATACCAAATTAGGCAGCTAATTAGTATATTGCTCACTAATTTGGTATACTTATGTGGAATTGCCATATTTAAGGATACCAAATAAGGGAGCGTTTCTTCATTCTCCCATTGTGCCATTCGGAGATTCATTATTCAGACTGATGAACAAATGAGTCAATTTACATCAGAATTGTGATGCATCTGAAAACAAATGCCCAAGTCTAGTAACTAATAGTATTATGAAATAGCTCAGTTGTTAGTGCTCCAGCGTCAACATCTCAAGAATCCTGTCAATTTTATTTAAGTTCAGAAGGATAAACCTAATATCATTCCGATAGGTATTATTTACGTAAATGGAGTGGCCGAAAGGGGGTGTATCTATGAATTGGTAAAGAAATGTAGAGGAGTATAGCGTTAGAGTTATAGGGCACAGGAAGCCAATGTAACAATTGACAGAGGGATAAGATTTCAGAGTACTTGAAAGCAAAGTGCATTCTTCATGGTTAATTAATTAAATATCATTATTATTTGCAGGTGATAACTGATAAGATCATTGCCACAAACCTAATTACGGGAATGCCAAAGCAAACTCCTGGCAGTAATGGGGACATCATCATTCGTACCAGTAAACTGCTAATCCCAATAACTTGTGAGTTTCCCAGACTATATACAATCTCAGAAGGTTATGTACCCAACCTCAAGAACTCACCACTGGAAATCATGGGCCGTAACAGAGGTACCTTCCCTTTCACACTGGAGATATTCAAAGATAAGGATTTTGATGAGCCTTACAAAGAGAACCTCCCAGTGCTCAAACTCAGAGACTCGCTTTACTTTGGAATTGAACCCATTATGCGTGTGAATGGTCTGGAGACCCTTGTGGAGAACTGTTTTGCCACTCCAACATCTAAAAATGATGAGATCCTGAAATACTATTTAATCCAGGATGGGTATGTGCTTTACAGTTTTATATCTCTATTTGAACTGGTTGATTTGTAATTTTTTTGGGAAATTGAGATTGCAAATATAGTTTCATTATAAGAATTTAACCAAATCATTAGTGATATGCATTTTAACATCATTTTGGAGGGTGTGAGATTAAATAGTTACATTGGAATATAGATAGGGAAAAAATGCCCAGGTCTATCAATGTCCTTCTGTCATACATCCCTGTTTTTGATACTGATCCAAAAGAATTCAATAAAGCGAAAAGAGTCCACATTTAGTCACAATACAGACTTTAATGGGAACCAGCACATCATGACAAGTCAAAATTTGATTTTTTAAGTCTTCAAATGACTTGAAAAAGGCCGTTATTAAAATATTGTTATAATGTGCTGATTTACATTAAAGTCTGCATTGTGAAGAAAGCTGTGTGCCCAGACTTTTTGCTTGATTGAAGTGTGTCATTCCCCAAGTCTGGAGCAGCAGTGCACAACTGTTACTTGAATTTGAGATTGAGTTTAGAATATTTTGAGAATCACTAGGTATAAAACTAACAGAACCAAGTAGCATAAATGTCATGAGGAAATGTGATTGGCTGTTTGTAGGTGATAACTAGCAAATTTATTACCATGACTTAGAATCAACTACCCAATATTTTGTGTATTAAACATATTTACATAACTTTCATTTGAAATATATGATGCAAAGCTCACTTATAAATATAGGATAAACCAGCAGTTTTGTGTATAGATATTTTTTACATAAAAAGATACCTAAAAAGTAAAGATATATGTAAATTTACACAACTCTTCTTTTCCAGTTATTTGTACATAATTTACAGCAATGTTTCGGGATACATTTTAGAGCAAGCATGTCAAACTCGCGGCCCACAATGAATATTTTGGTGAGCCACAAGTTTGCCATGCCTACTAAGGCAGAGTAGGCACCTGCTCGCCCCATATTGCAGGCAGGTACCTACTCTGCCAAATTTACCCGGCCGGGGGAGGAGAGATCACTGGCAACTGTGAGGGAGCTCAGTCTTCCTGCTCCTCACTGCTTCTTTGCGCGCCCCCTCTATAGTGATGCTGGGTGCTGGAATATGACATCATTCCAGCACCTGGCATTACTAAACTGTGCATGTGCGGGAGCAGTGAGGAGCAGGAAGACTGAGCTCCTGAGATAAGATCAGGGAGAGGCCCCACAGCAGCTCCCAAAGGTAGGGAGCAATAAATAAAATGATGTGTGTGTGCAAGAATGTGTAAATGTGTGTGTGTCTGTCAGTGTGTGTGTGTGTGTGTGAGTGTGTGTCTGTCAGAAAGTGTGTCTCAGAGTGTGTGACTGTCAGAGAGTGTGTGTCTGTCAGTCAGTGTGTGTGTCTGTGTGTGTTGGTCAGTGTTGCGATGGCCGCGGCTGGACAGTTGAGTACCTGGAGGTGCACGAGGCACGCAATGCCACATCACATTCTGATGTGACATCAATGTGCTCCACCTTCACAGGGTTTCAAGAAGTAGCAGGAGAATCCGTTTGGTACAGGATGCGGACAGCGCCATTGGGGGTATACCAGAGGCTGGACTCCAGAGTCGCATACTGGCAGTGGCAATGTGGAGTCTGCTTGATGGCTAATATTGTTTTGTTTTTTTTGTTTTTTAAACAAGGGCTGGGGTTTAGTAGAGGGGGATGCTGTTGTTTTGTTTTTTTTAAACTGTACTTTTCAAAACAAACCTACCTTTCTATGAAAATGTAAGGTTTTGCCTTTCTTTGCGGCCAACATAAATGTAAACCTTGCTTATGTGGCCCGTGCTAGCCTTCGAGTTTGACATGCTTGTTTCCCTTACCTTGTAACTTGTAATATTTAAAATACAAGGTGACAACTTTTTTTTGTCACATATAGTAGATGTGACATAAACAAATACTAAGAAATGGTCCTGCTCATGCATATTTGTAAAAAACTTGATGGTATTTTTAAGAATGTCACTTTCTAAAACTGGTAGCAGAATGTAAAATGCATTCTGTAGTTACAATTACATCACACCTTATGCACTGTACATGGTTTGCGTGTTCATATAGATAGGTCTGTCTGCACATTGATTTGCGTCATTCTTGCTAGCCCAGAACATAAACGTGCGTTGTTGCAGGAATTGGGTTTGTGAATCTGCCCTGTAATATGACGTACATTTTTCTCTGAATAAAAAGGCAGGATGTAGCAGTGTCCGGTGTCATTATTATCACCAGAAAGACGAATGGGGCATTGAATGGAGAAGGAGGTCACAGATTGCATTCCTAAATTTCAGGAGCAGCATCAAGCAGCAGCAAATGTCCCTGGAGTTCAGCTGCAAATTGTGCCTATATATGAACCTCATATTTACCAATGATATAGTGGTAAAGACTAAGGAGATCATAAAGAGATTTAGCAGAATAGCATTCATTTTGTCCTAGCAAAAAGGGTGCTCGAGTTTATAGAAATTGTATTCTCTACAAAGTAATACGTTAAATGACTTGGCATGACTCAAAAGTTTTGTTTGGCATACAACTCCTGTAACTGGATTTAGGCTTTAGGTTTTTAAGCAGTTTGGGTTTAATACTGTTTGGAATTGTAGAGCAAGTTTAGTAAAGATTGAGAGGAAGTAGGTTTTAGCATGCTCTTGGATCAGACTAGCACATTGAATGGGTGCTTTTTGTTTTGTATTATAGTTTTTAATTGGTGTAGAATGAGGCCATCGCTGGTGCGTAGTAAACTGTATTTGCAGTAGCATTACATTCCATAACACATAATAAGTTTATATTTTTTTTTTAGAACCAACATACTAAACAGAGTTGTTTGGGGTATGTGCTGATTAACACTGCCTATGTGACATCTAATTTCCTGACCAAATTTCAGTGGTTTTCTTTAGCAAATTATTGCTAATTTAAACAAAGCTTTTGGGAGAGAACCTGCTTTAGTCTCGCCCACCGGCTGGGAGGAGTGGCGGCGAGCAGAAACCACCACCGAGGGACATCGGCGGGGTCTCAGGTAAGTGACCTGAAGGGGTTTTCACCCCTTCAGCAACTGGGGATGGGAGGGAGAGGGGACCTGCTGTGCCAGGAAAATGGATTGTTTTCCTGGCACTGGAGTTTCCCTTTAAGGGAATAGGGGTCCTAGACAGGGGACAACCAAATTCTCATAGGGACCTTTATTGCTTCTAAGGAGTAAAGTAAACAAAAGTACACAAACTAGGAGAAGAGGGGGAACATTGTCTAAACAGTGCTCAAGGGTAAATACTCTCTAATAAGAGAGAAAAAAAAACGTAAGAGGGTACAGAGATCTCTGATAGCCCTAGAGTACTGAACAGTAAAGAGGAAAAGGCAATGAATAAACTGAAGAAAGGGAGAGATGAGGAAAGGGGGTCCTATGAGCGAATACCCAGATCTATAAATGCCTCAATAATTCTCTCCCTAAGGTACCTCAGGACCGTGTACAAGCCACTAGTGCTTACCTGAACCACTCTCCTAGTCAAAAAGAAATAATAAAACTAGCCAAAAATCTAAATCAAAATATAAAAAGTGCTACCAAGTGTAGTGGATAAAAAGTAAAAGCTTGACGCGCGTTTCGGCATGTCAGGAGCAGGTCTCTTTCACTAGTGTAAATCTTTCTCAGGAAATACAACTCTAGTGGTTGTCAGACAAACTACCACTAGAGCTGATTCCTTCTTAAGACCTTCAATTTTCCAAGATCTTCACATTTGGGCTCTTATACCCTGCATAAAAATGGCAACTTGTTCAATGCTTCTCACAGAGAAGCGTCAGATTCAATCCATCTAATAGGCACGCAGTAGAGCACAGTGATTGTTGCTGGTGCACCATGTTTTCTCTAGTTTCTTTATGAAGTACATTGCTTTGGACAGAAATAATCATGACTCATAATCTCACCAATGGCATTTTCTTTTTAAACAAAGGGGAATCTAAACATAATTAGGAGCATATCTAACATCTAAACATTTATCTATCTAACATCTAAAATAATTGCTTTGTGATGATATTTAGAAAGCCAAAAAGATAACGCTAATCAAATTCATACACTCTGCAAAATTATTGTAAACGATAATAGTTAGAAGATTATGCCCATTAATGAGTTAATCATTACTTAGATTGAGGGTATTTTATACATTTCTTTCTAACATTGTGGTTTTGTATCTAGATGTGTCTCAGATGAAACTGTGAAACAATACACATCAAAGGACCATCTTGCCAAGCACTTTCAAGTCCCTGTGTTCAAGTTTGTTGGGAAAGATAACAAGGTAAATCAAATTATACCTAAAGAGATCAAGAACAATTTAAACAGTGGTACACGTGCACCTGGTAGGAATTATTTTAGAATTTTCTTTAAAAAAAAGTTAAAATGTGATTATATCTACTAGTATCCATCAAGACAGCATAGATTTTAAACCCTTAAAAAACAGAAATAGAAACTTTAACAGACCAAAACGATTCCCTCCTACTAATACTCTACTGTTCCCCTTTTTAGGGATATTTCCTAAAGATGTGCATATAATGTCATTGCTAGCACACTATCTACCATGTGTTGATACTAAGCATACATACAGTTTGGAAATTAAAAATAACAATACAAAAAAAATTAGACAGGGCGTGGCTTTGCGCCGATGAGAATGGCGGTGTAATCCCCGCGCTCCGAGCCCTGCCGACAAAACCCGCACTCACCAGCACACCCAGAGACCTAATGGGCCGCACAAAGCGAGGCACAATGACCCCTACCACACCAAGGATGCAAGGTGAGGGTCCGTCTGCCTCCATCCGCAGCTACCTGCACACGCCGGGGATCATCACCTCACACCACGAGGCATCCAACATGGTGCCCTCCTCAACTGTCTCTGAGGACAGCATGCTCACTGCTGCCGGCTCCCAAGATCAGGGGATTCCCACACCAGACTGGTATGCACTGTTCACCTCCCTGCCAAAAAAGAAGACCTCCAATCAATAGTGCAGGAGGTTAAAACAACCCTCAGAACAGAGACCGCCTCCTTGCAGGATTTGGAGGGAAGAGTGACAGCGCTGGAGAATGCTGGCCCCACAATGCAGGTACATCACCCCAATAACACCTATGACAGGCAACTCACTGACCTGCGGCTCCATGTAGAAGATCTGGATAACAGGAGCCGCAGGAACAATATTAGAATCAGAGGACTCCGTGAACCCATAGGCCCAGAACACCTAAGGGAGACACTTATCCCGCTGTTTAACCTAATACTGCACAGACCCCCAGAAGCACGTCTGTATATTGATAGGGTACACCGTGCCCTCCGCCCAAAGCCACCTCCATCTGCCCCACCGCGAGATGTCATCTGCTACATACAAGACACTCAGCTAAAGGAAGATATCATGAAAGAAGCAAGGACGGAACGATCTTGGCGTTACAAGGGCCAAATGGTGGAGTTGTACAATGACCTTTCCCATCTCACCCTACAAAGTCGCAGGGCCCTCCGCCCTATCACCACACTACTGCAGGACCACCAGATAAGGTACCAGTGGCACTTCCCGTTCGCGCTCACGGCACGCAAAGACAACATAGAAGCCACAATCTGGCTCCCAGCGGATGTTCCCATCTTCCTCCACACCTTGGGACTACCGGCCACCGCAGTACGGGACTGGACTGACTGCCCCCTCAATGAAAGATACTTGGGCAGACCGGTGGCCCGTGCGTTGGAAGCGGGCGCGCTGGTCGGGGATACAGTACCACCCCACCAGAGCGCCCATGAAGAGTAACGCACAGAGCACCCGTGGTGGTCGCACCAGTTGAGCAACACAAGAGCTGCCCCGTGAACCACCCAGCGCACCTTACCCCTTGAAAATGGACCTACAATGACCGCCACAACCCACACAAGACAGACACGACTACGCTGACCCTACCACGGATCATCTCTCTACTCTTCCCCTTCTCCCACCTACACGGCACCTTCAACAGTGAGAAGGCCACCTGAGCCTATAAGGCTCCCATAGACTCTGACAGTCTAGCAAATGGGACTACGCGGACAATAACATAGAAGGGTGGTGGATTGTGTGGTTTTTTTTTTTTTTTCGTCCCCCCCACCTCCTCCCACCTTCCCCCTATCAACCAAAGCTTAGAAATGCCGGATCTGAAAGGGCCCTTTCCAGAACTGATGGAGCCGCCACAAACCAACGCAGACCCTGGGTGCTCCTTCCCACATGGACGTGGTATCATATAACTGCAATGTTCTGTAGATTATTCTTCCTACATTAGGCCAAATAAGGGGGAGGGCATCAGCAAAAGGGGGAGGGGAGCTAGGGACCGCATTGCTTGACAGGGAATGCCGACAGCATGTGGAGAAGTGTGTGTGTGTGGTGTGCAGTGTTTGTATGGGGAGCATACGGACTACTGACGGACACCCACACCACTACGCTAACAGAGACCATGACAGCGACTCTCGGACGACACCGGCCCGCTGAGACTTAGACTGTCGACAGATGTGACCCCCGCAGGTGACCCCCCACGGCACCCAACGAACCGGGCAAACCACCGCCCAAAACCAACGGATGAACTACCCTAACTTAACCCGGGCCCACTCACCCCCATAACCCTTCCCCCGACCACACCCTGTGATCCCGACCCACTACCGACCCAGCGAGCCCCTAGCACACACTGATGACCCTATGGGACCTCACTACAGGAAGGGGACGCACGACAATGGTGCCAAGACTGGTGACTTCCTCCACGGGGCTTTGTCACTAAAGGCTTGTAAGGTCAAACTCCAGATACAAAGTTACTGCTTACTAAATGTTAAGGTTAATACGGATCTTTATCACCAAATGTTTAAACTGAAAATGCCTAGATAAAGGGTAACTGATTGTTCACGGTTAAGGATGACACGGTTTGCATAACCAAACGTTTAAATTGACAATGTCTAGATAAAAGGTTACTAACCACTAAATGTTGAGGTTACCATGGATCTTTAGCGCTGAAGGCCTCTACTGGCAAGGCATAGAAAAATGATAACTGATTGCCAAATGTTAAAGTGGACACGGGCCTGCATAACCAAGCATTTAAACTGACGATGCCTAGATAAATGGTTACTAATTGTTAACTGCTAAGGCTACCATGGATTTATACCACTCACGGTTTATACTGACAAAGCCTAGATACATGGTAACTGACTACTACAAGTTCAGACTGAACCGGGTTCAAAACTAACGAAGCCTGATAAATGGTTACTAACTGCTAAATGTTAAGGGTGCATGCAACCGTTGTTGCACAAACTGCGTTACTACTGGCTACCTAAGGTCTCTATACTAACTGTAGCACCCTGACGGCAGGGCTCGGACACCTCCAACACTTGCTCGAACCGACAACCCACTGACTTTGCCAGAGTGCAGAGACTCGCCACCCACACCCCCACGGGTTACTGCCCTCCCACAGGGCGAGCTCACTGGACTCGCAACCCACACGTGAGCCCCCGCTCTAGAGGCAGACAACCCCTTTTTACCATCTCTACTGTCCCCACTCTCGACACAGAAGGGGAACACAGACAACAGGAGACATTACGCAGAGGACGACCAAGACCCAGACCATCCCAAACTCACTCTAAACCTCCCACGCACACCTCATACCCCCCCACGCTCACAATCAACTCAACCACAGCTCCAGCAGCCACAGGGTGAAACAGACAAAGGGAAACATCCAGAAAAAACTACTCAAAACTCCGACCAACCCACGCATACCTGACGCCCCAACCACCACCCCTAAGTAAGGAAAAATAGCCAGGGAAAAACAAACCACACCAGACAGTTGGCAATCAAGCCCTCATAACATACAGCACACACACTAAATGCACGCCACACTCCCGCACCAACACACAACGCTCCCCCGCGCGCCCCTGGCTGAGACCACCAGAAGACACCCCAATCGGACCTCAGAATCTACACGATTAACGCCAAAGGGCTCAACTCCTCACAGAAACGAGCAAGGGCACTGAAAGAACTGAAATCCCTGCATATTTCCACTGCGTTCTTCCGAGAAACGCACTTTCAAACTGCCAAACACCCCAAATACTCAAATAAACACTACCCACTGAGCTTCCATGCCACCAATCCAGACTCCAAGACCAAAGGGGTCACAATACTCTTCGCGGCGGACATACCGTTCCGCAAAGAGGAGGAACTTGCAGACCCAGGAGGCAGATTTCTCTTCCTGATAGGAACTATACACAACACGCGATTCACGTTTGCCAACTTATACCTCCCGATTAAGGGACAAAAACCCTTCCTAGGGCAAACTCTTGCATTGCTAGACTCCTTCAGTGATGGCAAACTAATCCTCGGAGGAGACTTCAATGCGCCTCTAGAACCTAAACTGGACACTTTAACAGGCCACTCGACCCTCCCGAGCCATGTCCTCTGAGGCATGAAAACCACCCTACACGAACTCAAGCTGTCGGACTGCTGGCGTGCCCTACATCACCAAGAGAAAGACTACACCTTCTTCTCCCCCCCCAGCCCCCCCACAACTCATATTCGCGAATTGACTATCTGTTCCTCCAGCACCGCCACCTGGACGACCTCCTTACAGCAACGATAACCCCCATGACCTGGTTGGACCATGCCCCGGTCATCATCACACTCTCCTCACCAACTCCGTTCCATAAACACTGGAACTGGAGACTGAATGAATCACTACTAGAGGATCCCCTAATTCACCAAGATGTGAAAACACACATAGACCAATTCTTCCAAACAAACAGCGCGCCGGACTCTTCCCTGGATAAAATCTGGGAAGCACACAAATATGTGATTAGGGACGTCCTGATCAGACATGGCGTGCAGCGCAAGCGACAACGCACCCAAGAAATGGCCGAACTTGCACGAAAGGTGGCAAACCTGGAGAAGCAACATAAGTCCACCATGGCCGATGATACATACTCACAACTAGTCATCGCCAGGGCAAAACTCAACTCCCACCTATCCCAGAAGATTGCATTTCAATTCAGGCAAACACAGAAGACTTTCTACGAATACGGTAACAAAAGCGGTAAATTACTAGCGAGAGCCCTGAGGAAAACCAGACAAAAAAGCTTCATAATTGAGATCAAACATAATGGTACCACCCACAACACACCGAAATCAATAGCGGAAGGATTCTGCACTTACTACGAAGCACTATACAACCTCCACAGCCAGGACGACACCGTGGAGGGGTCGGACACCACCAAGACCCAAAAACGCAACTAATACCTCACCAACACGATGGACATAGATACGGCCGACGCCATGGAGGAGCTGATCACAGCGGAAGAAATATCACAGGCCCTAAAAATGGACAAAAATGTGAAAAGCGCAGGCCCGGACGGCTTCACGATCAAATACTACAGAACGTACCACGACTCATTGATCCCGCACCTACTGAACATGCTTAACGCACTCAGACAAGGGGAGACCCTCGATCACAACAACTTGAGAGCGCACATAGTGGTGCTACCTAAAGAAGGCAAAGACCCAACGACTTGCCCGAGCTACAGGCCAATCTCCCTGTTGAACGCTGACCTGAAACTCTTTGCAAAGGTTCTGGCACTCCGACTCCAACCAACCCTGCCGCAATTGATCCACCCAGACCAGGTAGGGTTCATCAGCAATAGAGAAGCCAGAGACAATACCACCAAAGTAATTAACCTGATACAGGTGGCCAAGAGCAAACAGACGCCCGCACTCCTGATCTCCACGGACGCGGAGAAGGTGTTTGACAGGGTAGATTGGACCTTCCTCTTCGCAACGCTACAACACCTAGGACTGGGACCGAACATGAGGAGGTGAATTGAAGCTTTATACAATGGACCGTCCGCACAAGTCTACGTGAACAGCACATTATCTACACCATTTCAGATACACAACGGCACCCGGCAGGGCTGCCCCCTCTCGCCTCTCCTGTTCGTGTTAAGCCTAGAACCCTTCCTGAACACGATCGGCACCAGACCAGATATCGGGCTCATAAAAGGCAAATGGGGGGAAAGCAAAATCTCAGCCTACGCCGATAATCTGCTGTTCACTGTCCGAGAGCCGCAAACATCACTCCCGGCAATCATGCAGGAATTCGAAACATACGGCTCACTATCCATCCTCCGCATCAACTACTCCAAGTTGGAGATCCTACACCTGGGATGCAACCGCACCCTGATCACGACCCTTAAAGCACGATTCCAGCTCCATTGGCGCAAGGACGAACTCAAATATTTAGGCATATGGCTTACAGCGGACCCCTCCCATCTGTTCAGGCAAAACTACCCTCCCCCTCTCCTGGAACGCATCCTCAAAGACCTAGCAGAATGGGACGTACCACACATCACCTGGCTCGTTCTTAAAATGAACATCCTCCAGCGCTTCCTATACGTGCTCCAAACGCTCCCAATACTTATCCCGCAATCCTTTCTGGCCCAGGCTCGTACAGCCTTCACGAAATATGTCTGGTGGAATTGACCGGCCAGGATAAAATACGACATCCTTACAAAAGCCAAACCGCAGGATGGACTGGGACTCCCGGAACTGACCAAGTACCACCAGACTACCCACCTACAATGTATAGCCGAATGGACCCTGGGTACAAAAGACAAACTCTGGATAGCCATAGAAGACCCACTGAGCTCACTCCCATGGCAACTCCCAGGCCAGACGAGAAGATATGACACCAGACACCCCACGATAGTGGCAACACTGAAGGTGTGGAGCAGGATGGCAGGGAACCCAGACCTCGAATCGGGATACAAAATGATATCGCACTGGTATAAGACACCATAGAAACTCGCCACTATGTATGACACAAGCACACCAGAATGTTGGAGATGCGGAACTGAACTGGGCACGCTATACCACATCTGGTGGACATGCCCGCGGATCAAACCTTTCTGGCACGAAATACACCAGGTGGTTACAACGCTCACAGACTACGCCATAGTACTCACGCCAGAAAACTACCTACTACACCTGACACCTCTACAACCCCCCGCCTACAAAAAAACGATCACCCCGTACCTAGTGAATGCGGCACGTAGCCTAATCCCAACATTCTGGAAAAAAATCCATAATACCAACCCTGACGGACTGGATAACAAGGGTAGAAGACATATGGACCATAGAGGAAATGATCCTGACAGCAAAAGGAAGACCCCAGATGTACCTGAAGACATGGTTCCACTGGTTACAATGGCTAACCGCTAGACAAAACCCAGGACCACACCCACGAAGGACGGACAATGACGGTTGAGGGCCTATGGATCACAGGGCAACACACCACGCAGACCGGGAGATGACGGCACACACAGCTGGAGACAGGACACCTGAGGACCAAGGCAGCGACACCCGAAGACCGCAATGGGAACACATGCAACAGACTGTACCGGGCGCTGGCAGGGCGCGGGGGCTCTGGCCCCATGGGGAGACCCCACCCCTAAACCCCCCCGCAGGAACATGACATACCCCCCCACAAAACACAAAGACAGAACGAACACAGACATACCACCACAGGACCATGCCGTACCACACAGAACACCCGACCAATCCCCATGGTCCTAACCTTCACAAGACACAAGCGGAAAGGAGGAGGGAGGACACCCAAGATCTCCCCCCTACACAATTACACGCCAGCTCAGCACCCCCGACGCGCACATTGTCCCATAAGTCCAGACATGAGCCTGCCCTGAACCAACACTGAACCCCGACCGTGGACATGGGAAGGATGAGACCGAGATCCAGGGTGAATGAGACCAGACTCAAGGACCAGGGCACCACACTAGATAAAGGGGGGCTGACACTACCCATAGAAGCATGCCAAACGAGTCCCCCACCCATCGGGACCATAAACCATCACCCCTAAACTACTAAATCAACACCACCAGCGGCACACACACAAGAACACATCCCCCACAACCACAAGAAGACAAACAGCCCGACTGACCCCAACCCGGAGACAGCCTCGAACCGAGAGAAATAACACAAGGGCGCCACGACACGGGTTCTGAACACAGACGCTCCTACAAGGCAACCAATAGAGACGGGCCACTTTACTCCTCTACAAAACCTGACCTAGATACATTATATAGCAGCCTAACATCGGCTAACCAATTCCCTATGGAAGGCACGCAATAGCGTCCACTATGCAATATATCGTAAAACAATATCACCATAGTCGCTATGCCCCACGAGACCACATACCCAATCTGCTTAAGAAAGGTATAATACAAAACAATATGCCGGCCTCAAAAATCACAGGGATCATACGTTATAAGCCTCTGCGTAGGCTAATGTTGCAAAGCTACTGATGAAACAACCCCGCATTTCAAACCACCTAACAAATATACAACACTACCCCTGCGTGGGTAAACTGTTCTCTATCAGAGGTTAGGAATTGCCCACCATTACCCAGGTCGGAACTACCACGAAATATGTAATAAGCCTTACTCTTGTTTGTTTGACGTACTATGCCTCTGTGTAGGCAACAATGCATCCTCTTTTCAAACCTGTTACATGTCTGCTAACATTTTGCATACGAAATAAAAAAATTAGACTCCACCCTGTGGTGTAGGCTGATTGCCCAAGTGGACAACTGAAATGCCCTCACCCTGAACTCCTACTAATCACTGCAAGTGTTATAACCTTTACCAAAACTGGTGCTAGATTTGCAAATGTCAAGTCATGCCTTAGCCTCATCGCATAATACTTAGCAAAGTTTTAATAATTGTGTTTCCTCAGTTAACTACTTACATATAACCTATGCTAATTAACATGTTACTTTATAATAATCTCTTATACTAAGCCTGTTAACAGAGAGTCTGACACCTTATAGCCTTCCTGGGGAATGTCATAACAGTGATATTGGCTAGTAGGGTTAACCTAATTCTCTATTGTTTAGCAAACTTGTCACTAGATTAAGCTACTTTAGTTTACTCTTTCGTGCTATCTTTAATGACATGACAGCCAACAGGATATTGAGATTGCCGACCTAAACTTCTTACTTTCAGAAATGCCTAGCCTGTGTTAATTTAAATTAAGCATACGCCAGCTTAATCGTTATGTCTTCATCTTACCTTGTGTTAAAAAAAAAAAAAAAAAAGAGGCTCACAATTTTTGGAGACGACGTATAGTGAACTGTGATTTCCCATCTTGTATGGCTCATTATTGTCTCCCCTTCTTTATTCTGTACCCGTATATATATAATTGCATGCCTCACTAAAAGAGAGATTTACAACAACAAAAATTAGACTTCCAAATCTAACTTTAAATCTAAATAAGCTAGCAATTATATGTCATATTTGTAAGTAGCACACTGTATATATATATATTCTATACAAGGTAATTGGATTGAGGACATTCTACATACAAATGGTTAATATGTGAGTTGCACAATCCAATTCTGTGCTACAAGAGCAGTAAGGAAAGACATCTATGTATTCTGATTTTGGAGTAGAAAGCACTTCAGTGGATCTTAGATAAGAATTGTTTTCTCAAGGTGTAAAGGTTATTTTTCTATCCATGCACAGATTGAGATAATCTGAAGTATGGTAATCAGTATTTCAAAATAAAAATAGTTTGTGTGGGTGAACCGCAAGAACAATATTCCTGGCAATGCTGTGTAAATTATTCTATTGTGATAAAAGACCTGGAATATGCATTTCCTACGGTGAGCCCATAATTCTCCAATGCTCTTAAACCTTCAAAATTTACATTGATAGTTTTATTGAATAACTCATATGCAGATAATGAGGTGTCTTTGTATACTAAAACAGGTTTGACGCTGTGTGGGCTAATCAAACAGTAATCACTGTTCACAAACATGAACCTCAAAAATTAGAAGAAACTCAACTAAGATTAGATTTGATTAATATTATTCTATCACTTGACTTGCGGGATCACCTTCCAAGTGGTCCCCAACTGCCAATTCCTTATTCATCCAGAAGAATGATGAGGGGTTTTCATGGAGATTAGAAATGGAATGAAAACAAATGAGGGAGTGAAAAAGGGTTAACAAAATCTATGGGTGGGGCTCTTGTTACCCAAATGACACCCACCACAGACATATTCTACCACTGACCAGATGATGGGTAGAGTAATTGTCCTTGTTCATCAAAAAGAAAACAGAGGGGTATTTTGTTCCTTGGCCAACAATAAGGGTTAATGACCTCATAACTATATTTGTTTTGTTGTTTTATATCACATTGGGTGGGAGACCGCATGCTACACTAGATTAATATACAATATTTTTTCCATTATCTCCCATACAGGAAGTGTTTTTACACTGCCAGGTCCTGGTTTGTGGAGCAACAGACGAGCGATCTCGATGTGCTCAAGGATGTCGCCAACGCATGCGTAGAGAAGCAAATATGCAAGAAACAACCAGCCCTGTGGCAAATCATATCCTTACTGGAGGTCCCATCATAATAGACATGGAAGAGTAGTTTCATCTCTGAAATGCAATGCTGTATATAAAGCATTGATTTGCGGTTAGATTCCCTCTTCGAAATGTGAGGCATAGCTGAAATTCTTGCTGTTGCTTTCATTACGTTTTTATCTACAGCAGGCAGGCTTTTTGTTGTTTCTTTAAACTATGGCTAACAGATTGAATGTTTAACTTAAAAGAGATGATCCCTCATCAGAAAAGCTAGAAAGATATATAGAGTTTTGTTAATCATTTGCATTCCAGACACACAAACATAAGAGGTACAAAAAAAAAAAAGACCCTTAGGAAAATAAAAATGTGTTTCATACAAACCGTGCCCAGATACTATTAACTAAACCCTGAAAATACTTATAATCTGTGCATCATTATAATTATGGTTTCCATGTCACCAGTTCAATATGCTGAACTATGAAATACAAGTTGACAGCTATGGAAAAAATTTAACGAAAAGTAACATATGTCAAATGAACAAACATGAAATGAAACTTGTTTTTCGTTTATTTTTTTTTAACCCACCACTCTGTATTATATATAAATTATAGGGATATTTATATCAGACCATGAGTTAGACAAAGTGATGACAAATCTTTGGAACCCCAACGATTTCCCATGATGGACTGGCTACACAGTATAGGAGTGTTAAACGTTTTAGCACCTCTGGTTTTGGCTAATACATCAAATAGCGTGGGGGGCAGGGTTTATCAATGGGTTCTGTTTCGAAAAAGTGTTGTAAAAATGGGGGAGTCAGCAATGGAATGTATCTGCTGGTTCTACTGGTTCCCATGGTTATTGTCCCACTTGTAATGCTTTAGAATACCTTTAGATCAGAACACTTTGATAAGTCTCCATTAATAACTCTCAGTTGCACACTATATATATATATATGCATATATTATAACTGAAAACTTTTACATGAACTTTCACTATATCGCACACATATTATATATGCTTATCTTCAACTATCAGTTTACTCCAGTTAGCATGTATTTATAATGATACTATATGTTCTCTGCAACAGTTAGTAATATTTTTCTGACAGTTGACTACTTTCCTAGACTAATCTTTCAGAAGAAAAGAACTATACCATTTTTCTTAGAATACCCTTTGATACTTTGGTATTCCAGATGTTGTGGACCACATCTCCTTTAATGCGGCCAACTCATAAGGGGAGATGTAGTTCACAACTTATGTAGTGCCAAAGACTGCCTTGCTGTCCTAGCATATTATGGAAACACGCTGTATGTAAGATGATGGGTGAATGTATCACTACAGTTTGACTGGCAAGCCCATTATTACAACCTCGTAATTTCTCTTCTAAAGGTTGCACAGCAACAGAAGACATGTTTGCAAAAAAGGCTGCAGCACATAAAGTGCTAAATATGACACCTGTATGTTACAAATGCACATGTTTTTAGATTATTCATGATCTTTGATTACTTTCTACTTGTTGTATTGCTGTTTTTTATTAAATGTAAATACCACTTATAATGTATCTGCTTTCATATACAATGAAAGGGTCATATGTCACATAATATGTAAATATGCTTCCGGTAAAGCATGTGATACCAGATGTATGGTTTTTGCATTATAGGTCATCTGCCATCCATGGGGAGATGTTCAGAGTTAGGAGGTTGTTTAGCTAGCCATCTGCATATACTCCGTAAGATCTACTCAAGCATGTACAACATCAATGGTTTTCATTAAAGGGACAATCTAAACACCAAAACAACTTTAATAAAATGATTTTGGTGTATAGATCGAGCACCTTGCAGTTTCATTGCAAACATGGGTGAAGGAAACCTGACTGGAACAAACATAATGGATGGATGAAAGTAGTTTTGGACATGACAGGTGCCAGTTAAGTGCTAAGCCTAGTGAAAGCCCATACAGGGATTGAAATATTGTTACACAAATAAGGGGCAGCTCAAGTCACTTTTTTTTCTGAATACATTAGTCTTTAATCTTTTTTTATGGTTGACAACGATTATTCACAGTTAAATTGGAAAGTATGAGGCTGCTTAAAGGGACACTCTGGGCACCAATACAACGTTGTTGTTTTTTGGGCCTCCAATAACTTGGAGAGGTTGGTCGACTCTGCCATTTAGACAATTCATCGATAATAAAAAAAAATATGCAAACACATGTTACCAATACCAGTCAATGTTAGAACTTGATGGTGTTGCTCAAATAAAGCTAAGTAGCCTAGGTGGCTCAATGGGGGGGCCTATAAACATATATAAATATAATGGATTTTATAAATTCCAAAATTCTGAAATTTATGATAAAGTCAACCCTTGCTGACAAGAGGAGATATATATATATGTATATATATATATATATATATATATATATATATATATATAATTTTAATATAATTCTCAAAACCTTGGAGAATAGGTTTTTTTATGTACTTCCAACACCTTTATCAAACTTCCACTCAATAATAGCTTCGTAACAATACACACACTCTGGTTTGGAAGAATAATGTAATCTAAACTTTAAATTATTGGACATTACTAATTAAATAATTTTTCTGCACAAGGTAGCTTAAGAAAAAAAAAATACTGCAACCACTAATATGCTACTTTATTGAGACAAAAACAAATTTGTTTGTCATGTGTTGCTCGAAGCTCTGCCATACTTGTTTGGGAACAAGTATATTAACAAAGTCCAATGCATACATCAATACATAAAGAAACTAAATTATCTCCACTGTCAGTGTTAAATGGTAAACATCAGAATCCTTATATTGTATGAAACTCAGACCATATAGATTCTGTGGCTTGGGTTCATTTCATGAAAATGTTTCTAGCCCCAAAATGGAATAAGTAAAGTTTGGTATCACGATAACTCTTTACCAGCTGAGATTATAAAGTTGATCTTGATGACTAGCTGTCCAGTAGAGGTGAGCTTTGCAGAGTCTTGCAGGTGAAAAATTATATAATACTGCGGTTATCACGAGAGTCTGGTGGATGATCAAGAAGCATCTCCTGCCTCAGAGTTCTTCTCGTTCCTCCTCATTGCAGATGCAGGATGTTCTCTGACTGTTCATGAATGGTCTGCATCCCAGAGTCCAAACAGTATTGAATACCGTATCTGCAACTGATTCACAGGCTATAAAAAAACAAACAAATGCGATGTTAATTTTCAAAACTAGAAATCATGGGTTTAAGTTTGCAAACAAAATAAAATACAACAACAGGTTATATTCTGTTTCACATAATTTTTCAAGAGACATTAAATTGGTAGAACAGTTGATGTTGTCTGGGATGCCATCATACCATTAAAGAGCTCAACCTGCTCCATTTTTAGAAGTATGAAGAACAAAAAGTGCTAGAATTGAAGAAAACATAGATATATAAACACTGCTGTATTTCTTGGAAAATTTATGTAGAATTCTCTGTGGAGTATAAAAGATTAAGAATATTAGATAGTACATCTGGATTCAACGTTGGACAACCTAGATCTTTTAAAATTCTATAATGATGATGGGTATTGCAAGACAAAGCAATATAATGTATTATACCATCTGTAAAGGAACACTCCAACGCATATAAGCTCATTGAAGTTGTTAGGGGGCAAGAGTGTCTGGGTACTGTCTTACCTTCAGGAGTTAAACAGGCTAAGAGTGTCAGGTAGAGTAGAGGATGAACCTTTGGACTAAATTGTTGGAAAACTGTTATCGGTGTTTGACACCAGAGTTTTGCCATTGTAAAATTGTTTAATCGCTGAAAGTGAGACAGGGCCAAAACACTCCTGTCCTCATAACATCTTTGATGAGCTGAAGGTCTTATGGGGTGGGAGTGTTCCTTTATGGAGATGGTTTTGTGGCATTACATCCCTAGAGTCAATGATTAACATTACTATTTGACACTTAATCTATTTTCTTAGTAGGGGATTTAACAGAGCAACTACTTTAGGATTAAATACAGGTTGTAATTTATTGATTAGGATAAAGTACAGGTTGTAATTTATTGATAAGAAGTTGTTGTTTATAGCTAAGTGGAGAACAGTTAGTTATAAGTTGACTCTGTCTAAAGAATCAATACCCAATTAAAAAGCAAAAAAAAAATGTATTCCAAGCTAGCAGAATGCTTGGTTGTATAGGGAGAGGTATTAGCAGTAGAAAGAGGGAAGTGCTCATGCCATTGTACAGAACATTGGTGAGACCTCACTTGGAGTATTGTACGCAGTACTGGAGACCGTATCTTCAGAAGGATATTGATACCTTAGAGAGGGTTCAGAGAAGGGCTACTAAACTGGTTCATGGATTGCGGGATAAAACTTACCAGGAAAGGTTAAAGGATCTTAACATGTATAGCTTGGAGGAAAGACGAGACAGGGGGGATATGATAGAAACATTTAAATATATAAAGGGAATCAACACAGTAAAGGAGGAGACTATATTTAAAAGAAGAAAAACTACCACAACAAGAGGACATAGTCTTAAATTAGAGGGGCAAAGGTTTAAAAATAATATCAGGAAGTATTACTGTACTGAGAGGGTAGTGGATGCAAGGAATAGCCTTCCAGCTGAAGTGGTAGAGGTTAACACAGTAAAGGAGTTTAAGCATGCATAGGATAGGCATAAGGCTATCCTAGCTATAAGATAAGGCCAGGGACTAATGAAAGTATTTAGAAAATTGGGCAGACTAGATGGGCCGAATGGTTCTTATCTGCCGTCACGTTTCTATGTTTCGAAGAAAATCCCTTATATCATTACAGTCCTAGAATATCACTTTGAGATCAAGAAAAGTTCATTTTAAAATATCCATTCTTCAATTTATGAGAAACCTTCCTATAATTGAGCATCAAATTGTGAGTTGACTTATCAAAACAGTACTATGTATCAACCATATAATCCGGTGAAATGTCTTAAACATAAACTCTTTCACGGAACTATCAATTTAACCACAAACTTTTAGCAAAAAAAAAAAAAAAGAAAAACTGTAGAATTTTTTGACCAAATCATGGGTAATGGATAAAATTATGGACAATTTACAAATTACTTTTTGTCTGGTGTTTTGTGGAACTGTACAGTTGAGCACTCAGAACACACTTGGTAATTATTCTGCTCAAATTGTGGAGACACTTATCTCATTAGGGACTTGCATACTATTTGATTCAGCAGTCTGTTTGAGTTTGTGGAATGTATGTGTCCAGTCACTCCTCACCACCTCCTCCATTACTTTTTTTTTTTTTTTTGGTACTTTCAGTGTCATAGTGTTGGTCTTTTTGCTTGATAGTAAAAAGTAACTCACCTTCTACTTTGGAGACAAAACCCAGACTCTTCTTGAGATCAGAGCATATGGAGTGGAGACACCATCGGAACTTGGCATCACATCTGTACTTGTTTGCCCCGCATGTGTCATAACAGATATCCAACTGGTTACAGCATTTAGTCATTGCTGGGATCCCCATATCCAACTTGAGAAAAAAGGCGAGAGGGTAGTTAGTTTAAAATAAAATATTAAGCAAACTAACACGACAGTGTTTGTAGGAAACAGTGATTGTGGGCAAAATTGGTTTTGTGCATGCCAGTATAAACACTGCAAAAAGAATTGTTATTTTACTGGCAACTAATAATTTGTCTTTTTATCCATTCTATTAAAACTATGGCTTTATTTTTGAGAACTATTAAGCTTTTACACGTTAATGAATCAATGTACAGTCAACACTGCAATGGTGTAGAAAAATGTATATATAAACATACACACGATGTATATCAATTTTTTTTAGCACAAACGTTAGCATTTGGTTGTGCTAAAAAAGGTTATTTAGGGGGCAAAGCCTGACTGGCAAGAGGAGCAGACGTGTGGGTCCTGAGCTCCTGCTAAACAAGCAATAAAAGCGGATTTAACCCTGAACACACAGCGATCAAACCCACTGACTGGCAGTGCACAGCCCTGTGGGAACACAGAGATAAACCCCAAGACCTTAATTTGCGAGAGACCGGAGAGACGCCGTTGCGGCCTACTAAACCGGAGCTGGGAGAGGCGGCCGACCTCCCTGCTTCCTGGTAACAAACGAGATCATGCAAGCCTCTACCCACCCTCCCCTTGGACCGGCGGGGGTTATCCCGGTCCCTACTCGACTGCCCTAAGCAAACAACTCGACATGCGGACCTTGCGCGGGGTCCAAACAAGCGAAGAGACCCGACCCAAAATGGCGACTACCACATGGGCAGCCGAGACGGCAAACGAACAGCATGAACCAGCCCTGTGCTCTGTGTTACTGTGTACCGCATGATGCAGAGACTAAGCGAGCAATTCCACCAGCTATGGGTCAAACTGGAGACCCACACAATCGCTACACCGCCCAATCCTCGAGATGGAGGATGGGGTGGCAAGAATCGGAGGGTGAGGAGGACCCCCTCAGGCCTAAAGCACCCAGACAAGCCTGCACCTCACATTGCTGGACCACCTGGGCCGAGGGCCACCAGGGGCACGTCCCGAAGGCATCACCCACATGGACGGAGGGACAGCCACCACAGAAGGCGGCAGACCATCAGCTCCCCCCGTTACTCCCGCCATGGGATGGACCCTGCCCAGAGAAGTGCCCGGGTCCGTGGAGTAAGGATGTCAGCTTTCATTCCGGGGCTGGAGAGAGGACGCACCTCACCCCCATCGAACAGCCGCCTATGTACCTACCCCTGCAGCGGCCAGCCGGGCACAAGGTCCAGAGCAAGGACGCAGCCCTCACGAGACCCGCTGCCAGATCACCTTTTCACCGCTTCACAACAGCCACAACGAGCCCCCAAGCGCCAGCATTGGCTGATAATGGACTCAAACTGCAGGACTGGTCTCCAGCAGCACTAGGATTTGACTTTTGTGACCATCATTGACAACCTACCCCACTGTGCCACTGACTTACGGATACCAACGGTACAAGACCCACTTTGAACAGTAACGGAAATAACAAATGTACACGCGGAAACCCAATGGCTTATATGCCCTATACCCCCTATATGCTAAGTTTAAGTTTTTGACTCTCTCCGTTGGCATATATTCCTACAGCGTGTATCATGAATACTAGACATTGACTCACATCAGCATATTAGACCGTAAGCTGAACATGTCACTACTAATGTGCCTTACCTTTTCACTATCTATTTCCTTTATTGTTATAAGCTAAATAGTGCACTGGCTGCTTATATGCGAAATCACATTTATAACGCCTGCTGGGACAGTTCAGAAAGTCTACCCTACTATTTGTTTTCCACACTAGCATTGCAATAAGCTCAAATAGTTACTCTAGACTTATACTGATTAGCCTGTTTAGTCTGCATGATATATAATTTAAAAATGTGCAACTTATGCGAATGCCATAACCATGTACGTCTTGTTATCTCTCTGTTTGAAGCAGCTGTTGTGGCGCACCAAGCAATGTTATCTCTTTGCACGCAATAAATAAAGAATTAAAAAAAAAAAAAAGGTATTTAAAAATCGGATTTCTTTCTTTAAATATTAGCTTACATACTTTTCCAGCCAAGGCTGGATAAACTGTGTAATTTCGATAAGCCTCACAGTGCCGTATGCTGGTGCATGCATATGTGTATGGCACTGTGGGAAAATAAATCGGAGCACGCATGGCAGTGTAGTGGAAGTAAGTTTTTAGTTTTTGTTTTTTTCTACTTATTTTTGCTGCTGTGTTCACCATAAGCACTGAAATTGTGATTATTGGGATGAAGGAAGAAGTAACTGTCACTTCTCAGGAAATAACAGCTCCTTTTTAACTCGTTTGTTCTTACTTCCGTTACATACTATCAAACAAGGAAAGGCTTGCCTGAATCCAACCGCCCTACATCAAGGGTCTTTTATAGCAACCCAAGAGGGCACTCGGTCCTTATGTCCTTGTATTTAAATTGTACGCATTGTCCTTTGCTGGCTATTTTCTCTTGGTCATCCTTTGTGACTGAGTGTATGAGGATATTATTCCATACCCCCATACCCTTAGTTAAAACCAGGTGACTCACAGCAACACAAGAGAGGAAAGTCCTGATCTAATGTGATTGCACCACTAGAGAATAAAGATATTCACAATATAGGAGGGACTGTGGTTGATCAATTTTGGCCAGTGAGGATGGGGTTAGATAAGACAAATGAGTTTGAATGTCATATGGACATGCATTCTGGCAAGTGGATAGATAAATATTGTATGGAAATGAGATATTTAAAGCGAATGGTAAACTATGACATTTAAGGTGACATGGAATGTGAGATTGTTTATATGAAATTTAAATCATAGGACGGAATAAGCTTAAGATACACATTAAAAATGAAACACACACACACAGTCAAGGATTAAATTAATTTGTAAAAGCAATAATTGGCACAGTCATGAAAGGGGCTGTGCGGTCAACAATCAAGTGTTTTTACAAATTCTTTCACACATTCATTTTCACTTCAGTATTCTAAAAGAGCAGGTAGTATACAATACTCCATTTGGTAATCTACAACAATCATCATGGATATCTCTACCAAATCTAGAGGAGTAGATTTACCAAGTAAAATGAACTAAAATGACTCCATTAATGCACTCTATAGGTATGTCTCATATGTCAAAGCCACCAACACAACTCTAGTTGAAGGGTGCTATATAATAAATGTTCAATAACTACATAGCCTTTATTTTAGGAAATAAGCATTCTGTGTGCTTTTACTCCTACTGATCTGACCTGGTGTAGCTCACCACCTACTGGCCTACAAGTAATACTGCAGCAGCTGAACACAGCATTTCCTATGAATTTATAATGCATGGATTTCATCTCCTATAGACTGTAAGCTCGTTTGAGCAGGGTCCTCTTCAACCTATTGTTCCTGTAAGTTTTCTTGTAATTGTCCTATTTATAGTTAAATCCCCCCTCTTATAATATTGTAAATCGCTACGGAATCTGTTGGCGCTATGTAAATGGCGATAATAATAATAAAAATTATTATATATATTTATTCTTAATATTAAAATATAATAATATAAGTTTATTTTCTCCTCCCTGGCTCTTACTACATTCCCTTGGTAGTCCAGTAGGACTGTGCAGGCTGCCAGCTGCCTTACATAGTTAAGAGTGAGCCCAGGAGACTCCAGTTTTCACCATCCAGTCCAGCAAGTGACAGGTCCTCTCCCTCTGTGGCGAGCCTCGGCATTGTGTTGCTTTGGACTGTTGCTGTGGTAACCCATGGAAATGCTCTGACAGTCGTGGCTCGTGAGAGGTCCTGCCATTGTCCCCTGGGCTCCTCTTCTCTATACATGTGAAGAGTGGCCTGGGGAGCCCACCAGGGCATATATGTATATATATACACACACACACACACACACACACACACTGTAGATAGATAGATAGATAGATTAGATAGAATATATGAGAAAGTAAAGAGAGATGAGAGGATATGATGGCAACAGGAGTGGGTTCCTATTTGGGAGTTAAAGGGACACTGTAGCCACCCAGACATCTTCAGCTCATTGAAGTGGTCTGGGTGCAAACTCCCATCACCCCTAACACTTAGAATGTAATTATTGCAGTTTTAATAATCTGATCAGAGCATCTCCAAACCGGCAAATCTTGTGAGGTGTTTCTGGTATGCAGTGATTAGTACCTACTAAAAGTGGTGCAAGGAAGGACAACCAGTGGTCCCGCATCAGGGTGCCCAAGGCTCATTGATGCACGTGGGGAGAGAAGGCTAGCCTTTGTGGTCGATCACACAGAAAGGCTACTGTAGCTCAGATTGCTGAAAAACTTAATGCTAGCCATGATAGAAAGGAGTCAGAACACCCAGTGCATATCAGTTTGCCTTGTCCTTTCCAGGAGATAATTTTCTAATTTTTGCAATATAGGAAGTGTAAACCTTAGATTTTCATTTACAGGAAGTGTTCAGGAAGGATGTGCATATTGCTTGCAAAGAGGTGTGGTAAATTAAATACCTTAACAGCAGAGAATTGAGTAGTGAGACTACAGGAGCATGATCTATACACCAAAACTGCCTCATTCAGCTAAAGTTGTTTTGGTGACTACAGTGTTCCATTAATAGCAAATGTTCTCACACAAGCACAAGTGATCAAGAAACTGATTCCCTGTGGTCTTTTGAAAGTGTCCAGCAAACATGACCAACCATGGTCAATCCTGGGAAACTTTGCCTTTTATCCCCATCATGTTTCTTTTCTATAGCTGCAAGTCGAGATTAATCTAGTGCTATATGGATTCCATTGCAACTCAAGAACTTACTGCTGATTACTCAAAATCTATAGGTACCTTTGGGCTAATATGGCAAACCTGGAATCACAGAATGCCCACGTTTGTTTTTCAGTACATTTTGATCAGTGTTTGTATAGTAACTTAATAATCGAGTGCCTATATAAAAATTGGTTTAAATTAGACATGGTTAATGATTAAAGGTGTGTTATAGAATCATGCTATAAATACAGAAGGTGTTAGCTGTACATACACTCTCGGGTACCTTGAGACCAAGGAAATAGGAACTACAGCCATTGGGTTCAGGAGGTTTGTAGTCTGGTCTGGGTAACGGAGCTTTACCTGTATTAAGTAAATTACCAAGATTCCTATTAGTATATTAGAAACATCCATTAAATTATAACACATTACATGAATTATATATATATTAGCATTTATATAGTGCCAACATATTTCACTGTGCTTTACAGGTATAGAGTGTGCAGTCTATGAGTAATTGAGGTAGGTGGATAAATATTGTTAGGTGTCTTACTTAAAAAACACTTACTGGTAAGGTGATCAAATCTGGATGAACCATTCTAAGTCATTGTTGTCCATAGACATAGTATTAATTATATTCCCACAATACTAAAGGCAGAAGTGGCATTTTCATACAGAGTTTTGATCTGACTGCCATTGGCAGGTCATACTATCAGCATTTTTAAACATATCCTGTCAATAGTCTTATTTTTTTTCCTGATTTTAAATTTGTAATTAATTTATTTTTAAATATTTGTTTAGGGAACATGAGCACGTTTAGCCATTAATCCTTAAGAACCTTATGCAATATAAATTACAGGGACTTGGGTTGTTGGGGTAAGTGCCAGAAATTGTGTGTTGATGCAGAAATGGGGCTAAGCTTTATCCCAAAACAACCTGATGTATGATGTAATTGACATATACATCACACAGTTTTGCCAGTCACATAGTCATAGTAAATTGAAGGCCCTTCAAAACTGAAATGTAAATATAAAAGCCAATGTCAACTAAAGGTCTTCAATGTTTTTTAAACCTCCTGTAAAGGGGTGGCAAGGTCATGATTAATGTTTTTAGTATGATCATATTTAAAGGAACACTATAGGGTCAGGAACACAAACATGTATTCCTGACCCTATAGTGTTAAAACCACCATCTAGCCCCCTCTGGGCCCCTCATGCTTCCATAAATATAGCAAAATCTTACTTGTATTCAAGCCTGAAGCTGCAGCTCTGCATGCGGTTTGCCTCAGAAAAACAAGCTGTCTGCTGACATCATCAGAAATTGTGGCCTGATCCAATCACAATGCTTCTCCATAGGATTGGCTGAGACTGACAAGGAGGCAGATCAGGGGCAGAGCCAGCACAATTCAAACACAGCCTTGGCCAATCAGCATCTCCTCATATAGATTAATTGAATCAATGAATCTCTAGGACGAAAGTTCAGTGTCTGCATCCAGAGGGAGGAGATACTGAATGTTTGGATGCATTTTAGGCAGCCATGACCCAGGAAAGATCTCTAACAGCTATCTGAGGAGTGGCCAGTGAAGTTATCACTAGGCTGTAATGTAAACACTGCATTTTCTCTGAAAAGGTAATGATTCTACTCACCAGAACACATTCAATAAGCTGTAGTTGTTCTGGTGACTATAGTATCCCTTTAAGGTCCAGTTGCAGGTGGTACTTGGGTTAGGTTTGCAGCTTGCAGAACTTTAGTTACTGGTGGGGTTATGTTTAACTCTTTGGAACCACATGACTGATCAGGCTCTGGTCCTATTAATAGGATGGGTGGGAGGTTAGTTTTAGTATTGGGACCAGAATGCTTGGGCAATCTCTGTCATTTCCAACACTAGGACAGTGGATCCCCCAGTCCTTGTCCCGTGTTTGATTCCTTATATCCCACAATCCCATCAAAAATATCTTGAGTAAGATTCCCCCCACACACAATTTTTTATAAACTGGAAAGTTGTACTTGAAGTGCTGTTCTTTTAATTAAGGTATATAAACATAACAAAAGTAAATACAAAAAATATATATCAACCTGGTTTGATATAGTGATCCAAAAGGCTTGCACTCCTGGAAAAAATAATAGTTTGTGCCTGTTGCTGGTCTAACAAAATACAAAATTATGACCACACTCAAAGTACTTCAAAATGGAAATGATGTGTTGAATAATACTTAGCTTTATTAATTCATATTAAAGGGACACTATAGTCACCAAAACAACTTTAGCTTAATGAAGCAGTTTTGGTGTGTAGAACATGCCCCTGCAGCCTCACTGCTCAATCCTCTGCCATTTAGGAGTTAAATCCCTTTGTTTATGCACCCTAGTCACACCTCCCTGCATGTGACTTGCACAGCCTTCCATAAACACTTCCTGTAAAGAGAGCCCTATTTAGGCTTTCTTTATTGCAAGTTCTGTTTAATTAATTTAATTATCCCCTGCTATGTTAATAGCTTGCTAGACCCTGCAAGAGCCTCCTGTATGTGATTAAAGTTCAATTTAGAGATTGAGATACAATTATTTAAGGTAAATTACATCTGTTTGAAAGTGAAACCAGTTTTTTTTTCATGCAGGCTCTGTCAATCATAGCCAGGGGAGGTGTAGCTAGGGCTGCATAAACAGAAACAAAGTGATTTAACTCCTAAATGACAGTGAATTGAGCAGTGAAATTGCAGGGGAATGATCTATACACTAAAACTGCTTTATTTAGCTAAAGTAATTTAGGTGACTATAGTGTTCCTTTAAAATAAGCCAACCACAGTCCCACCAAGGGGACTTTCATCAGGACGAATTAAAAAAAAAAAAGATATATATATGGTTTTTGAGGTGATTAGTCACACACATTATCAGCTATCGATAATCTGCTTTGATTGTGCTTTGAGTTACAGATAACTGACTTGAATTGGTAAATTGCAACACATTGCATCATCTGAAAATCCAAAGGTTAAAACACAAAAATAAGTTTATTGTATGAATAAGAATGAATAGGAAACCAAAAGAAAAAAATAAATGAATATACACACACACACATACAACAACTTGGTTTGATAAAGGCCTTGTGTGCCCGAAATGTCACCTATTTATCTGACACCAGAAATAAAGGATCACCAGTGTCTCCTTGGAACATATACAAAAGAGTTTCCCAGGTGATGACACAAAATGTATATGCAAAACGCACTATCCCCTTGTGAATGATATACTGTATACACACAAAAAAACAATCTCTTGGAACTTCTAAAACACCTTCTGGAACAATCTCAACACCAATAAAACCTGGGTACCAATTACTGGATATAAAATCTATATATACATATGGTGCAGGACTCTCGAGTGTACATAAAATGTAAAAATCAAACCCATAGATTACTATAGATCAGCGTTTCCCAATTGATGTTCCGCCAAAAGCTTGAAAAATAAAATGGCCGCAGGAGGCGAGGGAGCAGTGAGCAATGACAACACTCCGGCATCACTAAGAGGCTTGCGAGTGAGCTGAGCAGGGAGATCACTGCTCCCACTCTGCCTGCATGCCAGCCACTCAGCAGCCCTACTGGACCCCAGGGACCGCTCACCAGCTGCCCATCAGCCCCACTGGACCCCAGGGACTCCATGCCAGCACTCCTAAAGGTAGGGGGGCTGGGTGGAGTAAAATGTAAAAAAAACCAAAAAAATTGTATGTGTCTGGTAAGGAGTTTGTATGTGTTTGTGTGTCTGTCAAAGAGTATATGTGTTTTTGTCAGTGAGAGTGAATGTGTGCTTGTCAGTGAGTGTGTGTGTTTGTCAGTGAGAGTGTATGTGTGTCTGAGTGTGTGTATGTATGTGTCAAGGTTTGTGTATGTGTCACTGTGTGTATCTAAGTGTGTGTATGTGCCAGTGTGTATCAGTGTGTTTGTGTGTGTGTGTGTGTGTGTGAGTGAGTGTTTCAGTTTGTGTATATGCAAGTGTGTGTATATGTCACTGTGTGTATCTGAGTGCGTGTGTGTATTTGTTAGTCAAGATGTGTGTGTCAGTGTGTATCTGAGTGTGTGTATCTGTGTGTCAGTGTGTATCTGTGTGTCAGATCCATATATATATATATATATATATATATATACATACATATACACACACACACACACACACACACAGATTCACACTAACACACACTGGCACATACAAACACAGATATACACACCTTGACACACACCAGCACATACAAACACAGATGCGCACACTTTGAAACATGGATACACACACCTTGACACACAGATACATACAAACACACACAGAGATCCACACACTGTGTGTCAAGGTGTGTGTATCTGTGTGCAACTATCTGCCATGTGTGTGTACAAACACAGATACACACATCCAGTGGCGTACATACCGGGGTCGCGGCTGCGACCGGGCCCGGCCCACCAGGGGGCCCGGCCGCCCTTCGACCCGGTATGTATGCCAGTGTGGCCAGCCTCTTCTCCTGGGGGGCCCAGGAGCTGGCCACCTCAGGGCCCCCCAAGGCTGGCAGGCACCCCGCAGGCAGGCTGGCAGGCACGCGAGGGAACACTCTCCCCTAAGTGCTTCCTGTTCAGCTCCCTCGTGCACCGCACTGATACCGGAGCCGGAAGATGACATCTTCTGGCGCCGGCATCCCGGTGTGTGTGTGTTAGTGTGTTAGAGTGTGTGTGTTAGTGTGTTAGTGTTAGAGTGTGTCAGTGAGTGTGTTACTGTGTGTGTCTGTTACTGTGTTAGTTTGTGTGCGAATGTTAGTGAGTGTGTGTTTTGTAAGTGAGTGTGTATGTATGTCTGTCACTGAGTGTGTGTCTGTCAGTAAATGTGTGTGTCTGTTAGCTAGTGTGTATGCGTCTGTTCGTGAGAGTGTGTGTGTCTTAAGCACTTACCTTTCTCCACCGCCGGGCTCCCTTGGCGCTGGGGATCTCTCTGCCATGATCCGCCTCTCAGCTCTGAATGCGCATGCGTAGCAAGAGCCGCGCACGCATTCAAACCGCCCATAGGAAAGCATTACTCAATGCTTTCCTATGGACGTTCAGCATCTTCTCACTGTGATTTTCACCGTGAGAATCGCGGAAGCTCCTCTAGCGGCTGTCAATGAGACAGCCACTCGAGGCTGGATTAACCCTCAGTGAAACATAGCAGTTTCTCTGAAACTGCTATGTTTTCAGCTGCAGGGTTAAAACTAGAGGGACCTGGCACCCAGACCTCAGACTTCATTGAGCTGATGTGATCTGTAGTGGTCCTTTAAGTGTATGTGTATCTGCATGCACTGGCGTACATACCGCTGTCGCAGAGGTCACAGCCCTGCGACCAGGTGCCCGCTGCCATGTGTTGCGGCCCCAGCCCGCGCAGAGTAAGTTTTTGCGTAGTTTTCGTACCGGGGCCCCATGGGTTGTATGTACCCCACTGCACACACCTTGATACACAGATACATACAAACACAGATACACACACTTTGACACACAGATACATACAAACACACACACACACAAATACACACTGTGTGTCAAGGTGTGTGTATCTGTGTGTCACTGTATGTATCTGTGTGCCACTATGTGCCAGTATGTGTGTGTATCTGTGTGTCAGATATATACACACAAACAGATACACACACTGGCACATACAAGCACAGATATACACACCGGCACATGCAAAAAATGGTGCAATTTAAAAAAAAAATTCCAGTGAGGAGGGGGAGCGGGGGCGGAGGTTTCCGTGATGTTGACACACTATGTCAAAGGGTTCCACGGGTGGGAACCCCTGCTATAGATGATAATGGGAAGGCTCATCCATTGGGGCACTTTGGGCAGTGCCCCACCAGTTTTTATGTGTGGGGGGAGTGTATTTGCAGTAGTTTAGAAACAAAGATTCTTTTTGTGAAGGGGAGAGTGCTAAGCCCCCAATCATACGAAGAAAAAAAAAACCTTGAGTCTCTTTCATTCTGTAATAGGTTTTAGTTCTGCAGGGCCCCTCCCTCCTTATTGGAAGGTGTTTGGAGAAGCGTACTTAAGAGCATGTTGTCATTTAAAAACAAATGGGGTTGGTTTGAAATATTTCCTGATTCAGCAGGTTTTGCACATGCAGAGTGTCTTTTAAGAAAAAATGTCAGGAATTTTTATTGAACTCCAATTTGGGAAGCAGAGCTGGCTGCCCATGAGTGGATTTATTCATTTGGCCTCTCCAATCAGGGCCATCATTGGCTGTTAGTACCAGGATGTGGGGTTACAGTGTCCACAAGAGAGAGAAGCAAGACGTTATCTTTGGAGCAGCACAGAGAGAGCACGGCAGCAGCTGTTTCTGGCCCCTGACAAATGTAAGTGTATAATCAGGGCCACCATCAGGGCATGGCAACCATGACGTTTGTCACCGGCCCAGCGGCCAGTCTCCCTCTGATCTTGTAATCTGCCCAGAGCCGCTGTCAGGGGGGTACAGCTGTATAGGGTCCAAGCCCTATACTCCTAATGTGCTTATGTCACAACTGCTAGTGTGGTCCAAAATGCAGAACTATGTAACATCTACATAGACAGAACAGAAAAGGATAGAATGTAAACCGGTCCTTAAAATGGGTGGACTAATACGTTAAAGACAGAGAATGGTACAGGGATAGCTGAGGTCAAGGAAGCCAGAAATACACAATATCGTTTAACAAGCCAAGTCAGGGAAACCAGAATAGTCAGGAATAGCCAAGGTCAAAATACCGGGAATATCAAAAACAGGACAAGAAAAGGCACTCTTGGGAACCAGGAATGGAAACCATGACAGGGCAATGAATCAGTGAATTTCAGGGATTTAAATATCCCTCCTTTTCCTGTGATTGGTCAGAGGGTGACCACTGACCCCAGAATGTGAGTGTGCATCGACGTTGTGACGTCACACGCACGGTCGCGTGAGCCTCTCACGAACAAGTTGCCATGGCAGCATATCCTCGGCACACAACTTAGGGAGAAGGAGGTGGAAAATGGGGAATACAGGGCCCCCTCTTCAGCGTACAACATGCTGTGCCCCCAGACCAGGAGGGAATCTAGAGTCTCCCCTCCCTGATCACAAGTAAGAGGCAGGGAGGGGGCACTAAACTTACTTCATTATATATTTTTTTTAAACTGCTCACCCCCCACAGCCCTTATACAACACCACAAACACACACTACATCCACTACACAAACACAGACACTGCATCTACCACACAAACACAGACACTGCATCCACCACACAAACACAGACACTGCATCTACCACACAAACACAGACACTGCATCCACCACACAAACACAGACACTGCATCCAGTACACACACTACATGCATTACTGTGGCAGGTAAAGGTAAGATTTACCTACTTGAACCTGTCCCTCGCAGGTTCTGCCATCTTTATTTACTGCATCCTCTCCTAGTGCTTCAACTGCCAGGAGCCAATGGCAGCTCTGTACTCTCATGCATGTATGCAAGTTCTATGAATTCTGAGTTCTGTAGAGGAGCCGTGGGAACCTCCATAAGCAGTGCTTTTTTCCCCCCTACAGCCTTCACTGGTGATGGCTGGGGAGAGGACAAGCTTGACAAAAGGTTACTCCTCCGTTTGCCAAGCATAAGAAATACACAGAGGAAAAAGTAGTCCCTTACTTTGTCTTAGTATATCGTTTGACTGGTTTGAAATTTCAGTGAAATTCCAACTCAATCAATGTGAGTACTTTATTTTCCTCAGAGCTCCCGCAGGATCCCCACATTGTGCAAATACAGCATTGCTGTGGTCTCCCGGCAGATGAAGCCAAAGATGTGCCAGTGGGGGACAGCATCAGGTAACTATAACTCACCTCCACTGGCCACCACATGTCACCATTGGGATCTTTACAAAATATGCAGACACCAGAAGGTGACAGTAGCTTCCTCATGGTCTGGCACTCAGAGGGCTGGCTTATGTGTTCAGAGTCATCAAGAAGCGATGGGAAGATTGCAACCCAATTGAGGTGCAGACCACAAAGCTTCCTCAAACAGGTGAGAGGGCACAGTGCCAAGCATGGAGATTTATTGGTCTCTCTGCCAGAGCTGGAGCACCATGCTCAGACAGGGGCCCCTGGCATCCGGCTATGCCATCTTATGGATAATATGGCTCTAGCAGGTACAGGAGAGCATTGGTATTTGGGTACCACCTATTTTATATATTTTTAAGTCGTGAAAGCATGGTGCAGACTCAGTGGGCTCTAGAATGCACAGGTCTAAATTATCCTTTCATTTGTGATTTAGGATACTTGAAGTCTCCATAACCCACTACATACAGAATGGAATAGTCAAGCCTCTATGAAGGTGAGCATACTCTGCACTCCCTCACACATTGGGTAGAGGATAATTGGACTACTAGTCAAGTCTCCCATTTAATCACAGTTCCAGATGCATCCATTCTTTTTTGTCACGGAATTGGGCCTTCCTGGAGACCCTGCTTTTTTTTTTTTTGCTTTTTTTTTTTTTTAAAGGGCATTGATTGTAATCCACTCTGGTTATATATCTCTTGATATTGATGATCAACGGTTTAGTGTTTGTCAGCCACACACTGCCTAATTAACGGCAGACTCATTACTAGCAATAAAAATATTTAATGCTTGGCAACGCTACAGTGCCTTTCTGCTCCCATAACTCACTAATCTTGCTGCACACAGAGGCAAAAAAATATAAATGATTAAGAAAGATAAAGCCAACACCAATTTATTCAGGAAAACTGTAATCCCGTAGGAGATATTGTTAAACTACAGCTATGATTCTTGCCAGAAACAACATTTATAAGTAAGTCTTGAATTTATCGCAGTGGAACTGCTGTGCTATTTACTAAAATAGGCAGAGGACTGATAATAAGGTAATGTCACGCCAACTACGGTGTGTTGTATTTACCTTAAATTTAGCTTCTGAAACAAAATTCCATTAAATTTACTCTGGAGTATTTGAGAAAAGTTAGACCAATATTTCTGAACCCAGGACATCTGATGAATGTAATGACCCACAGAGTGTGCACTGATTGCATTAAAATATAGATGCAAAATGCCAACCCAGTGCTTTCAATCTGTCATGTATATATTATAGGCCCAATAGTTTGGTAAATCCTTAATAGTTGCCAAGGCACCAGACTAAATAAAATGTCTGCATTCATTTTAATGATACAATAAGAAATTAATGATTTGCTTGAATCTATGCACGGTTATTCACCGGCGTATGAACTGTCAGGAATTTTAAAATGTAGTACAAAACAGAAGAACTGGAAAAATGTCCATGTCTGCTATGTTTTTAATTGATTATTCTGGCTTCCCAATAATTCACACTTTATCGAATAGCCTTGACTGTCTAGGCCAGGGGTAGGCAACCTTCGGCACTCTATATGTTGTTCACTACATCTCCCAGATGCTTTGCCAGCATTATGGCTGTAAATGCACTATGGGAGATGTAGTTCACAACATCTGGAGTTCCGAAGGTTGCAAACACCTAATCTGGACCTTGTTTTACAACAACCAATCCAGGACAGATAAAGAGAGCTAAAACAAATCCATAGTAAATAGAGAAGAAATTAAGAGGCACAACAAAGAAATTTGTGTGAGAACAGGTGATTATTAAATATGATCTCTTTTAGATTCAGAATAAGGCGAGTCTAGGGTTTTGATTAGAAACCCAAAGAAAATTTCCTCTGAAAAAAAACTGAGAAGTGATTTGAAAGGCACTGTGATAAAATTATTAATTTGTTGGTATTAAATAATTGACTTTGTATGTTCTCTTTGCATATTTTTTTTCCGGCAAATCAATAATTATTCTGTTCACGTTCCATTATAGACAAACATGCAGATCACCACTAATACTGTACTTACCATATCGGCATTTGTACTGACAAACCCCATTTCTTCCACCCAGTAGTTCCAAAAATGAGTCGAAAACACCATTTACTGCCTCAAAACCATCTCGAATTGTTCCGATGCCCCAGTCCGAAGACGAGTCCTCTTCTGGGTTCTGGCCAGTTGTGCTATTTTGAGTTGTATCTTCTGTGCAGGTCCCCATAACAAGGGACAAGCAAACCACAAAAATACCAAAAAGCAACTTCATTCTGTGTTTAAATCTGGAGAATCTGGATCAACTGAACACACAGGCCTGAAAGGGTTCACTCTGCTGTGAGACTGATATGTATAGTCTCTAAAGTGGACTTTAAACATTGCAGTGGCAGCTTAAGTGAGGTCACACCAACAATAAAATAAAAAAGAACACACTGTCCAAAGGTTCACCTACGTTTTAGCAGAGTATGTGCACAATGGATCCTGATATTTCACACAATTTGGAATAGTTACATAACAGTGTGGAAATTACATAATTAATTATTCATTAAATAAATAGTGAATGTTCAATGTATTGTAAATGTTTGCTAAAAATCAAACAAAACTTTAATTTGACTCTCTGAATGTATGTTTTTTATTGTTTGGATTGACTGTTGATATCAGATTGCTAAATTTACGATATTTTATATTGCAATTAATTTGTCTTAAGTAACTTATGAGCCATAAACAAATTGCCACGCAAGGACTAGATCAGGAGCAGATGCAAAGATTTTAGTAGTGTACTAAATAATCACAAAATATAAAATGCTCAGAAAGCATCAATTTGCCAGCAGGCTTACTGTTAAACTAGCTTATAAGGAAAAGTCTCCAACCCAATCATAGGAGTATAAATAAAATTAAGCATCCACTAAAGTCAGAACAAACAAGTATAAAAATGGGGTTGGTGTTTTCCTGTTTGAGCCATTTTTGCAACAGTCATCAGACTGCAAGGACTGGTTTTATATTCATTAGGCCCACCCGCAGGTTGTTTATGGTACTAGAGACAGTTGCACATCGTTGTATGTGTTAGTAAAGGTATGTTCATAATGATATTTTCGGTTTATACTGAAAATCAACTTAACACATGCTTTAAATATAATTTCTATACATTCAAAATTAAGAGTCAACATATCTTAAATAATTTCCACAATTGATCATTTAAGCCTTGCTACCAGCTAACTTTCTTTTTGTTTTTTTCTGTATGTATTGGGGCTGATGAATGCTATAGTCATTGCTGCCGCCCCGGAGAAGTGGGAGATTGAGTGCAGGACTTCATGTTATATGTTTGTATTTGCTTTTGTCTCACTGTGCTGATGCCCGTCCCATGTGTGTCCAATTAAGGGTTAATAAGATTGTAGTGGGTTATAAAATTATCCCTTGCTGTTTCATTAGAGGAATGTGAATTATCATTGTCGGACTCACATAAGAGGTTTTGCATCCATGGGGCAAGCGAGCTTAGACATTAATGACCATTGGAGTAATACTAAAACCTCCAGTGGTGCATAAGAATTTAGGATAGCGCACAGCTAACTTTCTTTTTTGCTGTTGTGTACTGGCTTACATGCCTATCTCACTTGGAGGCTATGATTCCTGATAGGACCTTCCATGTTGTGGGGAGGCAGGTGATAGGTTGGTAGTTAGATGGTGTTGTTCCCTTGAAAGAGTCCGTCATGGCTAGTATTGTTCTGCCTTGTGTTAGTCAGTCACAGTTGGAGCCTGTTAAGAGTAGCTGGTTCATTGTTCATCTGTGATGCTAGATGTTCATACAGTGTTACTGGCTTCTTAGTAGGTGTGGATCATGTTAGGTCCTTGTGCTGATTTGCTCTTTATATGGGTCGCCCACTGTTGGATATCTCCCACTATGATGGTGACCGGTTCCTGTACTGGAAGAATGCAGTGGTTTGCTTTCAGGTCTAGTAGCCACTGGACCTTTGTGATGCTTCTTCCTTCCAGATGTTCTTCCAGTACTCTTTGGCCACTGGTTGGGTCTTGGGTGGATATGTTCTTACACTGCATCTGTCTGTACACATTGGATGGTTCTTTATCTGGAATCTAGTAACTAGAGACTGTAGACCACATATAGGAAATAAATAAAAAAATTGTGTGGTATACAGAGTTGACAGAGGTATGTCTTTTTCAGAGACTGTAGATCAGCCTGAAGGAAGGAGGCTGAGGCCTAATGAGTGTCAATGACACAGTCCTGAAACACTGACCATCAACCATCAACCAGTACATCATGAAGTTGGTTCCCAATGAACTGCTAAGCGAATGCAACAGATAGAGGATACAGATAAGTTCCAAGGCAAGACAAACCTCTCTATAGGATGTAGAGGATGTGGCTCACATAACAAATCCCACCAGTGGTTGGAAAACCAGGAGTGAAAGTCAGCACCGAGGTGCTAACCCTAGCAGCACAGGAACAGGCACTCAACACCACATCAGTAGATATGTGAGTTTACTACACCAGACAGGACTCAAGGCAAATACCGTGCTAAGAGGCCTCTGAGACAATCCAGCACATAGTAACTGGGTGCAAGATGTTAGCAGGGATAATATACACTCAGAGGCACAATTAGGTTGCTGGGATTGTGTACTGAAATATCTGCACAGAAAATGGGCTGGACCCTCCTAAACCAAGATGGGAAGAAACACAAGGCTACTTGATAATAACAGAACTAAGAATCTGTGTGACTTCCAGGTTTAGACAGACAAGCAAGACATGTCAACCAACATGACATTGTGGTGGTAGACAAGGAATAGAAGACTGCAGTGGCGGTGGATGTGGCAATACTCAGTGACTATAAAATCAGGAAGAAGGAAAATGAGAAAGTGGATGAATACCAAAGGCTGAAAGAGGAGCTAGAAAGGATGTGAAGTGAAGGCAGTAGTAGTCCCAATTGTGATAGGAGCATTCAGGGATGTGACCCCTAAATTGGATTAGTGGCTTAAGCAGATTCCAGGTGGGACATAGATCTTATATGAACAGCTATGATAATGTGCAGAACCCTCCAACTGCCAGGCCTCTTGTAGAGGACCCGATAAAAAATAAATGCACAAAAAATACCAGAAGGGTAGAAAGACCATACCATACTGAATTTTATTAACAAAAATGCAACTGCTTCTAAGAGGGCTGATGGAGGTGAAACACGGGATGTGACACTGAAAGGGCTCTATCTACATTTGCTGTAAAATACAATGAAGATCAGTCAGATGTACATATGGATAGATGTGTAAATACATATCTGTTAATGTGATAATCTTTACATCAACATTATGGGAAAGAACGTAAGGTCTTCCTCATGGTCTTTCTCTCATTCTTCTATAGGTAGGACATCTACATACAGCAAGACTTAAACAGGTACACTGGTTCATCTCTCATTTACTTTAGCCATCCCATTGTATCTGCTGGTAATGCAACGTATTTACGCTGAACGTGTTGGAGAAAGCATTTTAATGCCTGAATCAGAGCTATAGTTCAAAGTTCTAATGAAAAAGATAGGGAAATCCACTGATAAATTAAGCTACTGGATACAGAATCATATTTAACCTGTTATTCTTGCCATGTCTTAAATAAAGGTTATTTACCCTTCGTATTAATTAGACGTTCAGTTGCACTAAGGTTAAAACAGCACAAAATGATGGATTTCACTGTACAACGGGAAGCATAGAATGGCCACCACTTTGAACACAACGGGGGACATTTATCAAAGTGTTCTGAAAAATGACTGTTAAATGCCATCATGAACTCATGTGCATTAAGGTGTTTTAAAAAGTATTTAAAAAGTGGGTTGCTTCATAGTAGATTCTGCCAGCTTTTGCAGAAATTGTGATTTCACTTTTCTGGCAGAAAGATTGATGAATCTGTTGCATCACTAGAAAAATGGCAAATCATCAAAATGACACAAAAACAAAAGAAACAGATTAAAAAAAAAGTTTTAATCTATTGTGCCAAATGTTCTCCAAAAATTAGATGTACATTTTTTATTTACCATCCTGTTAAATGTGTCAGGTGTATAAGACAGTGCTTGCCATTTTTCTCTGATCTGGCATGTATTTTTAAAATACGATTGATATTTAACCAGAACATCTGCAGAATTGTTAAAGGAGGTAAAATGTAAGCAGAACACAATTGGAGAGAGTGCATCCAAAACAGTCTAATGTTAGGTATGCAAACATGTACTCTGAACTTTAGAGTGTTTTCATAGCTATTTAGATTTAAAAGCTCCATAGCGTCCCCTTCACATTTCCCATTTAATGAATAAACTCCTTTTAAGTTAAGCACAAATCATTTTAACTTAAAACCTGACTATGTTGTCATACACTTCTTTTATGCTATTTTTAAACTTTAGCCTCTCTCTTTAAAGGGACATGCATCACTTGACAATTATTTTTCAAACCAGCAAGCAAACACATTTACACAGATATAAAAATCTAAATAAAGCTAGAAAAACTTTGAAAAGTATGTTTTCTAAGCTTACTGTAAAGTTGGTCAATTTGCATTGTTGGGCACACCTCTCATCTAGGGGAGTTTCTACAGTCTACCCCATTGCCCACCCACCAATCCACCCAACTCAATATCACTTGAGCTAGCACTAGCCATGCACGAGAATCTATTGCACGCAGCCGCTCATGACTTTTGCAAACAAAAGAACAAAGTATGCTGAGAGCCAGGGACACTATATTGACAAAATGAATTCAGAAAAGAAAGAGTGAGTGTTACAATTGTTTGGTGGTATGTGTGTGTACACACACACACATATATTATGTATACAGTATATAGAGGGAGTCAATGCATAGATCAGTGTGTATCACTCAGTATATAGGAGGATACATTTGGCAGAGCAGTGTATGTCATCATATAAATTGATTCACTGTTCAGAGTACTGTATGTCCCTCAATATACATAGTGATTCCCTTTGCATAGCAGTGTGTCAGTATACAGTTGGGTTCGCTGTGCAGAGCAATGTGTGTCACAGATTCACACTCACAGATTCTCAGATGCCCACAGTTTCACACACCTGCATATCCCATCACACTCAAATTCACACACTCACAGATTTAGGCACACTCAGATACATACATTGCTTGCACTTGAATATCCAGGGCCGTATTTAAAGCGGGGCAAACAGGGCAGTTGCCACAGGCCCAGTTACACCTGGGGGGCCTAAAGCAGCAGCCCAGTGGGCCCCACTGCCTGCAAAAAAATAATTTATCTGCCCCATTGACCCACCGGTGCTGCGGCTGCATCAGGCTCCCACACACTAAGGGGGGCCATTGGGTGGCCCATGCATTTAGGGCCACCTAGTGGGCATTCCTCAGCAGGGGCCCAGTCTGGCACTGTGGCCCTTTAACATCGAGACTGGGCCCCTTTGCTTTACGGCAGCCGGATCGAAGGAAGTGACTGTTGTGAGTCACATCCTCACAGAGAGAGTTAAGCCGCGTGGGAGGGAGGCAGAGGCTGTCAGGAGGGAGCTGGAGTGCCAGAGCCGCTCACTCCCAACTACCTCAGCCTGCCACTGGACCCCATGGAAGCCATCCTCCTGAACCCATAAGATAGGAAACTGGAGGGTGGCTTTAAAAATGTAAAGTTTGCCTGTGAGTCAGAATGTCTGTGTGTGTTTGTGTGTCAGTCTATATGCTTGTGTGTGTGTCAGTATGTCAATATGTGTGTCAGTATGTCTGTGTGTGTATTCCAGTATGTCGGTGTGACTGTGTGTCACTATGTCTGTCTGTATGTCAGTATGTCTGTCAGTGAGTGTATTTGTGTGTGTCTGTACGTCTGTCAGTGTGTCTGTACGTCTGTCAGTGTGTCAGTATGTCTGTCAGTATGTCTGTGTGTGTGTCAGTATGTCTGTCAGTGTGTCAGTATGTCTGTGTGTGTCAGTATGTCTGTCAGTGTATCTGTATGTATGTGTGTGTCAGTATGTCAGTGTATCTGTATGTGTGTCAGTGTGTCTGTGTGTGTCAGTGTGATGGAAACCATGTTAAAGAACAGAATTGTTGAACATCTAAAATCACATGGATTTCCAGATCAGATACAACATGGGTTTACTTCAGGGAGATCATGCCAAACTAATCTTACTGATTTTTTTGATTGGGTAACTAAAATAATAGATCAGGGTGGTGCAGTAGACATTGCTTACCTAGCTTTCAGTAAGGCTTTGACACTGTTTCATATGGAAGGCTCATCAATAAACTGCAATCTTTAAGTTTGGATTCCAATATTGTTGAATGGGTAAGGTAGTGGCTGAATGACAGGCAACAGAGGGTTGTAGGCAACAGAGTATATTCAAAGGAAGATCTAGTTACCAGTGGGGTACCTCAGGGATCTGTACTTAGACCCATTCTCTTTAATATTTTTATTAGTGATATTTCAGAAGGTCTTTGCTGATGATACTTAGATATGTAACAGGGTTGATGTTCCAGAAGGGATAAGCCAAATAACAAATGATTTAGATAAATTAGAAAAATAGTCAGAGCTGTGGCAACTGACATTTAATGTAGATACGTGCAAGATAATGCATCTTGGGCATAAAAACCCAAGGGCAGAGTATAGAATATTTGATACCCTACTAACCTCAACATCTAAGGAAAGGGGGATTTAAGAGTAAATATTTTGGATGACTTAAAGGTAGGCAGACAATGTAATAGAACAGTGGGAAATGCTAGCAGAATGCTTGGTTGTATAGGGAGAGGCATTAGCAGTAGAAAGAGAGAAGTGCTCAGAGATTAATTAAAAGTATTTCAAAAATTGGGCAGACTAGATGAGCCAAATGGTTCTTATCTGCCATCTCATTCTATGTTTCTATGTGCCAGTATGTCTGGATGTGTCAGTATGTCTGTCTGTCAGTGTGTCTGTGTGTGTCTTAGTATATCTGTGTGTGTCAGTATGTCTGTCAGTGTGTCTTAATATGTCTCTGTGTGTGTCAGTATGTCTGTCAGGGTGTCTGTGTGTGTCTTAATATGTCTGTGTGTGTCAGTATGTCTGTGTGTGTCAGTATGTCTGTGTGTGTCTATATGTCTGTCAGGGTGTCTGTCTGTGTGTGTCGTTGTCTGTTTGTGTGTGAGTATGTCTGTCTGCCTGTGCCAGTATGTCTGCCAGCGTATCTGTGTGTCAGTATGGGTGTGTCAGTATGTCTGTGTTTGTCAGTTTGTATGTCAGTGTGTGTGTGTGTATCTGTGTCAAAGTGTCTGTCAATGTGTTTCTTTATGTTGTCAGTATGTTTCTCTATGTAGCCTCTGTGTATATGTGTATCTGCATGTGTGTTATTATGTGTATGTTCATGCGTGTTAGTGTTTGTATCTGTGTGTATGTGTATCTGCATGTGTGTCAGGTTTTGTATCTGTGTGTCTGTATGTGTATCTGCATGTTACCATTGTCTGTATTTTTGTATCTGTATGTTCTCAGTGTGTGTACCTGTGTGTGTATATCTATCTGTGTATCTGTATATAGTCAGTGTGTTTCTGTGTATCTGCATGTGTGTCAGTGTGAGTATTAGTGTTTATATCTGTGTATTTACATATGTTTCAGTGTGTGTGTGTATCAGTGTATGTGTACATGTGCATACATCTCAACATTCAAAATGCCAACACTACACACAAGTACACCACTGCATTCAAACTTCAACACTATATACCTCAATACTACATACAAACACACCTGTGTTAAACACCAAAAATATATATAAACAAACCCCTGCATTCAAAAACAAACACTACACACAAATGCATGCTTGCATGCAAATGCCAACACCACATTCAAACACACAAACACTGATCAGTTCTAAATACAACTCTGCAATCATGAGGAAATGGTAGAGCCCCAGCTGTCAAAGCATTGTTAGAGTTGTAAGACAGATGGAGATCTATTGATTGGCCACTTTTGCGATTGGGGGCCCAAAAAATTATTGCACGAGGGCCCTCTCTACTTTAGTTCGGTTAATGCGTTGGGGAGTGGAGGATGTGATTGCATATCAGGGAGCGGGGGTGGGGGTCAGGGCCCCCAATCAAATGCTTGCCCAGGGCCCAATCAAAATGAAAGACGGCCCTGTTCATATCTGTGTCTGTGGTCAAGTTTGTGGGGGGGGGGGGGGAGGGAGGTGCCTGCAGTGTGTTATGTTTACGAAGGACTGCTTGCTCTGTTAGGGGTGACTGTGTATGGGGGTTACTGTCTGTGGTGGGGTGCCTGTGTATGAGAGGCCCTGTGGCAGGGTGACCATGACAGGGAGAGTGTGAAGGGATGAGTTTGGGAGGTGACTGTGTGTCCGTGTGAGTTAGGGTGGTGACTGTGTGGCAGGTATATTTACTCAATGGTGATTTCTAGTGAGCGGTCAGGCAGAAAAGTTAGTTGGAAAGAAATCTCAAACTATGTTATTTTGACTTTACAAATCAATTTGTAAGTCTGTGATCGGTTTCCCACAAGTCACTCTTTATGTGTAAGTGTATGTCACATTGTCTAGAGGGGCAGTTGACAGAAAACGTGGAGTGATCCTTGAAATTTGTTTGTCTTAGGATCTCTTTTCGGAGAGGTGAGAAAAACAAACATCCTGGCCATTTGTCATGATAATGTCCCTTTTGAGCTCCAGATGGATTAAAGGCAATGGGGTTTGGGATAATTCTTAACATACACACACATGTTTCAGTATTAATGGTGTTTGCTGAAAATGAATTTTTACATACAAATATCTACTCAATATGTACAGTATACGTCCAAGGAAAAAAATAATAGGATTATTCCTGGTGGTAGTGTTATCAGAAACTTGTACCTTTCCTGCAATGGATTTAGAGGGATTTACCACTTGCCAGCATCTGTATGCAACACTGCAGGATTGTCAAGCAAGCATTGAAGGCTTGGAGAGAGGGCTTATTTCAAGCACCTGAGGGGATTCTAGGCATTTCAGATTTGTGTCAGGAACACGGCACATCAATTTATCAGAATAGAAACAAAATGATGAGCTCAGAGAGGAGTAGAATATAGAGCAACCGAGAAGCATGCATAGAACACATGATAGAATGTAAAGTTCCACCAAAAGAACAGAGTCACAGTGGGAGTGAGTACCTAAGGAGAGAACCAGAAGCCATTGTTGTTTGTGGGGACTTCTGGCCCTGCATGCACAATATGTGCAATCATGACCAGCTTTCAAAGGGATCATCAGTTATGTTGTGAGATCTTCGAATTGTGCATGCGAGGCACAGCTCCGCATGTGTAATACGCTTTCCTGCATTTCTATAGATAGGACACGGATTAGCTAGATCAGTGTTCCCCTAGGAGGGGGCATGGAATGCGCAAGGAAGAAGAAGCAGGTAAGGTAAATATGAAGAAACTAAAATAAATGAATAGAATAAATCACATTTACCTGCTGTTCCAAACTTGTTGAGAAGGGGGGGAAGGCAGACGCACTTTAGCTTTGCATGCCTGTCACTTCCGTCACCTCTGTGGAGCAAAATGGAAGGGATGTGTTTCTGCCCCTGATTGTAAAAGAAACATAGAATGTGACGGCAGATAAGAACCATTTGGCCCATCTAGTCTGCCCAATTTTCTAAATACTTTCATTAGTCCCTGGCCTTATCTTATAGTTAGGATAGCCTTATGCCTATCCCACGCATGCTTAAACTCCTTTACTGTGTTAACCTGTACCACATCAGCTAGAAGACTATTCCATGCATCCACTACCCTCTCAGTAAAGTAATACTTCCTGATATTATTTTTATTTTTTTTGTTAATCAGGTTTTTATTAGCAATTAGGTACGATAAATTTCAGGGCTCGCAGGCCCACATCAGTCAAAAAGTGAAGGTAGCATTTTTGAAGTATAACATATACATGTACATATGCAGGGATGTTCCCTGTTCCAATATACAACCAATGATAGAGTACAATTCTGTTTATTTTCTAAAGCGTGAATTGAAAAATATTATCGTCCCAATATATCCTGGAGTCATGGGCTTCCATATAGAGCTAGAGCTACGTGGGTATGGTAGCGCTCATATGTGCTCTAAGGATGCGGTTCCTTGATTGGGGTGAAGCCAGAGTAATTGTCAATGAATGTATGTTGTGTGTTTCGGTGTGAAGGATAATATCCTAACTAGTGGTCATGTGTAGGAGTGTGTGGTGTCTGTCTGATACGAGATCCACAATGCAGGGATATGGGGAGCAGTGAGAAGAGGTCCGTACGTACCCAGGGCTTAGTGTAGTCAGTCTACCCCCTTGTAATCCATCTGCAACCGACAGTGACCCTGTCCATATGGCAATCGAGTTGTTTCTATAGAAATGGGCTTGTTTGGTCGGATGTGCGAGATTTGGGTCCTTTTCCCGTGTGTTAGAGCCCATCCGGGTTGGGCGCGGTAGTTATTAACCTGGTCGAGGTTCTTGCTAGTTATCATGTTGTCGTGTTGCGGCATGTCAAGGTGAGGTCAGCCGTGAGGGCCCTTGCTTGGGTCTGTGTAGGTGCGGAGTATGTGTTTTCTAGGGTTCGTCAGGAGAGGTATAGTGTCGTGGTGTATGTGTGTGTTGCTATATCTCGGGGCTGTTGCACACGTCCGTTAATCTGATTGTCAGCATTGTCTTATAGAGGTGATATGCGCGTCATGTCCAGATGTGCTCAAGATGCCCCCCCTTGTGGTTCTGTGGGGATATGGGTCACGCCCTAAGAGGTCCCCCTTTGACCTATGGAGTTACTGCGGGTCAGGGTTATCCGTCGTATCGGATGAGATCTCGTGTTCGTATTGAAGTGGCGGGGATGTGTTTATCCCCCAAACGTTGTGGATGGGGTGTGAGGTGTGTCGGTTGAGTCTGCGATCGTCAGGTGATCAATATAGAGTGTGGTTCATGTCGCATGGGTCTAGTGAGCTCCATATCGTCTCCCTGTCCCAGTCCCCCCCGGAACCCCCTAAGGTTGAGAGCGGTATGTATACCATGGTGCCCAGGCTTCGGCGTGTTGAGCTTCCCTGCCCGTAATCTACGCCTTCAGAGCTTCCGCTGCCCTGATGTCCTCAACCCGGTGGATCCATTCCTCCCTTGTCGGGATGTCTGGTTTCTTCCAGTATACCGGTATGAGCGATTTGGCCGCATTCAATAGGTGACGCATGATAGATTTTTTGTATGTGGATAGTGGTCGCTTGGATATGTGTAGCAAGGCTAGTTCCTCTGACCATTCAAGGTCATCTCCCAGGATCAGTTGAATGTCTGATTTGATCCGGTCCCAGTATGGGGCAATGTGTTTACATTCCCACCATATGTGGTGCATGTTCCCCCTATCCTCCTGGCATCTCCAACACGTTGGTGGTGTAGTGGGGAAGATCCTATGTAACAGTACAGGTGTTCGATACCACATAGAAAGCAACTTGTAGTTCACCTCTTGATAGTGAGAGCTGGAGGAGCTTTTGTGCTGCCAGAGCAAGGCCTTGTCCCATTGTGCTGTTGTGAAGGACTTAGCCATGGCTCGTTCCCAGTGTCGTTTGAAGAGGTTGTTTTCCGAGGTGGGGCTGGTCAGTATGTATTGGTAGAGGTTCGAGATTGCTTTCCCTAATGACGTGCCCCTGGAGCAGAGTTGCTCGTACCATGTGAGGTCTCTTTGCAGCTTTTCTTTGTGCGGGAGTGTGTTGAAATAATGTTTCAGTTGCATGTATCGAAAAACCGCCATATGTGAGCGCGGTCTTGATTCCAGTAGCGCGTCCAGAGTCCGCAGGGCGCCATCCCGAATGACCTTATGTATTGGGATGTATCCTGCTTCGCCCAAGAATGACCAGGCATCTGGCGGTAGGCCGCCTCCTATACTGGGGTTATGAGCGATCGGTAGCAATGGGCAAGGAGTTGGGGAGATTTGTGGTGTTTCCCTGAGTTGTTCCCATGTGAGGAGTGTTTGTGTAACTGGGTCATCGTCCCCTCTTCTGTTGCCTCTCGTTGCCCGCCTTTTCCAAATTGCAGCCTTCAGTTTTGCACTGTCTCCTTCTTGATCTAGGATCACCCATTGTTTGGTCGTCTCTAATTCGTGCCACTCCAGAATCCGTTGTAGCGTCGCTGCTTGGTGGTATTTTTTAAAATCGGGTAGGGCTAAACCCCCCCTATGTCTGGGCATGCACAGTATTTCATGTCGTATCCTGGATCTTTCTCCCCTCCATACATACCTGATCACTTCTGATTTCAGAGTTGAAAAGAATTTTGCCGGCGGCGCCATCGGTATAGTCTGGAATAAGTATAGCGCTCTCGGGAGAACATTCATTTTAAGGACCGCTATCCGGCCGTGCCATGTAATATGTGGATAGGACCATCTTTTCAGATCGGATTCAATGCCGTGCAGTAGGGTTGTGAAGTTGCGTTGGTATATGTCTTGTGGGTTTGTGGTGATCCATATGCCAAGGTATTTCATTGCTCCCGTACACCATCGAAATGGGAAGAGTGGGCCGAGGGATACGTAGTCCGCTACGGGTATGGTGAGATTTAGTGCCTCACATTTTGCTAGATTGAGTTTAAACCCAGAGATTCGGCCGAATCTATCCATCTCAGATAGTATACATGGCAGTGTGATCCGAGGCTGGGAGACAAAGAACAAAAGGTCGTCCGCATAAGCAGCCACCTTATGTTCCGTGTCCTGCCAGGTGTAACCGTGTATGTCCTGACGATCTCGGATCGCTTGCAGAAGTGGCTCCAGAGAGAGTGCGAAAAGAAGCGGAGATAAGGGGCAGCCCTGCCTGGTTCCATTCGCAATTCCAAAACTCGTGGTCAGCGCTCCATTGACGCGTACCGTCGCCCTTGGTGTGCTGTATAGTGCAGTAATCCACGCCATGGTTCTCTGGCCAAGACCTATAAACCGGAGGGTTTGAAACATGTATTCCCAGTTGACCCGGTCGAATGCCTTTTCGGCGTCTGTGGACAGTAGTAGGAGTTGTTTCCGAAACTTCCGTGCATGATGCTGTATAGAAAATAGGCGTAATGTGCTGTCTCGTGCCTCTCGACCTGGGATAAATCCAGTCTGATCCGCGTGGACAAGGTTTGGTAACGTCCTTTGAAGTCTAGTTGCCAGTACTTTCGTCAGGAGTTTCGTGTCCACATTCAGTAGAGAGATCGGGCGATAGCTGCCACAGTGTTCCGGGTCCTTCCCGGGTTTGAGCAGGACCGCGATTGTTGCCGTCAGGGACTCCGTGCCAAAGTGTCCCCCCTCCGCAACTTTGTTTACTGCTTTCGTTAGCCATGGTAGGAGCGTCGTAGCAAAGTGTTTGTAGTACCCTGTGGAGAACCCATCTGGTCCAGGGGCTCGTCCAGTTTTCGTGCCCTTCAACGCTGCGGCTAAGTCCTCCGTGCTAATCGGTTCGTCAAGTATATCTGCTGTCTCAGGGTTCATCCGTTTCCGCACGTTGTCTTGCAGGTATGTTTGTATGAGTGAGGACGTTTCCCGTCTATGGGCTGTGTCCTCTGGTGGGTAGAGGTTATAGAGGGAGTTGTAATATTCCCGGAATTCACCTGCTATTTCCTCAGGATATGGTGATATACTGCCCGTTGATAAGCAAAGTTTCCTCACTTGAGTGCGTGGTGTGTCTCCTCTCAGTAGGCGGGCGAGGAATTTCCCACCTTTATTTGCATGGGTGTAAAAGAAGGACCTCGATCTTTGGAGTGAGCGGTGGTGTCTTTGCGTGAGTAGGATCTGCAGAGTTCGTCTGGCTTCCATCAGTTCACCATATGTTGAGGTTAGTTGGGAACGTTTGTGTTGGGATTCCAGGCGTGTGATGGATTTATACGCGTCTGCCATCGCCCGGGTTGACTCCTTCCTTTTGCCTGATATTTTTAAACCTTTGCCCCTCTAATTTAAGACTATGTCCTCTTGTTGTGGTAGTTTTTCTTCCTCCTTTTCTGTGTTGATTCCCTTTATGTATTTAAATGTTTCTATCATATCCCCCCTGTCTCATCTTTCCTCCAAGCTATACATGTTAAGATTCTTTAACCTTTCCTTGTAAGTTTTATCCTGCAATCCATGAACCAGTTTAGTAGCCCTTCTCTGAACTCTCTCTAAAGCAGTGGTAGTCAACCTTTTTCTTCCTACCGCCTACTAATGCATCTTTCTTGATGGAAAAATGTCCTTACCGCCCAGAAAGGAGGGTGTTTTAAAGAAAAGAAATGTACATACCTTTATCTTTTTATTTATACTTAATGCATGTTTATAATGTTTTTAACGTTATAAAGTTTAATGAGAAAACAATAAAGTAAATTTAAATTACCTTTACTAGTGATTAATGAGATCCTTGAGGTTGATGCTGCGAGACTAAATATTTGATATCTGGTTCGATTTTCGTAAGGAACAAACAAAGGTCTCCTCTTTCGGTGATATTCAGACGACTTCTCTGTTTGCGCATAATATGATTTCTCATCTGTGCGTCAGCTCCCCTCCTCTCCCTCCTCAATTCCCCTCCCCACTTTTTTTTTTTTTTTTCCTTTTTTCTATTTTTTAACCTTACTTATAGCAATGCCCAGTAGGAAGGCTGAGCTAGGTAGCCCACTTACTATAGCCCACTATAACAGACAGGCACACATACATACATACAGACACACACACAAGACACACATACAGACACACATACATACAAAGACACATACGTACAAACAGACAGGCACACACATACATCCAGACACACAGACAGGCACACACATACACAACACATCCAGACACACAGACATGCACCCATAAGACATACATACAAAGACACACATACATACACACAGACACAAGACACACATACATACAAAGACAAGACACACATACACATACACACAAGACACACACATACAAAGACACATACAAGACATACATACAAAGACACACACACAAACACATTATATTTAAGTCACCCTCCTGTTTCCTATCTTTAAGGTGCAGGAGGGTGACATTCCCCTGGGGTCCAGTGGTGGCTCAGGCACTGGCGGATCCAGGGGGGGGGCAACGGGGCAATTGCCCCCCCCGAGAAATCCGCCGGTCTCCCTCTCCCTCCCCTGCCAGGACATGCAGGTGCTAGCCCTGCAATGTGCCTGCGGACCGGAGGGGAGATCGGAGCTCTCCCTCCCCGGTCCGCAGACACTGTGCTGACAGCCGGCAGGGGAGTGAGAGGGAGGACCCGGAGCTCAGTCTGCAGCTCCTCCGGGTCCTCCTCTCGCGAGATTTGGAGCGTTGCCGCGGTTACCACAGCAACGCTCCAAATCTCGCGAGAGTGAACTCTAGCCCTGGAGCGCGGGCTAGAGTTCACTGTAACCACTGGGACCACCAGGGAATCACCACTGGGACCACCAGGGATGAAAATATGTCCCCCCTCCTCCTCAATAAAGGTAAGAAGGGAGGGGGGACATAGAATATTTGTTTTTTTTAATTAAATAAATAAAGATACATATTATTAAAAAAAAAAGGCCCCCCCCCACCCTTAACACACACACATAGCCCCCATACTGCCCCCCCATACACACATACTGCCCCCCCATACACATACTACCCCCCCATACTGCCCCCCCATACAC